TCTTTAGCTAATATTATTTATCTTATAAATATCCTATATTAAAAGAAACTATATATAGAAAAAAAGCTAATAGAAGCTCCTGCTATTAAGATTACTAGTATTAGCTTTATAGGTATATATTATAAGCTCTAATAATCCGAGAATAAAGCCTTTACTATAAGCTTTTATAAGATTAATAGCCTCCTAAAATAATAAAGAGAGCTTTTTCCGGGAGCTAATATAGAAAACCCTATTATTTCCGGATAATATACTAAGTTTAATAAAGTCTTTTCTAAAAAAGCTTCCGATATTCTATCTTTCTATTAATTATATAATTATAAGATATAATTAGAAAAGAAAATAAAGAAATATCTGAAATATAGCTCTTTATATAAGATAATAATAGCTAAATTAGAGATTACTAAGAAATACTTTCTAGAGAACCTTAATAAAGGCTTTATTACTTCTAGTTAATTACTATTTACGGCCTTTATTCTTTTTATAAGAAAGTCTAATAGAAGCCTATAGTTCTATATTAATTACCGGAAGCTTAACTAGATTATTTATAAGAACTATTACTTTCTTTCCCTTATTAATAAGACCTTAACTAGAATTAGTAAAGCCAAAATCTTTATAAAGTTTAATATTTATTAGGCTTTTTACTAAATTTATATAGATCCCGAATTAGAGAAATTAATAATATTTCATATATATTATAGAATATATAAGTATAAGGTTTTATTCTCTAGATTAACTAACGGGCTAGTTACTTATTAGTATTATATAAACGATATCCTATTTAATTATTTAGACGACTTTTATATAGCTTATCTAGATAATATTCTTATTTATTTTAATAATAAGTTAGAATATAAACTTTATATAAAAAAAGTCCTTTAGTAGCTTTAAAATATAGGCTTATAAGCAGATATTAAAAAGTATAAATTTCATATTATATATATAAAATACCTTGGCTTTATTATCTTTATAAAGAATATTAAAATTAATTCTGAGAAGATTATAATTATAAAGAATTAGAAAGCTTCTCGAATTATAAAGAAAGTATAAGCCTTTCTAGGATTCTATAACTTCTATAAGAAGTTTATTCGTAACTATAGCAAGATTACTAAGCCTCTATTAAATATTATATATATAGATATTTCCTTCTTATTTAATAAGGTTTATTAGAATACTTTTAAAAAGCTTAAAGCTTATCTTATATTATTAGTCTTATTTTATTACTATAACCCAAAGTAATAATTAATAATTAAAACTAATATTTCGGATAGTATTATTACTAGTATTCTTTCCTAATAATATAATAATAAGTAATATCCTATAGTATTTATAAAATATAATTATAAAATATATAATAAAGAAATACTTATTATTATATAGTTTTTAGATTAATAGTACCCGGAATTTTAAAGAACTACCTATTAAATCCAGATCTATATAAACTATTACTTATTAGAATACTTTATAATAATAAAGAAGCTTATAAGTAAATAAGCTAAATAGGCTAAAGCCTTAGCCAAATACTATTTTATTATCTAATATAAATCCGGTAAATAAAATATAAAAGCTAATATTCTAATATACTAAAATAATAAAATTATCTAGTAAAATGAAATAAAAAAGAAATACTATACTAAGGCCTTCTTTTCTTAAAACCAAATTAACCTAAAGGTATTCTAGGACCTTAGTATTAAAATTAATTCTCTTTTTATTTTCTAAGATAATAATAATAATCTTAATAAAACGAATAATTTAGTTAAACGAATTTTATAAAATAACTATAAAGCCTCCTCTTTATAAGCCTTCTATAAATAGGCTAAACGGGATAATACTAACTTTACTATAGAAAATAAGTTACTATTTTATTATAAATAACTTATAATACTAAAAGAATAGTTATATATAGATTTAATTTATAAGACTTATAACTAAGTTTCTATAATATATTCCGGTAAAAATAAAACCTATAAGCTATTATAATTATAGTATTACTAGAAGAATATATAATATAATATTACTTAATATATTTGTAATTACTAATTATATAAATAGATAAATATTTCAAGAAATAAAACCCCTAATTTACTTTACTTTTTACTAGTTCCGAATTACTTGTAATAATATATTATAATAGATTTCAAGTTAATACCTGGTTTAAAATCTGGTTATAATACTATATATATTATAATTAACTAATTAAATAAGTAAGCCATTTCTATATCTTGCTATAAGATAACTATAATAGAGGATATAGTAAAGATATATCTCCGAATTATTTATTATTACTATAGCCTTCTAGCCTCTATTATTTCTAATTATAGTCTGTAATTTATATTAGTATTCTAAAAAGAATTTAATAGAATTCTAGGTATAAGATTAAAGCTATTAATAGTATATTACTTATAAACTAATAAATAGACGGAAATTATAAACTAATATATTAATTAATAATTATATCTATATATTATATATTACTAAAATAACTAGGATAAGTACTTACTAATAATTAATTATACTTAACTTATTCTCTTATATAGCTCTATTAGTATGTCTCTATATGAACTTCTTAATAGTAGGCTTCTATAGACCTCTTTTAACTAGTTAACCCTAATAACTATATCTTAAAACAAGCTAAGTAATATAAAAGCTTAATAGATTACTAGATAAATAGAGGATATTATAAAGAGAGGTAAAAAGAATATAGAACAGGTATAAAAGAAAATAGAGAAGTATACTAATACTAAATATTACTCTATAGATTTCAAAGTAGGAAATAAGATATATATATTAATAAAGAAGTAAAAGATATAATACCCTAGCTATAAACTAGATTACTAAATAGCCGGGCTTTACCTAATCCTATATTAAGTTAATAATTTCTATAAGGTCGAATTACTCGAGAGTATTAAAATTTATAATATATTCTCCCTAGACTATCTATAAGGCTACTAATAATCTACTACCTGGCTAGAAGAATGAATTACCTCTACTAATTCAAGTAATAATAGACCGAGAATACGAAGTATAAGATATCCTGGTATTAAAGGCAGAGCAGGAAAAGCTCCTATATAGGGTTAGTTAGGTTAGATATAATAAAGACCTTAACTAGTATCCGGCCTCCGATCTGAAATACTCTCCCTATAAGCTATAAGACTACTACTTGGCTAATTAATAATAGCCAGGCCTACTAAAGAAGCTAGTTGACTAGGTACGAGCCTGGGAGAACGGGACGGAGGACTATAATAATTTGGATAACGATTCTATAATGCCTACCCGCTTGAGGATAAGCTTTTTCCAAGGGGGGGGGGGGGGGTGATATTACGATTCTATGCTTTACCTAGCCTGGCATCTGGCATTTGGTACCTAGCCTGGCATCTAGTATTTGGTATCTGAGCCTGGTATCTGGTATTTGGCATCTGAGTATCTGGTATCTGGAGTTATATAACAGTTACACGTAACGAAGCTAGGGAAAGCTGCACTCCAGGAAATTTAGGACGCTAAGCCCCATTAGGCCGAGCCACAAGCAAAGAACTGTAAATACTTAAGGGACCTCAGCTCAAGACTCCCTTTCCTCCTTAGCTTAGTTTTCTCAATAAACAGTTCTCCTACAAGTGCCTTATCCGTAGGCTCCCTTTATAGGTCTGTAACATATATAAAAGGGTTATTTGTATTATAATTATAGGATTACAGGCTATTTTTGAGCTGTTTTTTGATTTTTGGGTACTAAGGCTCTAGGGGCTTTAGTAAATAAAGCAGTAATTTTTGGAATTATTTCCTTAGGGCTATTTTTAGGAATATATAAGGGAACTATTAAAATTAGGGGCTATATACTAATAGAGCTTAAGCTATAGGCTTATTACTAAGTATATTATATCTTATAAGATTAATTTAGGATATAATATGCCCTATAAGAGTAAATTAGTTTAGCTAAAGTTAAATAGTTTAATATAAGGCTTTCTGGTTTAGGGGTTTAGTATATATAACTTAGGGATTTTAGGGCTATATATATAGGCTATCTACTACTATAGAATAGTAGTTAATTCAGTACGTTTTACTTGGTTTATATTAAAGCACGTGACCCTAGCTTTATTATTAAGCTAGTTTAATAAATGGTATTACCCCCTCCCTTGAAAACTTATAGTGGGCCCAAGGATAATACCACCCAAGTACTGGCCATCTCAAGGGTGTATAGCCAATAGCAATTCTGGAAAGCACCTGATATTTCCTGGTTGGGGGTTATAACTTATAAACGAAGTTTCAAGGTGGCGTTACTAAAGGGCCCACTGTAAGTATTCAAGGGGGGGGGGGATAGTAAAAAGGACGTAAGGTTTATATTCCTGCACCTTCGGGCCCTTTTAAACTGGTCTCGAATGAGCTTACGTAGTTCCACGTGTGCTTGATTACGTACAAAAGCATGTTCTGAAATCACACCGCGCACCCCCTGCAATAACCTTCTTGAACCTCAGCTCCTTCGTCTTTTCGCCTCCACATCCTGCTAGCAATAATTCATCACCCACTTACTATCTAACCACCTTCGAAAATACTTGAAGTTGGAACAATCTCAAACCTCCGTCTTCTCTTCTCATATCGCTCGCATCCTCAGTGATACTCTGAACCGCTATCACACACGCACACTCCCACGCACGCACACTGTCTTTCAGAATCCTTCTCTGGCTCTCCATTGAAAATATGGAGGAAAATGAAAGCAATTTCGAGGCCAACATCCTGTCCACTTGCAATAAAACCCAGTTCACTAGCGGAGCCATCCGACTCCTCAAATTCGAAGGGCGCATTCAGAATGGACACGCCCGAGAGCAACGGCCGAGCCTCACACTCTTTACCGCTGCTCTTCCCAGTGCGGATTTCTAGTCTGAAGAACCCCCTGTGCGCTATTTCACATTGTCTTATGTTTGGGGCGAAAACGAAAGCAATAACAACCCAGAGATATTCATCAACAAACAGCCTTTCAAAATCTTGCCCAATCTCCAGAAAGCCTTGTCGACATGTCGAACGACAACCCTTGGTTCAGACGAGTGTGGATCATTCAAGTGCTGTCGGTCTCAGCCGACTACACTTTCATGTGCGGAAAATGGAGTGTTCCAGGAGACCACTTCAAAGTCTTCAATGCCTCATTCCACTTCAGCTTTCTTTGGATGAAACACGAAGTCTTTTCACTCAGCAGTATCACCCAAGTGGACCAGTATTTAGACTCCCATCCAAACTTGTGTCATTCTGGTGGCGATTGGGCGGCACAACGGATGGGCATTTATGAAAATGTTTTGGGGCCAGCGCTGAATATACGGGCCTGCGCAACCTTGGAAACTCGAAAAACGTGGCGACGAGACCGCCCAGAAGATTGTCCTACACTGAAAGCACAACTTTTTCGGGCATCCGCCAAAAGATCCGCTAGCGGTCTGTACCCCACTGACCCGAGGGACAGGACCTATGGTTTGCTCGGGGTTGCAAGTGACGCCAAAGAGCTCGGAATGGACCCTAAATCCTACACAGTTTATAAAGGAGCGAACACCGAAGAAATTGTATACACTGAGGTTCCAAGAATACTAGTCCAGCATGGTCATTTGGATATTTTGACCAAATGCCAACCCCTCGACCCAAGGACTCGAAATGCCAAGTTACCATCATGGGCACCGGATCGGAAGAACGAAATACCATGGCCTTGGGGAGGTTTTATCGGAGATGATCTGTATCATGCTTCTGGTAAAAGCTCATCCAGATTAGTCTGTTGCAGTGAAGATCCTGAAGGCATTCTCACAATCAAAGCTATGTTTATTGGGAAGGTGGCTGAATTAGGAACAACATGGAAGGGTGGATGGAGAGAAGACTTCGACAAGGAAAGAGCCAGCCTCCTCTTCACCGAAATTATTGGCTTCCTCCCGAAGAGCACTATCTTCAATAAGCTAGGGAAAGCCGACAAAGTACTCTGGCGAATACCTATTGGAGGTATGGTATGGAATAAGCTTGGAATTAATCGCCGGGCGACTGAGAAGTCTCTCGGAGAGTGCCAGGTCATGATGAGTTTTTTTTTTTGAGGCATTCTTTAAGCACGAAAGCATGCATAAAGGATGTGCTGGCACACAAGCAAAATCCATTCGAGATCCCGAACATGATGTCTTACTTGGGCTCAATGTTGGATATGTATAATGCAAAACCTTTTCTTTCTGAAGACGAATTTGGAGGATATGTTAGGCTCTCTGCTCTGCCCGGGTGAAGCGGAACAAGGAGATGAGATAATTATTCTGTTTGGATTGTACATTCCACTTGTGTTTCGTAAAGATGTGAATGGTTTCTATCGAGTTATTGGTGAGGCTTATGTACAAAGATTGATGGATGGGGAGGCATTGGAGTTAGACCTCCAAGTTTCAGATATCCGGCTCAAATGATACCTGTCGCGGAAGCCGACGGAATGGATGTGGCCAATCAAGCTGCCAAGCCAAACCTCGCTCCGAATTCTCTGAGCGTCAACATGGTAACCGCGACTTGGTACTTCGAGGCTTCGTCTTTTCGCATCCATGAATGCGTACGGTACATGAGAATTTGTCGACGGCCATCACTCTCCAAACTTCTAATAACTCTCTATACAACCAGATCTAGGAACCCCAGGATGTTCGAGTGACTCTTCGAAAATTGAATGGGGTTGTTCAATGATCCTGCTTCGAAAAAGGACTCTTTAGCTGTCGATGGGACCTTGAAAAAGCTTCGCTCGAACACTTCCCGATCCCTGAATTATGACAAGGACATCAAATCAAGATATAAATTCTGAAGGTAGCCCGAAGACGCTTCGTTCGAACGCTTATTAGCCTCGTACTTCTTCGTCTCGACCATCATTCTGTATCTCAGCTCCTGTTCCCAAGAAAGCTTTGCATACTCCCAGTCCTTGAACTTCTCTCGGGGCGCCAATGGCGAGTCCTCAGACCACAACTGGCCCATGGAAAGCTCAAACTTGAACAACGCTGCACCCAATAGCGGAATTCCTCTGGGGTAAAACTTGAACCATTCTTCTCTGTCCCATCCGTCTTCCTTAGGTTTGGTTGGAACACCATGCCCCAACGTCGTGAGCTTCACTTTCTCCTCATTTTTTCGTATCTTCTTTCGCTCTGTTCTGTCCAGCTTCTTATAATTGTCGTATTCCCAACCCCGACGCTCATCCTGTCCGGCGAGCCAGTATCGTTCCCATTGCTTCTGAGTCCACATACTCAAGCCCGACCATCCCTCAAAACACCTCATGATCTGAGCACCATCTATAGTCAACCCAAACAACTCCTCCCTCTTAGCGTTGAACTGCTGCATTTTCGCAGACAAGGGATTGAAAGCGACCATCAGACGATGTCGCCACTTGATACGGGCAACCTTGTCATGAATTACCCCATCCCCACCCTCTTCCTCTTCCCCCACAGAAGTCTTCAGAACCCTCGCTAGCTCATCGAGATAGCTTGACGTTCCGCCCAGACAGTTGTCATCATACCAGTCCCTGAAGCGCTCCAGACGCATCATCGCAGCCGTCGGACCGCGCAGCTCGTCAAGCGCATTGTGAAGCTCGACAAAATTGCTATCCAGACACTCCGCCGTTGCATCGTCGGCCCATGTCCCATCGCCCTCTTTGTGAAAGAAAGCTCCAAAGGGCTTATCCAGTCCAATCACGAACTTGAAAAACGCGAGGAATTTGTCAAGTGTGGCATTCCCCTTGAATGCGGGCGGAACATGGATCTCGGCTTTGCAGTTTCGGATGCGGCACAATTCTAGAAGGATGACGCCGGCATCGATGTAGTCTCCTAGCGGGTGCGGGATACTGGATTGTAGGTTTCCATTTGAAAACCATGAGTCGGGAGATGTGGCGAGGAGGTGGATGGCCACTTCTGGAAGCCGGCCACGTTCGCTGAGGAGGAGGTCTACAAGCGAGCGGGCTTTTGCCCAGAGGTTGAACAGCTGGCCGGGATCGCGTGGGTCTGGTGCCTCGATCTGAATCTCTATCCCTTGGAGTTGGTGATAGGGGAGGTCTTTAAAGCCAAGTGATTTTGCATGGCTCGAGCTCTCGAGCATGGTCGTGCCGAAGGAGCTGGTTACACTGATCCATGATCTTCGGTCGTAGATGGGACATAGATTGAAGGTGAGGATTTCTTTGGAGTAGATGTGATGGGATACCTCGTGGTACAGTTGGCGGCATGTGCTGAGGATGCTCATCGAAGTCTTCATGTTGTCGCCTTGTGATCTGAGATTCTCCCAGACTTTGGCTCGGACTTCTGCTGGCAAATTGGCCAGCTTTCCGAGATTAGTGGATCCCATGATTGTTGTTTATGGAGTTCGAGGCGTCTTTTGGGTGCCTTGAATGTGTTGGTGATTTGTGTTGCGTTTCCGATCGAGAGCTTTTGAGAAAGTTGTGAGGTAAAAGTTTTGTAGAGGCTTTTAGATGGATGTGGGCGCAGGCGTCAATAAACCATCGGGAGCTTCAGTCAGTTTCGAAATCTTTTTTTACCTCAGGTGCGTATAGTTGAGTCACGAGAATTGCCGTGTAGTCGAAACAGAAGTTTGGTTCCAAACCTCTCAAAAGTCGGGACCTAGGAACATTAGATCGGTGTAACCAATGTTCCGAAAGTGTAGGACAATTGTAAGATTACAAAATGGAGAAGCTTCCTACATGAAGCCGAAAAAAATTGGGGGGTTTGAACCATGAAGAGACGAGTGCAAGATAGGAGAAAATAACAAGGCAAATCCCTCACACATCTCAAGCGAAGTGAGGCTTGGTTATTCCAATGCAATATCCGTACACTTTTCCGAACACTGACCGAACCAGGAACAAGCTCTCGGGCGTTATCGCAAGAGAAGGGATACCTGACACGAGCGCGAGATCAAAATATCCCAACTTCTTATGGACTTTAAGTACCAAGTCTACTCCGCAGATGAGAATGCCATTAATATCATAGCAGACCCCAGTGGAAGATTTTCACGCCTTCCAGTAAATGAAAGTCTCTTCCAAGATGAGTGTGTCAGATTGAGTGTCACCACCCCAACTTCTGTTACACATTTCCTCGACGTCCCAAACGGTGGCACATTGAATTCGTCGGAGTAAATGTTATCCATCTTTTAAACTTTTATTGTGCATGGTTTCACCGTCCCAACTTTTAGGTACATTGAGAATATAGATTTAACACCGGGTGATCTCAGGGAAGGGGATTGACCTTAAGTAAATAGTCTCCACGAACTTGTCCTGCACTTTGCGAGCCTTTCCCCGTTACTGCGATGGAAGCTGGGTTTCATCCGATATTTGGAGATGGGGGTGGTTAAGGTTTTTGTAGCACATCGGCTCAATGTTTGAGAGAGCTTTGGGGCGTTGAGACGTTCTAGAGGCTGAACCCGAATAGCTGAATGTCTGACTTGAATTCGGACATGGGGCCAAGCCATGGACTTGATGAACCAACCACTGCTTGACAACAATCTTCGGGCCAGATTGGCTAACATCATTCAACATTCGAGCGGGTGATCTTTCATTTCAACTTGAGCAACGTTTATAATTCGCGGTGGTATCATGATAATGCACCAAAACAGCCTGAGCGCCGTCCATTTAAGCCCAAAGCTCGTCTTCAACATCATACATCGTCTACTCTAGCCAGTAGTGCGGGGATATCATCAACTGTGTTGCGGCCTTCCAAGATATCTGATTACTTGTTAGCATTCTGTCACATGCCAGAATATGGAGGGAAGGGAACTTACCCAGCACAGCCGTAAAAAGCGGATACTCGTCCTCCCGGCCCTTCGCCTTCAAAAAGCTATTAACCTCCTTCGCCGTACTCGTCCCCTGCAACTTCTGCCCATTCAACTCTGTAGCCTCGACCTCATCAACGCTCACCCCCCTCTCGACTGCCATCTTCGCACACCTGAAATTCCTGCCTCCGGAACAGGACGTAATCAGATCCGCGACGCCGCAACTCTCTTCCGTGAACGTGCCTGCATGGACTGTCTGCCCGAAGAACTCTTTGCCGAATTTCACCATCTCGAGGAGACCGACGCGCATCACGGCTGCTTTGGCGTTGTCGCCCCAGCCTCGCCCGTCGACGAAGCCTGCCGCGAGCGCTACGATGTTCTTTAGTGCGCCGCCGAGAGAAACACCTGCTACATCTGACACCATGCGGACGTGGAAATATGGTCTGTAGAACAGCGTCTTGAAAAGTCCGTGATCCAGAGGTGGGTAATCGGACGGCACGGCCCTCAATCGCACCTTACTGTCTCTGCCCAGAACATCCTTATGCGGCATATCCGCGGGCGTAATCGTCAAATTGACTGTTGATGAAGAAGGAGAAGGGCCAGTCGGCGTCGCTACACGGGAGTCCACAGGCGGAGGATCATACGCGATTGTCGTCTCGCACCACTTCTCTTGCGCGATCTCGTTGGCAATATTCGCGCCCGACAGGGCGCCGCAGTAGATTCCCAACCCTTCACCGATCCATTCCGAGAACAGGGAGATCTCAGATTCCGTGACTTCCACGCCTTTGATGCAAGAGATCCCGCGCGCGAAGGGCAGAATGTTGCCGACTAGTTGCTTGGAGATGCGGCCGATGAATTGGTGGGGCAAGTTGAAAATTAGGACTGTGGAGTTGGTGGCGGCGTCGACGACGGAGGGGTTCGCGATGATGTTGGCGGGCAGCTTGATGTTGGGCAGGTATTTGACGTTTTCGTGGTATTTGTTTATTATATGGGTGAGTTTCTGAGGTTGGTCGCCGATTGAGGGGTCGTAGTGCTTTGAATCCTTCTCAATTATGACTTCCTCCTCGTATACCCACATTTGTACTTCCTCCTCGAAGAGTTCTGGATGCGCCTTCGTGTTCTCGGCGATGATCTTTGCAATTGTCGAACCCCTTTGCAAGTTAAAATTGTACTTCAATATAGAACGGGAGGTCTACCAGTTACCAGACCCAACAATGGTGACCTTGTGCTTCTTCGTGGGCGCGCCGAGGGTTGCCATCTTGGCTCGTTGAGGGACTTGGAAATGGTTGGAAGACTGTGTTATTCGTCTGGCAGCTTGACTTGCTCTTGCTGTCAATCTTATAAGCATATGATTGCTCGCAGATGTACTAAAGCATCAATTGAAAGTCGCGACGAGAAAGAGAGAATTCAGGGACACGGCTGAGGTGAGACAACGTTAACGAATGTTGGTCTTGTGCCCGACTGCTTGGTTTCATGTGAGAATTGGCTGGCAGATTTTGGCGGCCGTTGAGACCGAGGATAGGCGGTCATTCCGTGCAGGGGTACTCACCGCCCGCTGTATGAGGTCTAGCTCCAGATTGAACTGCAGGTCTTGCATGTGAACTCGAATCAGGAAATTCGGTGGGACAAAACAAATCGAGGGGCCGAAGCAGCATGGTGGCAACGATTTTCAGGGTGGAGGGGCTGTCCACTAAGGTGTAAAGTGTTCTCAACCAGCACAGTATATGTGCACCCTCGACGCAGGTGATGTATCGCGGGGAATAACAGCAAAAGGGAGAGTGATGAGCAGATTTAGTGGTACTTGTGTTGGTGGACTGGCGGGAGCAATGCTCTAGGGGAAGGCAAGGGGTCAGGAACTTACAACCCATGCTTCTCGGCGGCCGAATCCTTGATATCCAGAAATAAACAATTCCTTGTTGACACGTGAGATCAAGGTAGGAAGTCTTGAAGGCGTGTAAATATCTTTGCACTTCACTGCTCACCCTCGGATGCAGTTTCTTTGGGAGGATTCTCGGCCACACCCGAAGAATGACGTAATGCCGAAAGTGAGCTCTTGCCGAGGCCGAATACTCTATTCCTACCCCACGAAGTGCTTTATTCTTCTTGCACTTCAAAACATTAGACTTCAGTGCAATAATCCTGCTCTATTTGACTTCAACGGGCGTGCCCCCGAAACCAAAGCTGAAGCTCTTATGGGCGCTATGTGTGCTCACGCTAGCAATGTTACTTGCTGCCAAAGTCGGTATCATCCCGGAACACCGTAAGCGAGCCCCTTTCTCGAGCCGATTCTGCCCAAGAAGAGACCTCAAGTTCCCCGGAAAGGTAGATGTGGTGTTCTCGTTATTTTGTGCCCTATTTCGAAGCTCGCTTGGGGGCAAATATGATGGTGGCTGGTTATGAGTCATCATTGCCATAGCCTTCGACGAGGCTGCGCCTTCAATCAACGGAAATCGACGTGCTCCACTTGAGGGTTGAAACGATTACATCCTGTCTTTCCATTCTTTGATCTATTCCATTAAAGCCACTCCTACACCCGAAAAGTTGTTAACGACTCTTGCTTCTGTGGTGTCAGTGCATTATGGAAGACGAATCGGCTCTCATTAAACAGACAACTGAGACAGGCTGGTCGAGCAGCGGGTCCCTCTGTCCGCGGTGCTACGGTCTCTTTTCCACCACTTCAAGCCTCAAGGCCCTTCTTTCCGACGAAGGCATTGCCCACACCTGCATCGAGTCGTGGGGCTCAGAGTACACTGGTATTTGCGTTCTGTGCGAGCTCCTGTCGCGACCCGCGCCAATCATCTTTAAACCATGCATTCCAAGATTGAAGGCGGTTTTAGGCGCGGCCTCACAAACTAAAGAATCGTTTCGAAATCTAGATGGAGAATTTTCCTTGATTCCGGATCTGGAGTATCCGGTGAATGCGTTGCGGATTCGCGATCTGGAGGTGTTAGGCTTAGGCTCTTTGTACTACGAGGAGCTTTATCAGCCACATTTGCTCGCTGTCCCAGGTTCGTCGGGAGGTATTTGCACGTCGCAGATTTTGTGGTGCTAAGCAATGTTAGGTTATCCATCAAGACTATTATCCATCCCGTCGCAACAAGCTCACATGGATTCGCCTTGGATCATGCAGGAAACTAGGCTCCGAATTAGGATCTGTCAAGAGGAGCATCCACTCTGCCCTGGCAGCACAATGCCTCTTCTCCCGAGAAGAGTCATTGACGTTGGCGGTAAGTGCGGAACCACCCTAAAGCTATATGCGCCCAAGCAGAACGAGCGGGCGAATTATGCAACTTTGAGTTACTGCTGGGGGACAAAACCACAATTTACCACAACGCTCGATTTGATGGCCGATCTGCTGCGCGATATGTCAAAGTGCAACCTATCACAGACTCACCTCGACGCTATACGAGTCACTCGAGGGCTCGGCATTCGTTATCTGTGGATCGATGCACTCTGTATCATCCAGGATAGCCCAGCAGATATGATGATGGATATGCCCAACATGGGCAACATCTACAAAAACTCGACAATCACCATTGCGGCGAGCGAATCCCAGTCAGCACACTCGGGGTTTCTGGGCACTCTGAAGTATCCTCCAACGGTTCCACTGCCATTTCTCCTCCCAGATGGTAGCAAGGAGACCGTTTGGTTAAGCTACCATGAAGCCAAATGGCCAGTTAGAGGCCATCTGGACACGCGCGGATGGACGCTTCAAGAATCCTTGCTCTCCCCAAGACAGATTACTTTCGGGGATTCTGAAGTGCTATGGCAATGCCAAACAGAACGTATGCAACCAGTCTGCCAAGGCGCGCAAGAGTACCGCGAAACATTAAAGAATCAGAACAGACTACCTGGCGCAATCTATGGCATCCCTACGTCGCTAGACAAGAAGACCCAGCGTCCCCAGTACCTCTGGAAATTATTCGTGCACGACTACAGTGCTCGGAAGTTTACCGTTGTGGAAGATCGGTGGAACGGCATGGCCGGCATCATCAGCGAGCTGTCGAAGCTCTGGATCGATGACGAATGCGTTGCAGGTTTCTGGAAAAGTTCCATGCTGGAATCGTTAGTCTGGCGTCGATCAAACCTGGAAGAATATCAAGAACCGGCGTGGATGCCCCCTCGCCAAAAGCTGATGAACGCTCCAAGTTGGTCGTGGTTGAGTCTTCCCTCAGAGGTTTGGATACAGAAATTCATCCCCGAAGATTTTGAGATCGTTGACTGTGCAGTCACGCCTCTAGTAAAGACAGCACCACATGGAGCGTTGAAGGAGGCGGTCCTGATTCTGAGAGGGAAAGCAATCACTTTGGCAGAGCTCGAACGCCTGCCAGCCCGTGCTCTGAATCGTTTCCAGCCATACTTCGACTCTCAGGTGCCAGGGCTTAAGGCGTGGGATCCCTTACCATCGAAGGCGTCGATACAGGGTGAGTGGCCAGATGGAATCTTATTTCTAAGAGCTGGGAGGAGAAGGCTGCTTCAGGCGCCACCAGTAGGTATCATACTTGAACAGCTCGAGGACGAAACCGGCAGATTCAGGAGAATAGGAGCCTGGATCTTTAGGAATTCTCACGATTTTGGGTTGAAGAAGTCGGTCGGGGAGGAATTGAGGTCTGCGTGGCAAGATGCGATGACTAGAGAGTGGAAGATAATTTGAGCAAGGGCAAGCTTTGGAAATCATTGAGCTGAGAAGTCGTTGTGATGGATGGAAAAGTTGTGCGGCGGTTGCAAAAGTAATGAGCAGTTGAGAGTACTGATTCTCTTTCCTTATTCATTTCAACTCGATCTGATCCGAGTCTCTTAGCTTCGATTCGACGACTCGACTCGAGTTGCACGAGCACGCACCGTCCTTCGTCTCCAAGGAAGCTTGGTGGGGTTGAAGGGGGAGTAGGGCATCTGGAGAGTGATGATAGTGCGATTCAGGGGTTTGGAGCTCCCATTCAGAGCAGCTGTCTCACGCCGTAATAGGTGGCAGGCGGCCATGATCGTTGCCACATGGCCTATGTTGAGGCAGAGGATAAGAGTGATGGCAGTGAAGGATAGATCAGATAGAAGGTTGCGTGATGGGATGTTTCACTATGGTGCTTAGCGGAAGGTTTCTGTATCCGGCGGGCAAGTCGTCCCGGGTGAGACTTGGCGGGGTTGAGTGAAGTGACGCAGAAGGGACGAACCCCGTGATTCCAGCTCTGGTTGCACGATCGAAGGATTTCTGGCTGACACATGGAAGATCAAGGAACGAGAGTCAAAGCCTGTCAAGTCCTCCACTCTCCTTCCATTCTTCAAGCTTCGCGACGTTTCAAGTACAAGCTTTCATGGGGATGCGCTCTGTCGTACCTGGAATGACGTAGCTCTGCCTAACCACGACCAAGACCAAACCTTGCCGAATGCACATCTCCCGCTCCAACCCATCAACCTCCTAGTGCGCGAAATTTCCTCGCCGCGTTCTTGTACATACTGCTCTCGATTGTTGAAGAATGCTATAATTCCCCTCCTCGTCGCTCCTTACTGCTCACGTTGCATCTGCTTTTTCAAAGATCCTGGCTCTCCGGTGAAGCTATCCCACGCAAGGTGGTGCGGTTCTCCCACACACTCAACGATGGCCCCGAAGACAATGTTGTCCAGCGAAAAATATTTACTCCCTCTCAAGGATGATGGGAGCCCAGATGTCGCCGGAGGATATATTTACCTCACTCCCAAGAGCACTGCCCCGATCATTGTCAGATTCGCAATTGAAGGTACATCCTCAATCTGCAGACATGGCAGCCTTTGGGTGAATATCCCAGAGGAGGGCGCAGAGTTCCGGAGAGAGAAGTTTCGAGAGTTCAAGTAAGATATCTGCATTATAGATAGGGGCAAGACTGATAAGTCGCAGGCTTGAACCAGACTTCAATCGAACAATCGAGATCTCCGTCCCCATCCACGGCGCAGGCGCATTTGCCTTCTACACGACCTACACTCCTCTTCCCGACCTTTCCGAAACTACACAGAAACCCCTCGCACCTGCAAAGACAGAGACATTCTATATCGATGTTGCGCCACGACTCACTCTCGATGGAAGACAGATGCCCTTGGCGGCACTATCAATATTCTCGATCATCTCCAAGTTCATGGGCAAATACCCCAAGGATTGGGAGAAGCACCTTCGGGGCATCAGCGAGCGAGGCTACAATATGATTCACTTCACACCTTTACAACATAGAGGGCAGTCGAATTCCCCATATAGCATATACGATCAGCTGAGTTGGGATCCAGAATGCTTCCCAAACGGTGAGGCTGATATCGAGAAATTGGTACAGAACATGGAGACGCAATACGGTTTGTTAGGGCTGACGGATGTCGTTTTCAATCATACTGCGGACGACAGCTTATGGCTGCAAGAGCATCCCGAGGTGGGATACAACGTTTCGACGGCACCTTGGCTACGTTCTGCCTTGGAATTGGACACGGCTTTACTTGCGTACAGCAGTAATCTGTCGAAACTCGGCTTGGCTACCACTCTCAAGAGTGTGGATGACCTTATCAAGATTATGGATGGGATTAAGACTGAAGTTATTGCCAAACTCAGACTTTGGGAATACTATGTCATTGATATCGAACGTGATGCTGATGCTGCTATTGAAGCATGGGCAAACGGCGATATCAAGTTCCCTCACGGCGGCTTCGGTGGCGATGGTATTGGCGGTCTGGAGGCTATCAGAAATGCCACTCCCTTTGAAAAAGCACAGTTCTTAACGAAGAAGGGTTTATTGAACACGGACACAATGGGCGAGAGGTACAGGAGGCGAATAGACCCTCAAATTGGCGCTGCTCTGATCACTGCCATCTATGGTCGATTTGAAGGAGATGATTCCGACTCGGCCGATCGCGCTGTTGCTAGAAGCAAGTTCACCAGCATTTTGGACGAAGTTAACCTGCCGCTCTACAAAGAGTACGATGCAGACGTTGCGGAAATTCTCGAGCAGATTTTCAATCGGGTGAAATATGTCCGGCTTGACGACCATGGGCCGAAGCTTGGCCCAATTGACCAGAAAAACCCTCTCATTGAATCTTACTTCACGAGATTACCCAAGAATTCGATCACAGCAAAGCATAAGCAAGAGGATCTTGCATTGGTCAACAATGGTTGGATCTGGGCTGCTAATGCTTTGATTGATAATGCTGGTCCTAACTCTCGGGCTTACCTCCGTCGCGAAGTCATCGTGTGGGGTGACTGCGTGAAGTTACGATACGGCAGCGGGCCAGAAGACAGTCCGTATTTGTGGGAGCACATGGCCAAGTATACTCGTATGATGGCCAAGTATTTCCAAGGATTTCGCATTGACAATTGTCACTCGACTCCTCTACATGTGGCGGAATTTCTTCTAGACGAAGCAAGACGAGTCCGACCAGATCTCTTCGTGGTCGCCGAACTTTTCACCGGGTCCGAAGAGATGGATTATGTTTTCGTCAAACGTCTGGGAATTAGCTCCCTGATCAGAGAAGCCATGCAAGCGTGGGGGACTGGAGAACTCAGTCGACTGGTGCATCGCCATGGTGGCCGTCCCATCGGCAGCTTTGAAGTCGATGAGATTTCTGGAAATGAGCCGAAGAACACTCCGAACGGTACCACAAATAATCAAACCCAGCGCGAGATCATTCGCAAGATTAAGCAAACGCCAGTTCATGCCCTGTTCATGGATTGCACTCATGACAATGAAGTTCCAGCGCAGAAACGAGATGCTCGTGATACTCTCCCAAATGCGGCATTGGTCAACATGTGCGCTAGTGCGACTGGCAGTGTGATGGGTTACGATGAAGTCTATCCGAAACTGGTGGACCTCGTGCATGAGACAAGACTGTACACTTCGCCATCCTCAACGAAGCACGTCGAAGTTGGCGGCGGTGAGGGTGGTATTGGGGGTATCAAGAAACTCTTGAACCAGATCCATACTTTGATGGGGAAGGATGGGTATGATGAGACGCATATCCATCACGAGGATCAATATATCACCGTCCACCGAGTTCATCCTGAGTCTAGAAAGGGGTACTTCCTTATTGCTCACACAGCGTTCCCAGGATACGGGAACGGAAATGGTGGGCTCAGTCCTGTTCATCTCGGAGGTACCAAGGCTCGACACCTGGGCAGTTGGATGCTCGAGGTTGATATGAGCGACGAAGCCAAGAAGGCAGCCTTAGAGGACAAGAAGTTCTTGAGAGGTTTGCCGAGTAAAGTCATCGACCTGCCTGGAATTCGAATGGAGGCCAGACAAGACGAGACGGTGATTTCTGTCCGGGACAAGTTCCCTCCCGGAAGTATCGCTTTGTTTGAGACTTGGATTCCTGAAGCAGATCACACGACTAGTCTAGATACATACGTCACATCGGGAGGAAAGGCTGCATTTGCGCATGTTAGTCTCATTGATTTGAACTTCGTCTTGTACAGATGCGAAGCAGAGGAACTCGATGCGAGCGACGGAAAAGATGGAGTTTATGATATCCCAGGGCACGGCAAGCTTGTCTACGCTGGCCTTCAAGGCTTCTGGAGCATCTTGAAGGATATCATTGAGAACAATGATCTCGCTCATCCTCTTTGCCAACATTTACGGAATGGCCAGTGGCCTTTGGACTACATCTCCGGTCGCCTGGAACGGATATCCAAGAAAGACGGATTTGAAAATCTGATAAAGCCAGCGGCCTGGCTGAAAGACCGCTTCGATGCTATTCGGAAGCTGCCCAGCTTCTTACTACCTCGATACTTCGGTCTCGTAATCCGTACAGCCTACAACGCGGCCTGGAACCGTGGCCTTGACCTCATGAACGAAAATGTTCAGAAAGGCCAATGGTTCTTGAAGGACCTTGCGATGGTCAGCGTTCAACAAATTGGTTATGTCAAGTCTGCATCCTTGTATTCCAAGAAAGCTGTTCCGTCAATGGCAGCTGGCCTTCCTCATTTCGCAGTTGAGTGGGCACGATGCTGGGGCCGAGATGTTTTCATTTCCGCTCGTGGTTTGTGTCTTGGCACTGGTCGATATTCTGACTGCAAAGAGCATATTCTTGCTTTTGCTAGTGTGCTGAAGCACGGCATGGTCCCCAATCTTCTGTCAAGTGGCAGTAACCCTCGGTATAATGCTCGAGATGCAATTTGGTTCATGCTTCAAACGATCCAGGATTATACCAAGATTGTGCCCGGTGGTGTTGAGATCTTGAAGGAGAAGATTCCTCGAAGGTTCTTGCCTTATGACGATACTCACTTTGAGGCCAACGATCCTCGAGCATACTCGAAGTCTTCAACTCTTGAAGATATCATTCAAGAAGCGATGCAACGGCATGCAGCGGGCATGAAATTCCGCGAAGCCAATGCTGGCCCAGGTCTGGATATGCAGATGAACTCGAATGGGTTCAATCAGGAGATTAAGGTTGACTGGGAGACTGGCTTAATCTTTGGTGGAAACCAAGATAACTGTGGAACTTGGATGGACAAGATGGGTGAGTCAGGCCGTGCGAATAGCAAGGGGGTACCTGGAACTCCTAGAGATGGAGCTGCGATCGAAATCACAGGACTTCTCTACAGCACGCTCGTTTGGCTTTCCGAATTGCACAGAGAAGGCAAGTACAAATATACCGGCGTCAGCACCTCCACCGGGAATTCGGAACCCGTAACTTTCGATGATTGGGCCGCGAAGATCAAGGACAATTTTGAGCGCTGCTACTGGGTTCCAATGGAAGCCAAAGACGATTCCAAGTACGACATCAACACAAAGATCATCAACCGCCGGGGCATCTACAAAGACCTCTACAAGAGCGGAAAAGAGTACGAAGACTACCAACTCCGCGCCAACTTCCCCATCGCCATGACCGTCGCCCCCGACCTCTTCGTCCCCGCGCATGCTTTGCATGCCCTCACACTGGCCGACAAGGTCCTGCGCGGCCCCACTGGAATGGCGACCCTCGACCCCAAGGATCTCAATTATCGCCCTTATTACAATAATTCTGAAGATAGCACGGATTTTGCGACGAGCAAGGGACGGAACTACCATCAGGGACCGGAGTGGCTGTGGCCAACGGGCTTCTTCTTGAGAGCACTGTTGAAGTTTGATCTAATGCGGAGGAAGGGGCCGCAGGAGAGGACGGAGGCATTCCAGCAGATTACTAGACGACTCAAAGGTTGCAAAGAAGCTATTCAAAGCAGTCCGTGGGCTGGGCTTACTGAGCTGACAAATAAGAATGGGGAGTTTTGTGGGGATTCGGTGAGTTTTGAATTCCCAAAACGAGTGAGAGAGAGGGATTGCTAATTATGGTATAGTCCCCAACGCAGGCTTGGAGTGCGGGCTGCTTGATTGATCTTTATCATGATGCGGCGCAGTATAATGTTAGCCAATTGTCGGAGTCGAGTAATTGAGAGGAGGTGGACTGCATTCGGGATTACAGTGTCTAGAGAGACTGAAGAGTAAGAGGACACCGAAAGAAAGAATATGGATGAATGATTAATGAAAAATGAGGAATACAGTACACGAGGTGGGGTATTTTGATCTGGCGAGAACTCCAGAAGTGGAAGCGGAAGGATGAGAGGAATCAGAGCCAGAATCAGAGTGGTAAAGGAACAGGCACGAGGAGATGGTAGATAGAACTCATGAAAATAAACGGCTTTTGGAATGGTTACTATAATCGCTATTTTTGTCTGTTGATTGTGGGATGGTGAAGGAAGACAGGGGAGAGGGAAAGAGAAAAGGGGAGCCAAATCACATGCTCGCTTGCCTAGGAAAGTCAGATGACATCCCGCATGCAGCTATGCCTAAAGCCGCTCAGCCTCACATCCTCATCAGCTCTCAACTCATCCAAACTTCTCCCCTCCTGATCAAAATCACAATCAGACTCAGCTGTGTCTCCAGCCGGATTCCCATCTCAAACCTCAGTAATTCTTGGCCCAGCTCGCCTCCACCGTCACGAAGCCCATCTTCCCGCCCCATGATCGTCCGGAATCTCGCGGGGCTGCCTTGAGCTTTCTCACCACAGAAATGGCCGCAATCCTAACAACCAACCCAGAATTCACAACCCGCTACCTCCTCACCCTCCGCTCACCATGGGCCTTCATCCACCGCCTAGTCGACATCGCACTCCGCTTCGCGGCCCTCGGCTATGTCGACGAGGCCGTCGAACTCCTCGAGATGGCAGACGCCTACGTCCCCATCCCAGCCCGCTCAATTCATGACATAGGTCTCTATTTTGCATTCCAGGCTGCGGATTGGTGGCCGGATTTCACGCCCGATGAGGATATGGAGGACGAGGATTTGTTGAGGAGTCTAGATGTTTTGACTGTTAATACAAGTGTTGGGAAGTTGCTTCTGGATCAGCAGCCTGGTCCCCGGGATGTTGGGGAGGCGAGGGATAGGCGGGATTTAAGCCGCGTGCTGCAATTTTTGAAAGATAGAGAGGGGAGTTGGGAGGATAGGGAGGGATTTTTCACTGGGTCTGAGAAAAGGGAAGAGGAGGACGTTGGTGATGAAGGTTTACATCGCGGACCCGTGAAATCAAGGCTCACGATGACTTTCGACTCTGCGGTCCTTTTTGGGTTCCATCTTGCCATTAACAAGCTCGATGACCAGGAAGCGACAGAGACGTTGTGTGAGGTTATTGGAGGGGATTTGGAGCACTACCTTCCGAGGCTGGCGAGGTATAGATTCGTGTGGCGGGTCCTTGTTAGGGGGATCCTGGGGCCAAAAACCGAGGACGGCAAAAAAGAGGTGCAAGCAGAGTTCGAACGTCTCAAGGGCGTGGTGAAACGGCGGATGAAAAATGGCGTCGAGTTCCCGTTTCTGGACGACGGGATGAGAGATCTCGTCAAGATGCTTGATCAGAATACGAGGCGGCATGTGCAGTTCCTAGAAGATACTTCCAGTGACGAAGACGGGGAGGAAAAGTGGTCACCATCAATACCAATTTCTTCTATCCGCCACCCCGGCGCAAGCAAAAAGAGCATCGAGGAACTGGAACTGAGACTCGATGTCGAGTTACCAAGCGACTATAAGGAGTTCCTCAGCATAAGTGACGGCATGGATGGGATCTGGAACGGCCATTACCGACAACGCCTCCTTGCTCCCTCTTCCAAGATACACCACAAAAACCCCCCAAAACCAGATCCCGACTCTGCCCCCTTTTCGCAGCTCATACTCCTTTCTCTGATTCCGGGCATGGAGTTGCCAGAAAACTTCGGCGTTGTCTGGCCCATTTTAAAGCCGGAAGCTTGCTTGGTTATAGCCGGGGATAAGGAGGGTGGGGGAGAAGGGAGTTTGTGGTTAGTTCGCGCGTACGTGGTGCGGAAGGCGAGGAATCGGTTGATGAAGAGGATTGAGATGTTGAAGGAGGGAAATGATGGAGAGGAGCAGAAGAAGCAGAGGAGGTGGGTGGAGCGGCTTGTGGGGGATTATTTTGGCGGGTTGGAGGAGCTGGGGGAGTTGGGCGAGGGGGAGAAGTGGGAGAAGGAGGAGGGTGTGGATGTCATGCATTGGGCGGTCGTGTGTTGGGATGAGCGTGGGTTGCCTACAGAGGTTTGGAGCAGCTTTAGGGAGTGGATGGAGAATGCGGTGGTGAAGAGTGAGTTCCCGGACATTGTGTTGGAGAAGAGGGATTTGCGGAGTTGAGCGATGACGCTCTCGAGTGAACCAGCCACCTTTGGGCCGATTTTTAGGTCTGTGGAGCTTCTCAAGGTGTTGCCCGCTTTCTTCATGGCGGCGCTCAGGGGTGTGTCTCTACAGTATTTTTCAAGACGTCGACTTTAATATTGCCATTACGGCCACGTTGCCAATACACCTCACCCGCCAACCCTACCTAGCAACAACCCCATCTCCGACCCTCGGCGTAGCACTTGGTGAGAAATACCCGTGCAGCTCCCTCGCAGCCGCCTCTTGCTCTGCTTTCCCAGCCTCAGCCATTCCCACCCCTCCCGTTGCAGCAGGGCCAGGGGGAGCATAATACCCATAAACCTCCGACTGAGGAGCTGGTTGGTCGGCTGTGGGCTGTAGTTCATTCTCTGCTGCGGCAGCCTCACGTGCTGCAATGCGAGTTTTGCGGGTCCTGCAGCAGTAGATGCTTGGATATATTAGAGAAGAAGATGGCAGGGGATATGGCAAGAGGAGATTACACAAAGCCCATTCCGAGCAAGAAGATGATTATCAAGATTGCTAGCAGGACGAAGAAGAGGAGGGGGCCTGTTGCTCGATCAGTTGCTGCTTTCAAGGGTTATTGGATGGGAATACAGAGGGAAAGGTACTTGATGTCGGACCAGATGCTGGACTAGATTTGATATTGGTTGTGAGGGGTGTGGATGTTGCTGTTACAGTCGTGGGGGCAGGAGTCGCGGTTGCGGTTACAACTTGGGTGACTGTCTGGCTGCCGCCGAGATCGCGCTGAGACAGCGCCTTGAGGGGTAGACCGAGGGCCATAATATTGGTCTCTCTGTTTGAGAGAGGGGAAGAAAGAGACGGGGACAAGCGCGGAGAGTGAGGTTATCGTGAATGATGGAGAAGCGCATGTCTGTGCTACATGCCGGCCAATTCAAGATTTGGTCTCGTATGTTTTGCGGCGCAGCAACCCCCTTTTCCAGGGGTTCATTTGGCGACAATCGGGCCTGGTTACGTAAGTGGTGGACTTGGGAAACTAAGCTCTCAGTGGTCAGAAGCTAAATTATAGGCCCATCAGCTTAATTTCACGGCTGCTGGAAGAGGGGAATAGATTCTAGGGGCTTGGCGCCTATAACTCTAGCGATGACGGGCCTATGGGAAGTCAGGAAGCGCTCTCGTTTAGCAATATCACCCCTAAAATTTTAGCGAGCTGGAATCAGCTTGTGATGCCTACCAACCTGCCATGATTCCCGCAAGTCTACTCCTTTCATTGTTCCAGCCCTATGGTATACATTCAATTGAATGCTTCATTCGAAACCCCTTTGCTATGTTTTCAACTCCGCGCTGCTTCCAAAGTTCCAACACTTTTCTGTACCTCCAAATCAGTATTGCTTGCAATGTTTCAGCGTTATCACTTATAATTCACATCCCATTGGAATGCAACGCAGTTTAGAGTATTTTTTGACAGGGCAACTCATTCCTAATTTTGCTGTTGACTTGCTTAGATTCCCTTCTTTGAAATGTTGCCGCTTCCACAACGCTTTGCCTTTCTTTTCCTCCAGTGCCTCCACTCCCATCCTCTGGCTCACATCTCCTCAACTTAAAAATAGAATAACAAGGTTCCATAAGTTGTTCCCTCCTAAATTTCCTCCACCACATGAGTTCAGTTGACACACCTTCGAGGTGTTTCAACAAGCAATACACTATCCAAAGTCTTTACTCGAGATACAGCTACATGAGAGCGGTAGTGTTTACACATCCTCCTCAATACTTTATTTAGACATATCAAGCAAGCGGAAATCAGTATAGGAATGAATTCAACATCTCACAAATCACAAGATTGCTTGCACTAGTGCCCTAGACACTTTCAACGATCGAGTAAATCAAAGATTGTTATATTATTGAGTATTATTTTATTACCTATTCCATCATCAAACCTATTAATATCGAATCCATATCTCATATAGCCCCGTAAAATACAATCGATCTCAAGCAATATGCGGCACATTCGTCGCCCAGGTGGCGATATACGCACTTGGCGGTAAGAAACACAAGCACCTAAAAGTCTCTACAACCAAAAACAACCTACAAACCACATAACTCAACGGGATCAGAAAGACTGAAAAGAATTGAATCACAACCATGGTGTCATATATATACCCCGACGAGCCAGTATTAAAACTAAACAAGATTCTTATGACAACCCCGAAAACCAAACCCATCGTCGTACATAAGACAGCAGCGATTTTCCACAAAAGGCTTTCGACGGGCGTAGGGAAGACGAAATTCCATGCCGCGATGTGCACAGCACCGAAGACCGTGGTGCCGAGGAAAAGACCGAAGATGTCGCCTTGGGAGATACCGAGATCAGATATACCCATTATCCGATCTATCCAGGGGACGTCGCGGTTGTAGAGGTTGGGGATGGGTTTGCCAAGTGGCCATTTTCTAATCCTGTTGCTACCGGCTAGAGAGGTAACGAGTTGTTCTACTATCAATATTAAACCGCTAAAGAAGCTTTCTGCTGCGCCTCTATCTCTTTCTACAATTTCCATAGTGTCTTTAGGGAAAGGACCGGGGTAAGAGATGATTGTTATAGGCACTTGCACAGCCTTAGGCTTCTCCCAATTTATACCGTAAATTATAATAGCGCAAGTCGCGAACGCAAGGACGGAGACCTCTAGTTGTGAGATTGCAAGGGAGCGGAAGGCGCGGATGATGATCTGGATTACCATCCATGTTATTTGGACTACTGTAATGGCTCGCACAAGGCTATCGAATTTGGATTTGTCGTTTATTTCTTCTAGCGTAATATAGGGTAGCTTTGGCAGAAGGCCTTTTGAGCGAAGGAGGACGATATCTTGGGTTAGGAGGTGTATTAGGACGGGTTGGGAGGATGTATTGGCAGATAGACCGAGCTCGGCCGTTGATGGCTCTTTGCTCTCTGCTGGATTCTGCTCATGAGCATTAGGAGGGGCGAACGCAACATCAGAGTTTGATCTCCATTCCATTCTGCGGCGGAGTTTTGCTTTCCAGCCCGCTGTCTCTCTGGTTCGAGGTAGAGGCTTTTGTCGGGCTGTCCCGGTCCTGGGAAATGTTGTAGTTACAGCCCGTTCAGGTGCACTACTTCGAATGACAAACCCTCCCATATTTGCGAACAGCGAATGGGTTCTGGTCCATGGTACTCCATCCTGAGCTGCCCAGTCTTGTAGCTCCTCCAAATCCAGCTTGACCGCATTGAGATCCCCCACATTCTTGGCTAGCAGGATTTCTGGTGCGAGAACTGTGACCAACATCCATTTTGCGCTTGTCCACCCCCTTTTTATAGCCCACCATATAGTGCCCCATTTGCCTGGATTGCGGTCTTCTCGTTGTTCGGGGACATTGAGGTGCAGAACTGTCCATGTGCAGGTGATGATTGTGAAGAGACAGCTCCAGAGGATATCCATCGTACCTCTTGTGCCGTTAGCGGATACGAAGTTGGTCGAGTTCGTTGGGATAGAGCAGTTGGTTTCGAAGGTGGTGTATGCATATGTGAGGCTTGGGAAGAGGAGGATGACGAGGCTGCGCGCCATTGCGGAGAGATTCGGCGGCAGGTTGTGGTTATATATGGTGATAATTTAAGCGTATACAACGATTAAAGGAAGTTTCTATCGAGGGTGCATATGTTGTGAAGAGATTTGGGAGACGTGAGTGAGCATGTTGAGCTGAGAGATGCTTCGTCAACGAGGCTAGGGCACGATGCATGTGATTTGCCTTTTCTGGCACGTGATAGAAATGGAACCCATGGCGGGCGCCACGTCACGCGGGGGGGGGGGGGGGGGGGGGGGGGTTGGAGCTTAAGAAAAAGCTGCGCTTTTAATAAACCCCTATCCAGCTGAGCCTTCAGCTATATCGACAAAGCCAATATTCACCTCCTTTCAACCACCATATCGGTGACCACATGATTCAAGATTACTTGCAGAGAATCAAGAGATTAAGGGGTAAGGTAACTTCGATCTCGGCAAATATTCGCACGCGGAAAGGGCAAGGCTGAAGGTCTCTTCAGCGACCCGAGACTTGGAAGTTCCACAACTTGTAGAACATTTGGGACATGTGTTGAGATAACCCGTGTGTGGTCGTATTCAAAAGAGTGTGATTCACAGGCTACATGGATACATCGAAGACAGTTCCTTCCCCAGGCTTCGCATCCCTGTCTCGAACAACAACCTCTTATTCCAACATCACCACATTCATTACTCGAATATCCAAAGAGGTGGTGCGATCCAGCCGCGCAGCGCTCATCTAATCTTCTCCAAACTGAATCCTGGACCAGTACCTCTTATATATGTGCCTCGCAAAGTCCGCCCCTTTCTGGGACTTAGCGTCAGAATGGTGTTGTTTGCTGCTTCGTGTCCAGGCTTCGATCAAAACTAAGAGGCCAATCACAAATGCCGCTAATATGAAGACGACGATCGCAAATGCGAGTCCATCTTTCCAGACTGTGCTTGTCGTGGAGTTGATGCTGGTTGGAGGGGAGTGTTCTGAATGAGGTGAGACACCGGATTCTGGGTCTGCGTCGGCGTTGGTCATTGTTGATTGGATTAAAGGGGTGGAGATAGTTGGATAGATACAGGGTGCGGTGCGGTGTGTTGTAGTGTAGTGTGGTGTTGGGTGGATGGAGTCGAGGGAGGAGAATGGGTTTATATTCTCTGCGAGTCATCGAGGTCTCGGAAGCTGAAACAAGGACAATGAAATCCCCAAGTGTGTCTTCCTCAGATGATCTCCGGGGGGCGGATCATCTTTTCTTTTTAGAAGATGATGCCAGAGGCTGGAACATTTAGACGGAACAAAGAAAATTGTTTCAGTATCCTCAGACTTTGAGAGATACTCAAAACGAAGACCTCGCTGACGGTTGTTGGATTCTTCCTTGCCCCCTGCCAAGTCTTCGCTTTTGTGGTCTGAGAGCATCATGTTGGCGAGGGCGTGGACTCTTCTTTGGAGGGAGATCTTCTTTGAGCAGCTCTGCATCCAGTTGCTGCAAAGCGGCAGTCGTCAGTGGTCTGGAATTGATGGGACCCAGAATATATCCTGGCCCGTGCACATCAATATTGACAACTGCTGACCGCAAGGGGTCGTTTTGCCCTGATGTCGTAAATGCCCACCACTCTTCCGACTCCTCGAGGGTCTGGTACTATCACGGCCAAATATTAGCTCAACGATATCGAAGTTACCGGAGGAGCGGGAGGAGATTTTTACGTTCATAGCTTCTTGAACTACCCTATGAGCCCAGATTCCCCTTGTCCCACAAGAATGAGTGCGGCGGTAGGGCGGCCTCTCAGCGTCTCGATATAATTGCCAGACCGCAAGAGCCATCTTTCTATAGTTGTCGGGACTTGGTGGCCCCAGGCAAGAATTCAGTGGCCCAGATGGACAAAGCACTTTTGAAGCTTCTCCAAGTTGCGATTCATCTGGCACATCGTCGAGGAACACGCCTTGCAATCGATTCAAAAGGCTTTGGAACACTCGAGTAGAACAATTGTATCTCTGCTCAACAGACATTCCGTGTAAGAGGGCCAGAGATTGCTGGACAGGACGTAAATGAGGGAATCTTGTGCGTATCATCTGAGAGATGAATTCAAGCATATTCAGTAGCACATCCTGCTGTTGGATTTGTTGCCATGGCAACAAAATGTGATACAAGTATGGCAGAAACAGCAGAGTCCCTTTCTCCAGAAGGCCCTTGATGAGGCCGAAAGCCCTGTCAAAGTGTTCGAAGGCAACATTTACTTGGCCAGCATTAACCAGATTATGGCCGTCGGATAGGTTGTGATAGAAAGATTCCAAAGAGGTGATCTCGAAAATCTCTTGTTGTATTTTCCAATCTCGCCCTTCAAAACAGCTGTTGTAGTAGTCGCGACCACAATGTAAGAGTTGATCGAGTTGGCTGAGCTCTAGAGACTGGCGTAACACACCCCCCACCTGGTTTGGATCAGGTATCACCGTAATGCCAGAGCTGGATCGACAAAGATCGTTCTCGAAGGACTGGGTAGCAACAATACTAGAGACAGGGCGATCTCCGCTTTGAACTGGGATATTGGCCGGTTCAGGTGTGTGCCATTCAATGCGAGTCGTTGGCCGCGCGACATCGGCATCCTTCACGAGAGATCTCAGATCCCGAACGCCTTTCCTCCGGAAGTAATGCTGCACCTCATCAAAAGTGACCACACGACCCCGGATGAGGAACGCCGATTTCTTCCCCTGGGATTCCCTTTCAAGGGCAATCTTCACAGCATACAACATATCTGCCTGCTTGTGGTTCCGATCTAAATCCCATTTCTTGATGCGTTTCTTGAGCATGGCGGCCCTGGGAGTTGTCAACTCTTGAACCGCGAGAGAGATAGTCTAAGGGACGACTCACGTTGGTCGAAATGATTGCTGTCCAAGAACGGACCTGACGTTTTCAAGGGTCTTCCCTTCATCACGGTAGAGTTGCGTGATGAGGGGACGTTTCTGCTCCCATTCGTCTTTCGAATGCGACTGAGCAGGCGTCAAAGGAATGGACAGCGAAGTGCTAGGAGCGAAATCCATGATGAAAGCTCGTTTGGCTTGGAGTATAAATCTTGCAGAAATAATGATGATGATAGTTCGCTATTTCCAGCGGATGTAAGAGAGGTATATATGGGGGTTGTTGGCAAGGCTCTCGGAACCTTGATGGCACTCGCGATCCAATCGCTTGCGTGGCAAGAGATCCTGCCGCGCAAAAGTATCTTGCATAACGCCAAATTCCTCCCATAGGCCAGAGGACGTGAGGCTGCACCGTCGTGGCTGGCACTCGCCAATGAGATCAGTGTGGCTGCGTCTGGGATTTGGCACGAAGACTTAGCTCTTGCAAGGAAAGCAAAACTGCAGAGTTCAGACATCTGGGTGTCCTGTCAATTCCTGAAGTGATTAACGCATCATCAAATCAAACCATCCAAGCGCCAACGCTGCCCAAAGAAACCCCCCACCTTCTCGCTTCGAGCCCTCAAGGCTTCACAACATTCCCTCCCTCCACGGCCCCCTTCGCCATACTAACAAAGAACGTCCGACTCTTCACCAACCAAACCAACCAACTCGGGATCCACCAGCCAAACAGCTGTCCCACGCCCCCACTAGGTCCGGTGGGGACAAACTGCGTCTCCCCTATCCCCTTATACGTCTTCTGCGTAAACGGAATCTCCTTCCCTGCAGCCTTGGCAATATCAATCCCAATACTCGTGCAAACCGGCGAAATGCCGTTACCAGTCGAGACGATGCCCCCATCGCAGTAGTTCGCCACATCACCAACAGCATACACACCCTCGATCTTCGTCCTCAGGGTCAGGGGATCAACAATCACGTGCCCTCGAGTATCAACCCACGATGGAGGTAAGAACGTCGTATTTGGCGTGGGACCTGTAGCATCGATGAACACATCAACCGGTCTCATTGACCCATCCGAGAATCCCAGCGTCGTACCCCCTTCTTCATTCTTCTTCACAGACGTGACACGCAAATTGTGCAGCGTCTTGACCCCGAGAGTCTTCAAGTTCGACTCAGCTTGTGCGCTATTGTATGCAGTGAGCCGGATCAGAAGACGGGTTGTTCCGGAGAGCAAGGTGATGCTTTTGTTCGGGTAGTAAGAGCTGATTTCGCCTGCAGTTTCAACACCGACCGCGCCACCTCCTGAGATTAAGACTGATCGGGCGTTCTTCAAGGAGCCTCGGATGCGTGCGATCTCTGTTTTGGTGACGGAGTCGCTTTCGTTGATTTGCCAGAGCGGAGAAGCGTATGAGCTGCCTGTTGCGATGACGAGTGTCGAATAAACCACATCTTGGGTCTGATTTGTTGATGTTGTGATTGTTACGGTTCGTGATTTGGGGGTGAGAGCTGTTGCTTTTCCTTGGATGAATGTGATGGTCTTTTGATCGTATTTCGCAAATGCGGCGGCGATAGATAACCACACGCTTTCTGAAGGAATCAATTCCTCGCTGACGAGATGGCGCGGAGTTGCAACATTCCAGTAGAAGTCGGTGTTTGGAGACACAATTGTGATGTGATATAAAACATCCGGTGTCAGCTTTGAGAGCGGTGGGATTACGTGTCGAAGCAGATAATGGGCCGCGTTCACCCCTCCGTGATGGGCTCCTAGGATCACGATCTCGTGTGTCGTCGACATGGTGCTGGTTGAATTGAGTTTGAAATAGGTTTTTCAAGTAAGTTTGGGGAACAATGATGGAAGAAAACACAGAAGGGAGGTTGTTTTAAGATGTTAGACCGAGGTAGGGGGGCACGGAATGACACCTGCCGATGAGCTTTCAAACGGGTGACTACGCGGTCGATCTCAAACGCCACCATACAGAAAGAGTCCCGAAAAGGTGGCCCAAATTCGGGGCCTCGCGGTGCATCAACTGAAATAACCGGTAGATGAAGGAGAGAGCAAGCTGATTGGGATTGGCTCTTTTCCGAGCAAAAAGTTGGGGCTGAGAAAGCAGGCAATTTAGCCTTTTTAGTTGGCAGCCTGTGCAGGTGGATGCGGCGGGATGATGATGCGGGAAGGCGGGGGATGCGGCATACCTGCATGCAGAATCCGGCCACCACCTTCGGACCTGCGCTGGCACATCACTCGCTTCCGGCCCTCCGTATCACGGCCTTCCGCAACCACCGTAAAAAAAATTCAAATCACGAAGGAGGCGCTTTCATCGGAGAACGAGAGCGGGTTGGTGTTATGTTCCAGTGGACCTGAATGAATCCGACGAGGAGGTCCCTGCACAACATGCTGACAGCGATCGCCGGAGCTGCTGGTCCTCACTCGCCAGTTAGACCAGTTCTATATCGAGATAGCCATTGAGGGCCACTCGGTGAGAGTTGGCACCGTAAGCTTCGTACTGGTGTTGATGCGAGTTGATCATGCCTTGTCTGCTGAACAGGTTCCAGAAGTGTAGCGAAACATGAGAGCCGCGCCGTTCAAAGGGGCACATACATGTCTAATGTGACAAGCTTCGATGTACCGGTGATTTTTACCAGAATCCGGGGAATACACGGCTCACTGACTAGCGAATGACCCAGTGGAGTCCGGTACAATCACCTAATCCAAAAGGTCGACCACACTTCTCAGTATCTCACATGTCAAGTACCGGCGGGAAAGCTTCGTCGTTCGCTTCAAGCCCTCGGACCTCAGAAGTAATGACTTTCCGACTTCACTATGCCATCGCCGCCCCATGAGGAGTATGCTTCAGAACATTCATCAGACTCACTGATTAAGCCGTGTACTATACCTTTCGATGCCTCAAGATACTGGGACGAGTGCGGAACCTCGTACACAAGTGTCGAATTTTTGGACGGTCGGTGCAGTAGTTGGATGCGGCACACTCAAACCTCACCAACCTCACGCTTCATTTTCAAGCATGCCGAGATGGGTAGTTGTGGAAACTTTCCGAGAAGTCAAGTTGTCGATCTAGAAGAGACTGGAGGTACAACGGCACAGCCATATGTTTTGGTTCTCAAAATAGGTTCGCTCATACTTGGATATGATGGGAGAAACCGTGCTGCACATATTAAAGCCATCTTTCATCCGCGCCTGCTTCTTGCAAGGCACATACCTCATCCATGCCACCATTCACGAACACCACTCCATGTCCAAACCTCCCAATTACTACAACAAGTTTTCGCAAATTAGTGGGTATGTAGCGAAAACTCCAGCAACCCAACAACCAAACTCCTTGCTTATGCTCAATTTCTGAACATGCATTAAGATGAAAATGCAATGGCTCCAACCTGGCAACGTCGAATGAGACTCGACCCTACAAAGAAACTGATATTCCGATATGGGCCTGAAGTCGACGGATTTCGGACCCTTCGGCACAATCACGCTGAAGTTGGGCACCTCCCTTCCCCTCGCAATTGCCTTCGCAAATTCGTCCGCTCTCTCATTCCACTCTCTAGGAATCCGCCAGAAAACTACGTTTGTACCATCCGATGGAACTGTCGAACCGCTGTGAGAAAAAGTTTCCACAAGTTCTGGTTCTTGATGGGCGATGATTCGCCTTGTAGATTGATACCTTTCCATCCCGGCTTCTCCCAGCGCTCTCGACATTATATAAGTCATCGTGGTACAAAGGAGCACGCTTGCAGATTTTCGACCTGCACTGGGCAGCCACCAAATGGGTGCCCGAAAGAATCACCTGACGCACCATCTGCGACGGGTTCATAAGACTTCCATATAATTAGACCAAAAGAGGCGGGACCCCTTGGGAAGGCGGGGAGCACCGGCTTCGATGCTTTGGCCGTCGACTGACTAATAGCCTTGTCTTGCAATTCGAATGAGTTGTTGAAAACCGCTTCATGCAGACGAGGTAATGAATTTTGGAGGTGCCATGGTGTAGATTCGAGTAAGAGATAACCAATGTGGAGCGTGGCCTGAAATTTGATAGAGATCTGGAGCAGCAGTTTGTGAAGATAAGCGAGGTTGTAAGCAGAAAAGATGAGGAACGATGCAAGTGGGCTGACTTCAGCAACGAGGGAAAGCCCATGAATAGGATAAATGAAAGCCATAAAGAGAATAATTGTTTCGGCGAGATGTTCTTTATGCGGGAACGGGATTTGTGTTTTCTAGTTCTCTAAGTCTAACACCCACATGCATCTATTCACCCTTCACATTCCCTGGCACACTTCTCTTTTCTCTAGCTGACAAGCGATTGACCTTCCTATAAAGCCATCGAAGCATAATCGTGCTCCCAGTCATCATAGCAGCCGCACCCGCAAACAGTAAAATCCTTCTAGGCGTATCTAAAACCTCAAACAAAGGATAAGGGTAACTGTTTCTCATTAGCCATAATATTCGCAAGAGGTTTTCCCCAGCACTCACAATCCGTTATGCTTGTAACATTGCTCCACCCAAGCCCAATATGCCACCGCGATCGCGGAACTCAATCCCATGGCGGGCAGCGCATTTATCGTCCACGGCGGGCTCAGAAACAATAAATCGATCACCAATAATATCGACGGCGCAGCATGGAAGCCAACATCTGCCAGTGGAGCAAGATGGATCTCGGGCGGAACGACCAAGCCCCTATCAATCGCACATAGTCCCCAATACAAGATACTGATCAAGACTTCCAGCGGCGCGCTGCAGAGTGAAAGCGTGTTCTTGATCAAGAAGAACTTGGGGGAGAGTGTCAAGTCGGCGAGCAAGCCGACTACGAAGGTTGCGTACGCGACGGTGAGGCCAAGGATCGTCAGGTGTTGCCAGTGCCAGCCATAGGAGTCGTTGATATGCGTTGGGAAGTCGATGAGGTATTTGTAGGAGAGGGTGAAGGAGACGATGCCCATAAGATGGATCACGGCTGACACGCCTCGGGAGGGAGATGCGAGGCGTTGGAGAGGGTGGTAGGTCGCTAGGCTGGGAGATGAGGTTGCCATTGTGTGACGTCTGAACAATGTACAAGAAAGGAATCTATTGCGAACGCGATTTGGGATGGGAACGATTGCTGACGGAGGTGTGGAGCCTTGAAGCGGTGGTGTTGTTCTCTTCAATGTCAGCCGCGCGCTAGGCCGCATTTGGTGCTGCAAAATAATTTGCCTTTCTCAGCCTTACATGAAGTTCATTGTTCTCGTTGCATGTCATTTCTCAACACAGATCACCAACCTAGAGATGACAGGAGATGATTCAGAAACACAATCCAAGAAGAGGAGTCGATCGGACGACGACAGTAAGCCAGATCCCAATCCCTCAAGGACTCACCTGATGTTTAAAACAGACTCCTCTTCGGACGACGACATGGGACCACAGCTCCCCTCTACTGATGCACCCAAGAAGAAGCGTCGCAAGCTTCCCTACGAAAAGCTCTATATTTCAGCCCTTCCAACTTCGGCGCGCTACTCGAAATCCTTGATGCATAAAGAGCAGCTGGCTTTCGTGACCATGACACCCCTGACCGACTTCCTAATTACCAGCTCCGTGGACGGCGTTGTCAAGTTCTGGAAGAAAGGTGCGGAAGGAATTGAATTCGTTAAGGAGTTTAGGGCGCATAATGGGGAGATCAAGAGTGTGTCTGTGAGCGCGGACGGGAGGAGCTTTGCCACAGCTGGAGCGGACAAGAGCATCAAGATTTTCGATGTTATGACTTTTGATCTGCTGTCTATGTTGACTGTGGAGTTCACTCCAAAATGCGTGTGTTGGATACACAAGCGTGGGGCTTCCCTACCTTTGCTTGCGGTCTCGGACGAAGTCAACCATACGATTAGGATATATGATGGGAGAGGAGAGAACCAGGAGCCAATACATACGATTTCAGGGCTTCATAGAAGCGTGGTATCGTTAATGGCTTTCAATGATGCATACGACTGTGTCATTTCAGCGGACGAGAATGGGATGATCGAGTATTGGCGCCCAGGAAGCTACGAGAAACCGAACAACGTCTTCGAATACAAGAGCTCTACGGATCTCTTCGAGTTCAAGAAGGCGAAATCGACCCCCGCCTCGCTGACGATTTCTCCTTCGGGATCACAATTTGCGACATTTTCCTTCCCGGACCGGAAAATACGGGTGTTTAATTTCCCAACAGGAAAACTCTACAGGACTTACGACGAGTCACTACAGACGATAGAAGAGATGCAGCAAGCTGGTACAGCTCTTCAAAAACTCGAAGACCTTGAGTTTGGACGTCGGCTTGGAGTAGAGCGAGAGCTTGACAATCCAGCCTTCCGAAATAAGGTCAATGTCATCTTCGATGAAACTGGACATTTCATCATTTATGGATCGATGCTGGGAACCAAGGTGTTGAACACCTACACGAACCGGGTGGTCAAGGTGTATGGAAAGGATGAGAATTTCAGACCTCTCAGCATTGCTATGTACCAAGGACAACCGCAAAAGAAAGGGATCACGACTGTTGCTATGGCAGCCTCGAATAACCCACTTCTTCAAGAATCGGAAGCACGAGATCCAATTCTCTTTACGACTGGAGTTGGTAAAGTACGGTTTTATATGTTTACCAATGATGAGAACATCTCGAAATCCGAGCGAGATGTCCAGAATGAGAAGCCCACGAATCCTCATGCGAAAAAGGCTGTTGAGGCCAAAGCAGCTGAGACTGGAACAGCTGCCATTATCCACACTACTTATGGGGATATCCACATCCGTCTTTTCCCAGACGCTGCTCCGAAAGCTGTGGAAAACTTCGTTGTGCATTCAAAACAGGGGTACTACAACAACACCATTTTCCACAGAGTTATCCGAAAATTCATGATTCAATGTGGAGACCCACTTGGAGACGGGACAGGCGGAGAGAGTATCTGGGGAAAGGAATTCGAGGATGAATTCAGTACCCTCAAGCATGACAAGCCATACACAGTTAGCATGGCCAATGCAGGCCCCAACACGAATGGAAGCCAGTTCTTTATAACGACAGATAAGACAGTAAGTTCTCACATCATACACTTATTGACATCTGCTAATCCCGTGCAGGCTTGGCTTGACAATAAACACACGATTTTCGGAAGAGCTATTCAGGGGTTGGATATAATCCACAAAATTGAGAATGCGAAGGTGTACAAGGAGAAGCTAGAGGAGGATATCAAGATTCTCAATATAGAGATCATGTAATGTAAACATTCAAAAACACAATTTATGAATGATGCCTCTTTTCATTCGGGAAAACTTCGGTTTGCTATTATTGCGTCCTAAATTCCCAGGCGCTTATCGCAATCGCCAAATGTCAAGCCCGAGTGGAGCCTCCTCAAGCCAAAGCCCTTCCAGCTTCAAGCCCCGCCCATCCTCTTCCTTCTCTCTCGACTCCCACAATTCCTTCGGAACCCGCATTGTCCCAAATGCAGGAGAGACCCCACCTGAAAATGTCTATGCAGACCCTGCTCATCATCAGCCGGTCAAGTAAGCACGAGGCTGTGCCCTTCCGCATTTCCGCCACACTGTGAAGACGGACGGCAGACGGGAAAGAGGAATCAGCAGATGCTGCCATGCCGCGGCCGAAGAAACCCGGTGCTCCTGAGCCAAAGCGGAGGAGTCGTGCTGGTTGTTGGTAGGTAGCAGATTCCTTTTGTTCTGGTGGAGCTGGTGCCTTGGGCTGGATGGGGGCCTGAATTGGGCTCGGTGAAGCATTACTCCCATCTTCACAGTTTCGTTCCTAATCTTCTATTTTGTCGAATTACCTATGTGCCATTTATCCAAAAATCTATTCTTCCATGGCATCCTAACAATAAGATATAGGCCCTGCAAAACTCGAAAGATAAAATGCGACGAGGCAAAGCCATCATGTGTGAACTGCCAGAAGCAAGGCGAGACCTGCGACTATAATATAAGGCTAAATTGGGGGGGCAGAGTGAAGAAGAAACCCGAATTCGGGGATGTGATGGTCACTTCAGGAACGAGTCGCCCGAGTAGCAGAGACTCAACAACTACACCAACACCGAACATGCTGGTCCCACCCAGGTCATATACAAGCCAACCGTCAATGATAAAAACAGAAGAATACCACCCGCTCCCGCCTGATGTTGCCTATTCTGCGGCCTTGCAAGAGTCTTCTTCGCAGTATGGCCGGCTCCCACAGGTTGGAATGAGGATGGAGGACTACGGAAGACATCCGCCTGATGTTTCCTACGCAGGGACTTTACCAGAACCGTCCTTGCAGTATGAACAACAACCTTCAATGAACGTCGATCCGGCCTTGATGAGGCCTAGCCTTCAGCCGATATTGATGTATGAACAGCAAGATTTTGGTAGTGTTTATGGCCGCCCGGATCTCCAACATGCGCAAAGCTATGAGAGATACCGTTCGTTGACTCCTAGTACTCCTGATACTCCCCTATCAGCCCAACTACCTCCACTCGCCCGGCTCCGGCACACTCAAGCTCCGGAGGAGTCTCTCTCTCCAACCGACTCGGGTTTTGGAAGCCCTAACACAACCACTTTGTCCCGAAGTATCACTTTGCCAAACATTGGTAGCCCTGGTCTAACCCCACCGTTTTATGGAAATGGTAAGGATGACGGCGAGGTTTTGGCACCTGAGATGGCAGCCGACGACAGACCTTTGAAGCGTGTACGTTATTATACTGGCCAAGATGCCAATTCTCCCTATGATACGAGAATGCCACCCCCTAGCATGGCATCCCTTACGTCCTATAATGTCGAATCCCAAACCTCTTCTCTTGCCATGCCTGTTCCTGCAAGCTCTGTTGGCACACCCCTCACACCGGCTTCAAGTCTCAGTGATGATGGATACACCAAGCCTTATTCGGCTAAAACATCACCACATGGGGCCCAAGATTCTCCAGATTTGCGCAGGCTATCTGTCAGTTCGCTCCTTTCTGGGCCACCTGGTATGCCGCACAATAATGATCGGAATCATGCCCCAAGAAGCAACCCGGAGGTGCAGGATTGGTCTGTATTGTATCAAGATGTCTATCAGGAGACAACTACATGGGGCATTGACCGAGGAATTAAAGATCTCGACATTGGCAAGAACGATGACATGAACGCAGTCACGGGAGTGTCACCAGTAGCTTTGAGAGACCACCTCGAACTCGTCCTTGACGAAGATGGTGAGCTAATTCCGGTGGAGTTTGGATTTGGTATGGAGACGAACAATACCGCATTTGATAACGGCGGCTACTATGACAAGCCAGTTGCTATTTCCATTCCTAAAGCGCTGGAGCCATTGCCTGGCAAACTTCTTGAGAACCCGATGAATCTACTAGTAAGTAGTGTCCTTTCTTGACAACCTGAGTTTTGCTAATTCGGGTTTTAGTACTTTGTGAGCGGTCAAACTATGTCATTAGGGCAAGACTAACGCTTCCAGCATCATTTTTTGAACCATACGGCTGGGTGCCTTATCCCACACAACTGCTCTTCAAATCCTTTCAGGAGCATCCTCCCTCAGATGGCCGTTCAGGATGACAATCTTCTGAATCTTCTTCTCGCATACTCCGCGTCGCACAGGGCACGTCTCCTCCGGCAGCCTGAGCCTGCCACTCGAATCGCGCTATGGGTTCAGGATATTTTCCCCAATCTGCGAAGAGCTCTTGACGATCCAAATCAGATTATCACGAACTCAAATCTTGCTACCGCAATTATGCTTGCATCTCTTGAAATCATCTCGCCGAAAGCCTTTGGAGTTGAAGTCCCATGGCAGAAACACCTCGACACAGCTCGACAGATGATTGCTGCGAGAGGTGGTCCTCAGCGAGTGCAAAGCTCGTCCCGAGGTGATAAAGTGTCATCATTCCTGTGGAGTTGGTTTGCATATCTTGATGTCCTTGGAAGTTTGAGTGGAGGTCAAGCAAATTCGTCATCATCGGTAAGTCATCCCTCGTACTACCTGCCCATTTCATATCCAATCTAACTTCGTCAAGGCCTGGATAATGGACTATGAGATCGACGAGGAGAATGATTATCAGATCGATTGCATCCTGGGCTTCACTAGCAGATGCGTCCGAATCCTTGCCAAGATTGCAGAGCTGTCCAGAGTTTGCGACGGTTACAGAATTGGAGCTGATCTCGAGATTCGACCTGATTGGAAACCCTCAGAAGACACTATCACTCGGGCAGAGAAACTCGAGGCAGACCTTTCAGAGTCACGACTTCATCCTGCCAAACCCTGTACTCACATGCAATCGACGGGAGAAGGTGCATACCAGTGGGACAGCCTCGAGATGGCTGCAACCAATGAAGCCTTTCATTGGGCTGGCCTTGTTCATCTCCACCGACGAATTCTAGGAAAGCCTTCAACCCATCCAGATGTGCAAAAGGCGGTTCTCGAAATCTTCGGCGCTCTTTACAAAGTCCGGCGAGGAAGTAGTGCTGAAGCCTGCTTACTCTTCCCGATGTTCACTGCTGGATGCGACACCGAGGACCAGAAACGGAGGTCGGATATCCTGGAACGTATCAAAGGTGTGGAACGATTTGGAATGACCCAAGTTCACAAAGCCCGTACTTTGATGGAACGAGTTTGGGAGACTGGAAAGCCATGGGAAACCCTAGTTGCTGGAGAATTTTTTGGCTGAATGAATCTCACTACGACGAGTCACGAATTATTGACGAATACACCAACAAACAGTAGCGGTGATTTACGACATTACGAAGAGCAAGAGAGATACCCGAGAAGTACAAAAATACTCGCGATTCTTTTCGCAGGAAACTTCACGTTCTATCCGCTCCAGATGCACAGTGGCGAGAACAATCGCTTTGTCCTGAGCAGCGACGGTAAAAGGCTTCGTTTGTCCTGGGCAGGACTGTAAAAGGCCCTGGATTTGTCCTGTTCCTAGAATGAGGTTAAGTGGAATAAGAACGGTGCGCAAGGTTGCTTGTGCACCCGGACGTCGGCGGTACCGGTCAACGGTGTTCATCTGGGCAACCTTTTAGCACACTTGACTGGTCCTGGGGCCGGCGGTACCACCTGTTTGGAATCCCTTCTGAAGGAGATAAGCGTGATAGTAAGCATGGTCTGGCAAGCCGTGACTTTGCTCCGGAGCCAGCAACTCGGACTCGGCCGAGGGGGATTTTTGGAGCTGTTCTCAAGGGCAGTCCAGAACATTCAGGAAGGAACGCAGCTTCGGACTGCGGCGGGTTGGGATGGTCACGTCTTCCTAGGAGTGCTCAAACACTCTTCAACGCCTGCACCACTTTTCCAAGAGCTGAAGGGAATAAGGACAAGGCAAGAGGGGCAACTGGTTATATGTAGATGAGCGGATCTACAGGCTTGCTTTTGCCCCGAACTCTCGTGAGCAGACGAGATTCAGCCACCGTTTGAGAACGGCGACGGTAGGAATACTGGGTATCTGTTCGAGAGATGGTTTGAGAGAGATCATTTGATAGCGAGGATCTTGAGTCTGTCCTTGTACGTTCTCAAAGGCTTGAGGGCAGAATTCGAATGCTAACAGAAAGCAGTGACCTCAATCCGTCAGGATCGCTTTCAATCTATGGGCTGAAGGCAGCTTCGGGTGGGCGCAGGTTGTAAGTACACCTCTACGCGCTGCGCGGGTCATCATTAACGACTTGCAGCACCGAAGCATTGGATTGTCCGGAGCTCACATCGCTCCATCAGCATGGGCGTCGATCAACGGTTGAAAGTCTCTCTACGTACGCCACTGTCATGCCGCAGTTGAGCGATAGAACCTTTCACCAACGACATCTCAATCTCTCTCATCCTCTCCTGCTCTGCTACAGAATACCACGTGCACCTACGGCCTGACGGATAGTGGCACAACTCGGGTCACTGCTTGGCCAGCGCTCCACACTTCTGGCTGAACCATAGTTGCACACGAACTGTGAAGCTGGTATCGAACTGTGGTTCCCTCGCCAAGCACGGCCCTTTCCATTGAGGAATGTTAAGATTTCTTTAGTCGTCGTTTTTGATACCAGGGTGTCCCAGCGCCTCTTGCGATATCGCATATAGTCATGTAATGCTTTTACTATCCCCATTTGCTTTTTTACTTCTTTTTGTACACACGGACCAAGTGCTGGAGAATTCGTGAGCATGGTTGGAAGAGAGGGTAGGCGAGCAGCTTCATCCTGATGACCAGCCCAGGGCTCGTTGCGTTGTTTTTTGCGTTGTGTTTTGGCGGAGGGGGGTGCAAGGGTTTGGATGGTGGGAATCTTTTGTCAATTGGGAGCCCGAGGCGGAAATAGGAGGGTCAAATTCGGCTGGGAGGGCCATACCCGGTTGGACGGATCTGGAATGTTTGCTCGGCTTGCTTCTATATATATAGTATAGTAGTGTCAACGGGGGGTCTGGGGATCGCTTAGGAGGGTTCGTGTTGGCTGGAGAGAGATGGGTAGATTTCTCACACAGAGGTATATGCGCGGACCTGGAATAAATCCTCGGCTTGCTTCCCACCTTTGTGTCTATGACGCTGATTGTGAATGGTTCGATATGGTGATTTGTCTATGACGCTGATCGTGAATTATTCGATGTGGTGATTTGACTTCCTAACAGGGCTAAATGTCCCAAGTCACTGTGGACATTTGTCTTACTAATCATATGAACATGATCTCACCTTCGGATTCCCCTCCTCCCCTCTTTCAACTATCGGAAATATACTTACGAGGTTCCTTGCATCATGCGGCTGCCAAATTTCTAGCCTACTAGGACCCCCCCCAAAAAACTAGTTCGTCCTATGTCCTAGATCGTTCGCGGCTCCGCCTTTCACCCCACCTTTCTACCCCGCATCAGACTAAATCCAGCATCTAGACCTCATCGTGGCAAATCCTTTACCCGTTTCCATTGGCTTGGATCTTGGCCAAGAAAACGGTGAGCAAAGCATGTAAGTGGGGATATGATGATATATATTTCCAAGCCCCAAGTACCCATTCCTACTGGTTTTTCTCTCTGTCTCTGTTTTGAACTCTCAACTTCCTCAAACATCCAGCTCAAATTTGTGTTCTTGAAATTTGAGTGATTGCCATCACAATGAAGTCACAAGCTATCAAGCTCCTGGCACTTGTCAGTTTTCAACCGCTGGTCACAGCGCATCCCCACTCTTCACCAATCAAGCCAAGGATTGTCGTCTCACGTCAATTCGATGTTGGCAATGTCTACGCAAACTGGCCCTCTTATGATCAATTACCGCTTGATGCCTCCTACCCGACGAAAGCCGCTTGGGGAGTATGGGTTCGTTCAATCTTCAAATCTCAACCTGAGCATTACTGAAGGTCGGCAGGGAGCGGATGATGTCCAAGGGGCATTGAATCACATCACCAATGCAACTATCCTTGCCGCTGGAGATGAGATCAAACTCGGGAGAGCAATCAATCTGAAGTAAGAATATATGAACAAGATTTGAGGATGAATAGCTCATGATCGTTGAAGCATGGACCTCAACGCTTTCGTTACACCAATTAACCCGAATCGCAAACCGCTCAATCATGTTTTCCAACCGGGTTCGGGGTATACGGATGATGTTGTGGTGTTGAATACCCAGGTTAGCACTCAGTATGATGGACTTCGCCATTTGTGAGTTTTGATCTACAAAACATGTGAGGCTTGGCTGATGAATCGGAAGTCCATATTCGACGGATAGCAATACAAGTACATATCAGTGAGTCTTGAATTCCTCCTCTTATCAGATAATCAAACTAAACAAATCAAGGTGGTACAACAATTTGATTGAAGTAAGTCATCGCTGTGTATCTCAATGGACAATTTCTCACCCACGTGCGTACAGAACTTCGATCAAGTTGTAGGGCCCTCACCAACAGAAGTACTCGGAATCCAACAAGCAGCCCAAAAGGGCATTGCAGGCCGTGGCGTTCTCCTTGACTTCGCAGGCTGGGCTGAGGTCAAGAATATCTCCTACTCCGCTTTCGCCGTGCGTCCCTCCCCTCTCCCTGCCCTCAACTCAACTAACCATCTCCAGGGCTTCGGCATAAACAGCACGCACCTCGACGCCATAGCCTCCTGGCAAGGCCTCCCCCAAAACTGGTCAAAGCCAGGCGACATTCTCCTCGTCCGCACAGGCTGGACTAAGCAATACCTGAACCTCACCTCCTACTCGCAAGAAATCCTGCCCTGGGACCCAAACCTCGGATCCGTCGGGATGAATTGCAGTGATGATTTGCTGGCTTGGCTTTGGGAGAAGAAGCTCGCGCTTGTGGGTGCGGACAATCCTGCTTTTGAGAGCTTGCCCTTTGATAAGACGATTGGAGGCGTGCCGAGGAGCATGCATCAGGTTTTTATTGGAGGTGAGTTTGGGTACCCTTCTTGATAGAAAGAGATGAGGAGAGAGAGAAAGGGGCTAATGAAAGACAGGTTGGGGCCAAAGTATTGTCGAGTTTCTGGACCTCGAGACACTGGCTGAGGAGCTGCATGCTCTGAATCGATCAACGTTCTTTCTGACGATTCAGAATCTGAACATCAAGTCGGGTATTGCCAGCCCGCCGAATGCTTTGGCGATATTATAGGTAGGTGCGCTGAGGAGGAAAGCTCGGCAGGGAAAAGGCGGTATCCTGTACACTTAATCATCTCTGTGAAAAATCTGATATGATTACGTCCAAGCTGTCAATTGTAATTGCTGTTCTTGCCTCATCGCGGAGCAAATTCGTCCAGTTCATGGCCCTCAGGATCCGGCCTCGGAGCAAAACCCTCGTATGCCACTCATGACAAACAATCTTCCCCTTCTACACATAGTGCTCTGAATCCCTCCTACCCTACACCACTAACGCTCTTCGACTGACAACCAAATTCGTGCCTCTCCTCCTCTCTACCCACTCCAACCCACCCCACCAAACCACACCCCACAACACCGCACTCATCCTCAAAGTCAAAACAATCCACCACTCAATCCTGCCAAACTTGAAACTATACGGACTCCCTTCGCTCGGCTTGAAAACGCAGCAATCAGCAAGAACGTAGAAAGGCTGCTCAACCCCGGAATACGTATATACGATAAATAAGAACGAATCGGTATAGCTGACAAGGCCGTGGCGCGAACCCTGGAACGCTTTGGTGGGTTTGAGGAGCTACGAAGAGATATTCAGTTCCACAGTCAGAAAATTGCTTTCGTCATCGAACCAGTTAACCATCGCATGCTTGCAAGGAGGGAAGTAGGTATGAATCAAGTATGGACATTCATTTGAGCTCCAGAGGGGCAGGAACTGATATTCTAGAGTACCCGAGAATACCCGAAGGGAGTAGACTTTAAATGTACAATAGCCTATGTGTACATTAAGAGAGGAACCGTTTGCATTGTCCCGCTTGACTCGGGACGTTGAAAAATTTAGTGCCGCTTTTTCTGTCCATCGCGAGGCGGGGCAAGTTCAGGGGCAATCTCGTAACGCTACAAGTTTTATCCTGAATGCTTCATTAACCCCAACATCCGCCAACATCCAATCGATCTCATTTCCATCCATACAAACACACCATCCATTGCTTCACCTTCAGGTGTTTGGCAAACAACTTTCGAACCCTTCAACACGTGACCTCTTACCCCAGAACCGACAGTGCCTCGGCTCGGCTGCCGTCCTCCCCCATCTTTTCGGCATCTCAGTGACAGAGTGACGACTGTGGAGAATCCAGCGAACCAGCTACGCGCCTAGCTACAGCCGCGTCGAAACACCACATTACTCGGCCGCAATGCCTCTCAGCACCGGCAAAGCCGTCGACATTGCCTTCGGCATCTTTCTCTCCTCCCTCTTCGCATTCTATCTCCCCCAATACGTCGAGTGGGTGCCCGAGTTCAGCATCTGGATCTTCCTCCTCATCGTTGCCATCAACTTCGCATCGTTCCTGACTTAGCAACATGCCTACCGAGTCAACATACCCGAAGCTGGCCATCCCAGATGTTGACCTCTGGACCTTCCTGTTTGAGCGGAAGGATAGAGCATATCCGGACTACAAAGGTACCAATTGCACTCCCTTGCCTCCCGAGAATTGAGCTGACTGAGGAATACACAGTGATTTACGTCGACGCCGATACCAACCGCTCCTACACCTACGCTCAAGTCCGCAGCACCGCACTCGACTTTGGCACAGGCCTGAAATCCGTCTGGGAATGGAAGAAAGGGGATGTGCTGGCCATATACTCGCCGAACTGTATCGATACACCAGCCATAATATGGGGGACACAATGGGCAGGAGGGATCTTGTCCCCAGCGAACCCAGGTTACACGGCTGATGAGCTAGCCTTCCAGCTCAAAGACTCTGGGGCCAAGGGTTTGGTAACACAAAAGCCGTTCCTGAAGTCTGCGATTGAAGCTTGCAAGAAAGTGGGCATCGATGAGGATCGAATAATCTTGATGGGCGATGAGAGAGACGAGACGATGAAATTCAAGCATTTCAGCCACGTCCGTAATCTGGCCGGTACATCTCGATATCGCAAGACGAAGATCAATCCCTCGAGAGACCTTGCGTTTCTGGTTTACAGCTCTGGGACTACAGGGCACCCGAAAGGGGTTATGTTGTCGCATACCAACATTGTTTCGAACGTGTCAATGCTGGTAACTGGCGAGGGAAAGAATCTTAGCTGGAAAGGAGGGATTAACAACGAAGGGGACAAACTACTTGCGTTCCTACCATTCTTCCACATCTACGTAATTCCCCCCTCCCTATTCCTGAAACTGAGACTAACACATGTACAGGGCCTCACGTGCCTCATCCACCAAGCCATGCACGCAGGCCTCACCTTAATATGCATGTCCAAATTCGATCTCGCAAAATTCTGCGAACACATCCAAACCCACAGCATAACGTTTGCCTACGTGGTTCCTCCCGTCATCCTCCAACTGGGAAAGAACCCCATCGTCTCAAAATACGACCTCTCCTCTATCCGCATGATGAACTCCGGCGCCGCCCCTTTGACAAAGGAACTTGTGGAAACAGTCTACAACCGCCTCAAGATTCCCATCAAGCAAGGCTACGGGCTTTCTGAAACCTCACCCACAACACACACCCAACCCTGGGAAACCTGGCGAACTTATATCGGCTCAGTTGGTCGCTTGCTCCCGAATCAGACAGCGAAGTACATGTCTCCCGAAGAAAAAGAGGTCCCGGCCGGCGAAACAGGCGAGCTCTGGCTCAAAGGGCCGAACATCTTCCTCGGATATCTCAACAACCCCGAAGGCACGAAGAACGCTTTAACGGAAGATGGGTATTTCAAAACTGGAGATGTCGGCCACCAGGACAAAGAAGGAAATTTTTACATCACCGACCGCGTGAAAGAGTTGATAAAATACAAGGGCTTCCAAGTCCCGCCCGCCGAGCTTGAGGGGATTCTTATCTCGCATCCTGACATTAACGACGTAGCCGTTATCGGAATCGAGGACCACGAGCAGGCTACTGAGGTTCCAAGGGCGTACGTCGTTCCTAAGAAGGGAGTGAAAGGAGGCAAGGAGACAGAGAAGCGGATCGTAGAGTGGTTGGGGCAGAAGGTGGCGAGTCATAAGAGACTTAGGGGAGGAGTCAGGTTCGTGGATGCGGTGCCGAAGAGTGTGAGTGGGAAGATTTTGAGGAGGGTGTTGAAGGAGATGGCGATGGAGGAGAAGAAGGGCGCGAAGGCCAAGTTGTAGATCTATGTTTAAAATTTGAGAAAGGATCTGGATAGTGTAGATAATTTTAGATACGAATCAGGGTTTAGAAATGAGACCAAATTACACAATGCGAGTGGGCTTCGTTGACAGCGCTCCAACTTCGTTTCGATGTGAAGTTATCATGTCGAGGGTCCGTCAAACTTGTTGTCCCAAAGGCTCTGGAATGCCGATGCTTTCCGCTCAAAGTCGAGTCCTTCCTGTTGCACGTCAAGCTTCGCGTGTATCTCACGTGCGGCGCTGCCTGTCAAGACTCGACTACTGCAAGTTCTTATCCTAACACACGCTAACACCTTTGCATCACGAGAGCTGCTATGAATCAGCAAAGCAATATTCAATTTCTTGGAGGGCGGCAATCCAGAGCACGTAGCATCCATGGACTCCTAGAAAAGTCCTCAGAGCCCCGAAGATGAGGTGGGAGGATGGGCTATGAATCCAGGATCTTGTTGTATCCCCCCTGCCTTAACTTCGATGGTTGCGCTCTGTGATGGTTGCACTCTGAGTGGGAGGACCGAGTTGGAGCTCCGCCATTAGTGGCAGGGTTCAGAGCTGAAGGAACTGTTAAGTTAGTCGCTCGATCTCCTTTACAAGGTCGAAAAAAACCAGGCCATGCTGTGTTTCGCTCACTGCCAACCCTGCGGGCTTGGTAGCAGAGTTTTGCTGTTTTTGACCTCCGAGCTTTTGTTTGTTCCCCTCATGTCAGAAGAGAAGAGAAGAGTGCGGCTGTTCTTGTTTTTATGCATTTAGAACTCGGCCTTGTTGCGTGATTGTAACCTTTTTGGTATCTCTATCTCTCCATATATATTTTTTGCTTGCCTAGATCCTCCCTCACAAAATTTATTCAAAGGTAAAGGGTGAATCGACTTTCCGCCTCTTTGAATTTCATGTGTCCGTCCAAGAACCTTTCAAAATCTCTCTATCTTACGCAAGATGCAAGTGATGCTCCCTCCCGTTCAGCCTCCGTCTTCTACCTTACCACGAGTCTGCCGACGATCTTACAACTCAAATCAAGATGAGCGCGCCGAATACACCGAAAGCGGAGGCCGTTCACCCTCTTACAGAACCACGGCTTCCAGACTGCGAAGCATCGACACAGCATGTTCGCGAGTGGATCAAAACATGGCATAAAGACCACGGAGTCGAAGTCGACAAGCTCACTTTGACACAAGTGACATGGACCGGACGGTGGATACACGAGCAGCCTCCTGCGCAACTAGAGTCTGATATTGTGTCCTGGGGCGTACCTCAAAGACGGGCACGCATGATGGTGCTACACCTCGTTCGCGAGAGAAGACATCAAACGAAGCTTAAGCCGGCAAGTTTGAGAGCCATCATGATGTGCAGACCAAGAGAGGCTAACTTTGAGAGCAGAAATGGAGCGATCAGATATCGTGGACCTCAGTTATGTATCCGCTGGTAAAGGGATTCGTCAAATTTGAGGGTACTGTACCTTCTCGAAGCGGCCCGAGTGATTTGGATAACCTTGGAAAATACGGCGATGAGCTCTCTTGAAAACATTTACGACATCCTGTCTAGTAACTTGTGGTTTCCCACTTGCACTAAATCACTGCCCTGATCATAAAGCAGGCTTTGACTCTAGTTCATCTCGAGCGGTCGAATGAGGGGCATTGTATGCTGTCCGGGCTGCCTCTAGATTGCTGAAAGAGCCTTGTTGGAGAGCTCAACTTCCGGTACATATCACACAAGCGGCAAGTATCAGCGCAAAAAATGGCTGAGGTAGGCTGTGCTCACTTTTTTTTGGGAGAAGTTCAAGGAGGCGAATTACGGAGGAATATTCGCACAAGTATCAAGTCTTCACCAAATAGTAATAATAAATGTGTCGCCGTCTATGAGAGAAATTGAAATCATAATGCTGGGGGTCATATTCACTTGAGATCGTTGATCGTGAACGAATAATAGTTGATCCGTCTCAATTCTTCAAACAGTTTCCGTCAATATTCTATTTTGGACGTTACGATGTCGAAACACAATATGCTTCGCCAAGCCAAAGGTTTGTTCAGTCCCTCCTTCCATTTGCCGGACTCCAAGTCTAGAATAGGACAAAGTGGTACTCTAACCTGCTGCGATTAAAGCGCACGAACCATCTGTCTTCCTAAAAAGGGGGTGGGATCCAGCGTCATAAAACTGCACCGCCCCAGCTTCGCTTGGAATGGAACTAGGACCGAGAAACGGGGCGAAGCAAACACGAGGCAACGGAGTCACGAGTGGCTCGTGAATGTTTGATGACGACTGTTTCGATGCGACATCCGAGTTCAGCGAGGCTGAAGCGAGTCCTGAAACCAAAATAGGGCCGACAAGGATGTGACAGCTCTGGCCCAATCTGGGGACTTACCTTTTAAGCTTAGTTGCCTCTTCTACAATGACACTTCCCTGCTAGGTCCTGAGACTGGTCTGGTATTTAGTTTAGGTAATTGCGGGGAGGATAAAAACGAAATTGATCTGGGTTTGCGCCGGAGCAATCACGGGTGTGGAATTAAGTAATGCAGGGTATCTTCTGTCATGTTGGCTCGTCATGCGGATTTCAGTCAGGATATGCTCTACTTTCGGGACCGAGCTGCTCGGCATTTGACGAGGAAGTATCTACAGATTCGTTAATAATTCCCCAGAGTTTATTGTTATTCCGCTTCAATACGCGAGCATTCTATAGGGCTGTTTTGAATCTTCAATGTATGCTTCTAAATGTTCGTGTTTGAGTGACCTTGTAACTTGGGACGGACGCGTACGAGCTTCACACTTCTCAGACCAAAAATATCACCTCTTGGGGAATCAGAGCGGCACCTAGTGAATCGTGAAGCTGTTCGCATCCACTTGTAGCTAGTACTTGAGTCATATCTGTCTCTCAACCCAGGAAGATTTCATCACGAAGCTTGAGGAGGTAGAGGCGTAATGGTGACAATGAGCTCGCCTGCATCTTCGGTATTGCCAGTTTACTTTCGGACGGTGCCGATTTCTCTTGGCGATTATATTTTGGTAACCGAGTATGATCGTCATCACGGCATTGGAAATAATCCCTGAGGCCTACGAAAGTGTTTCTTCGCTCGTATGTCAATATCAGTTCAGACGGTACGTATTTGCGAACATTGTCGCAATTGTAAATCCCAATGGTCCTAGCTTCAGCTGATCCACTTCTATTCATTCCCCCTCAGACTCTCGCTATTTGCTCGTACGTTTCTATGAGGCGTGTTTCAATGAAACATCCACGTAATCCCAGAAGCTTGGGGAATACCTTCGAGAACATTTTTCATTGCATCTGAAAATAGGAGTAAGAATCGGCTTGGGAAAAGTATTAAAGGAAGGGAGAGCCACCCAACGAAATTCACTCCTCACCCTCATCACTTCCATTCATCTCTTACATTCATCATTTCCATTCATCGTTTCCATTCACCGTTTCCACCAGTCACTTTATCAATCACTTCTACCAATCATTTTCTACAATCTTGTATCCACGGCTTGCAGATTCAGCACCAAATTTCACTTATTACATCATTATCTAAAAGGCCATTCCTACACTACTTTTTTCCCCAAGTAGACCTCTTCCGCAACCAATATCAAAATGCACTCCTCATTTGCCGCCACTCTCCTCGCCGTCTCGGCTATTTTTTCGAATGCTTTAGCAGGCCCTCTCTACACTCGTCAAGTTTGCGGGGCAGCCCCCGGAGGGAATGTCGCCCAGAGTCCTCTTTCTCAGCCCGCTGGCATTAGTAAGCTTTCCCTCCCTTTCTACCAAACTTTACATTAACAGCCTTTAGCCACCGCAGCCGACTGCGCCACTCAATGCAAGGGCAACCCAAGTTGCTTGTCCTTCCTTTTCGGTCTCGTTAATAGCGTCGACAAATGCATGCTCTTTTCCGTTGCAGCCGCTTCCATTCCTCCCCAGACCAATATGGTCGCGTACGATATTGGCTGTTCTAGCATACCATCCGTCGTTCCTACTGCTGCCAACCCCGGTGGACTCGCCAATGGAGGTGGAGCCGCCAACGGAGGTTCTCAAGGCAATCAGCACCAACGAAGACAGCAACAGGGTGGTAATGGAGGAGCTCAAGGTGGTGCGACTGGTAACAATAACGGGGGCACAACACAGAACGGAGCTAACAACGGCGGAACCAACAACGGCGGAGCAACTGCAAACCAAGGGACTCACGCCAACCCGATGAATGCTATCCCAGCTGGAAACCCAAATCCTATTTCCACTCCTGCAGCGACGAGTTTGGCTGCCTGTCTCGCTGCATGCCAGGGCAACCCAGCTTGCGTGGCCTACACCTTCACGTCTAACACCTGTAAGCTCTTCTGAGCGGCCCAAGTTTGGTTGACAGATTGACTTGAGGTGTTCTTAACGAATGATTGGCCTTCTTAGTCATGGCGTGGGGAAACGGGACGGAAATGACTGTCGTTACGGGTTGGAAAATGATGTTTAAAAGATCTTGGCTATTTGTTTTGGGGGTGTGTTTGATCTTTCGCAATGTATCTGTCGTTAAAACCACATAGAAAAATTAGCAATTTGAGCTCTCCGTCTTCTTGGCTTGCCCTGTTTTCTTGAAATTCTCATAGCACGGATTTGCCGCGCCGTAGGACAAAGCGGCAAAGGTCGTATTCTCTTCGATGTCAGGATTCAAAGTAAGTCGCAATTCATTGGTTTGGATCCCCGTCACGTTGAATCATCGTAACTCGAGTGGCCAATCAGTAAGAAGTAGAAGGGATATTTCGCGCATTACTAAGCGTGGCGTGGCGGAGTGTGCGGATGGACACAACCAGGAACATTTCATGCGCTCTGAAGACGGCTGAATTAGGGATACTCGTCGGCAATTCCTCGCTTTGCTGGGGCCGACTTGTACTACCACTACGTACGCTAGCCCGAACCGGGTGCGGAAATGCCTGCGAGTATCCCTGGCTAAAGGGGTTCTCTCTCGCCGTCAAAGCGGAAAGGGGGTCAGACACGTGATCTATCGTTATTTTTAAATTAAAGTTTTCTTTGGTTGACCGACGAGAAACTCTATTTGGACATTTACACAATGGCATGAATTTCAACAACACAGTTAGGGTTAGCTCAGGCACCCTGAAATTAAAACAGACGGTATTGTCTCGGGTTCTATCTAAGTTCTCCGCAACCCTGGGTGGTGGAAGTCTCTACCTCGGATGGATTAATATCTAAGTAGGGAGCATTTCCTTGGAGAGTCGATGAGAGTCTGTATGAAAGATTAGAGGCGTTGAACAGATACCATTACTGACCGTGGAAATTTAGAATGATTCAGTGAATAGTAGATTAATGAATGCAGCTGGTGTTAGGGAAGGCGGTGTTCTTGAAATTTTCGGCTATGTTCCTTGTCTCGCGGACCGAGCAACCACTGTTTCACCAGGCATCTGAGCGTTACCGGCATGTCACCCTCCCCCCTTTTGACTTTTGTTCCGACAGCATATCCCTGGTGTCCTCGCCACCGAGTAATCGATAGTGGTTTCTCGCTAGAATATTTCTTCGTTCCTTCCTTCTAGAAGCTTTCCTTCTCTACTTATGTCATTTCAATCGTTATAATTTGTTGATTGTCGCAGCACCTATCAATTCGGCGGTATACATTCGTTCTTGGCCTTGGCTTTGTAGATGAACAGTCTTTACCATATAACTCATCGGGTCGGATGCACGAATTCAAGAACACTTTCCCCAAAATAAACGCAACCACAAACTCCCAAAGAAGATGCCAAATTCTTTCTCGGTATATACACAGATCTTCCTTCATACTAGCAGCTCTAGCTAACATCATAGCCCGGCGATGACAAGTTTGTACTGGCACGAGAACGCGATCAGTTTCACCCGCCGTCGTATGAATATAACACAACATCAAGCAGTGTATCATCAACGAGTCCTTCAGAATATGTAATGGGGGATGAGGAGAGATATCCCACGCCAGTGGAAACCCAGCCAGATTTACCTCCTTACTTTGGACAGAACCGGCCAGCGAGTCCCAGGGACAACGAAGCTCTGTCCCAGGTCAGCATCTACCTACAACACTGGCCGCCAAGTTCCAGGAACGATGAGACTCTGTCCCAGGCCAGCATCAACCTACACGATCTTCAGAAGCCTCCGCCCCCACTCCCACCAGCTCGTCGCAAATGTTTCGGCTTACCACGTCCAATATTCTTCTTTGTTATCGCTGTTATGTTCTTGGTTATCACTGTTGCTATTGTAGTCGGAGTTGTCATCGGCTTGAGGTTAAAAAGCAAAAGCATTGCTAGATTACCTGCAATCACAGTCTCAGGTGTCTTTGCGGGCGAAAACAATACAGATTGGAATATGCAACTCTGCTATACGAACAGGACTACTAGCAAGCTCGGTCTTAGGTTCAACACTGGCAGCGCGGGTTGGGGTGCGGAACAGAGCCTGAACCTTTCTATCACCCCGGAGTCAGATTCTCCAATGGCAGCCACCAGTATGTTGGGAAACGATGGAAATGTCTACCTCAATCTCTTCTACGTTAAAAACGCAGCCATTATTCTAGCCAACTTCACCTGCGTATCTACGGCATGCACAAGAGTGTCTAACGAAGCCATCACGAAATTTGCCACTTATTCCTTATCCTCGGACACATCTCTCGCCGCTGTATACGTCGGCCCAAGCCAAGGTTATCGTGTCTTCTATCACAACACAGATCATTACATCGTTCAACTCACGAGCCCCGGGGATGGAACATGGGATCGCGGGCAAACTATCTCGGGCAAAGCTCTTGCTGGGAGTAGTATTGCAGCAGCCTCAATCGGCACTGGGGGTGACATTGACGTATTGTACGTGGATTCGTCGACCCAGGTGCTTGTCAATGTGCAATGGGAGGGCAACACCTGGTGGAGTCGTAAGTCATAACAAGATCATTGCCCCCATCTTGGAAGTACAAGCTAAGATTCATGAAGCCGCGCCGGTAACGTTTCTCTCAACTCCGGACTGGGACCCCCTTACGGCCCTCACATTATCCTGGCAACCCGCAAGCGACGTCCTGCGGGCCTACTTCACTGGCACGGATAAGTTCATCTACGAATTCGCCGGCACGAATGCCTCGAGCACAGCCTTCCCAAGATCCAACCGAGATGGCGTTGCGCAAAATTCCACCTCTGGGGTGTCAACTCCAGGGTGGGCTGAGGCGCCTACACATGATCTTACCTGGATCCCGAGTGCCTCTGTGGCAGAGGAAATCACGTCTGTAGCTTGGCTGGACCAGGTCAATTTTTATCGGTACGTTAATGGGCAAATTGTAGAGAGCTCTTTGGCGCAGGGAACTTGGTCGGCAAGGTTCATTTAAGATTTATAGATCGGGATGGAGTAACGGTGGGACTTTACGGGGTTACAATGGGAAATCAGGCCAAATAGACAGCGTCCAAAATTGTAGTTTTTAATAATTTTTGCATTTTCGCGATTTCATTCAAAATTGTTATTGTGAATGTGATAGAATGGTGTAATATGCAGATTACGTGTGTAACGCGAATTGTGTTTCTGCAGAATAAAAGCTGAAAATAAGAAGACGGGTGAGGGGACGCTAAGAAAATAGGAAAGGAAAGATGCGCAGGGAATATAAAGCACATTACGAGACGTAAAACGACGCGGAAAACGCCCTTGCCTGTGAAAATTTTGCATTTTGCGTTGGGCAGACTGGGATAACGATCTAGGGATATGTAGCAGTGCCAGAATTCGGTCCCCCGGCTAGGAGAAGCCGGCTCCCCCAGGAGAATATTCTTCTTGACCATGTTCCCACTATCCTCGCCGTCTCTTCTGCTATTGGCCACCTGATTCATCAGCTTCACCAACACCTGCTCGGCTCGTAGAAGTGCACCTGGATCGCCTCTAGGGTCCGGTGTGAGAGGGCTTTAGCGATCTCTTTTCACGAGTACTATAGCCATCCTCCCCCCTTATCCCGAGTATCGTCGCATCCTATTTAGGTATCCACTAAATGCGCTTTATCTCTTTTAATTCCTTCATTTATTAAGCATATTGCAATATAAAGCTATATTCACGTGCAAGGCTCTATTCACGTGCAAAGATATATTTACCTATAGACAGTGTGTCAAATGATTAGATTAGATTAGATTAATGGGCATTAATCTAATCTAATCAAGGAAATTTACCATTAATCATATTCTAATCATAATCTAATCAGATTAATCGATTATTAATTGATTAATTTGATTAATGTAGCACGTGACTATACACGTGATAGCGCTAGCCGCATCGGGAGCGCGCTTTACCGCATTAGGGCTACGGCCGCAGCTTACCAAGCTGTGAGGCACACAATAGCAGGGGATGCACAAGTAGTCAAGGTAAGTAAGCTTTAGAGTGACGCTTGCAAGTGTAACTGATTTCCAAGAGTTGATTCCAACAAAAGACTAATTGATGCCCCTTTCCAAAGCTAGAAGCGTCTCCCTATATATTCCCTAGTGCTTAGCCAAGCGTGCGAAGCCCTTTACTTAATTAGGAAATGCGATCTCATGCAAGCTTTACCCAAAATAGGAAACTAGATCCACGATATCTGACACCCGTCCATATGCCATCAAGTGCGCCCCTCACAAATAATCAGTTTATTATTATAGAAAAGGAGTAATTAGTTAGTTATTAGCTTAATTTAGATTTTTTTATTATAATATTATTAGTTAGTTATAAGGTTATTTAATAATTAATAAGTAAAAGTAAAAAAAGTCAAGAAACTCCGGTGTCACGTGATTAATCAAGCATTAATCAGATTAATCAAGATTAATTAATCTAATCTAATCAAAAAAAGTCTGAATCACGTTAATCATAATCTAATCACATTAATCAATTAATTAATCGATTAATTTGATTAACGTGATTAATCCTTTGACACACTGCCTATAGAACTGTATCCACGTTACGCGCGGAGCGTATTCACACGCACAGGCAAGTAAAAGTCGCGTGCCGACCCGCACGTGGACATTAAAAGTGAGGATATACTTCTTAAGCGGGCTGTGAGGGCAAGGGAAGAACGTGCTTCTTGCCCGCCTTATATGCGCGCGCCAGGGGCTGAAATGTAGCCCAAAAAGAAAGTCTTATTTCAGGATAAAATTACAAAAACTGACCTCCTTAGGAGCGGGGAAATGGGGCCAGAAGGGAATCGAATTCTCCATTGCATAAGCACAGGGCTGCCCTGAATGGGCGCTAGCATATGAAAGAGAGTTAACTTCTATTTAGGCACGAAAATTTCTCCTTTGGGTAGACAATCCCTGGTTTTGGAATGCTACGCGAGTTGAACAGGGGTTTGGCAGGGGTTAGCAGGGGCATACTCCTTTTGAATTTATATCTAGGGCATTCCTGTAAGGAGCACGGTGTAAGGGTTCGAGTCGAGGTGCAATAGCGACGAGAGTTCGTGATTAGTGGAAGAGACTTCAGGTTGAGAGTGGTGAGGTGGATAGCACTTGTGCCGCGCTGTTACTTCGGCAGTTATGCTCACACGCGGTACGAGCCGAGCCGTCTTTTACAGAGGTACCCAAGTATTGCTATCACATTACATGTATTTCAATATGATTTAATCCGACGAAATTCTCACTACCCTCCACTTCCTATTACAACTCTGGGAATCCCATTCCTATCCTGTAACATGATACCATCCTCTGAGAACTCTCAGACGCTTAGCAGACAACGGCTGAGGGGCAATAGCTTCAACTTCCATGGCCGACAGAGCATTTGAAGGGAAAGGGGGGCCCAGTACGCTTTGAGATGAAGTTAACAATGGACATGGATATGGAGAAATAAAATTGTCTCACCCTAGTCTGCATCGGGTAGTCTGCATCGGGCAGCTACCCATCAAGGTTACTTAGAGAGCCAAGGGCATGTCTACCCCGCAACAATCTGCATCAACCAACAACCAACAGCCAGCAAAAAACAAATATTTTATTCCTAGTTTCCCAAAAGTCTTTACTTTTTTTGGTTTTGTGTAATCCCCTACGATGGCCACCTAGCTAGGCCCAACTGAATGCTTCGGACCGGCCACCTCCGCGCCTTAGCTGCCGCCTTGCCTCTGGCTTGCCGCATACGAGGTCAGATAGCTTAAAATTCCTCTCCGCGGCTAATTATTCCCTCTTTACGTCGGTCCTAGCTAGTCGTTGCTGTGGCCTTTCTTCACCCAAGTGCTGGACCCTGCAGATGCAGAAATCCAGCCTATCTGCTTCAAACGACTGTGGGAATAATGGCATCAGGGTCGTCCGGCCCCCAGCTATTTCCCTTGGGTCGTCCACCTGATGTCTATCATGTTGGCATGTTTCTGTCGGGTTTAGTGCGAAATCCTACGTGGGGTCGGATATGTGGGTTGCATACGGTATGTTGTGATGATCTTTGTAGAGTGGTGACATCCTGCTGACGTGGGTCGAGTGACCGCTGCGGGCAACGAGGCACATGGGCTGACGTGACTGAATGATTGGCATGGGCATCCTGAGGCCTTTCTGATCGACTCTAGTGGTAACGCTCTTGGCAGACAACATGGAAGGGCACTCAACGAGAAGTGGTTGTCTCATGGCTACTTGGAATACAAAGTACGTAATACACCCTTGAGTCTTTATCTTAACCAGAGACGAATTCGGTCGTCCCCGTGGGGGTTCGGGTCACTTGCTAACTAGACTTGCAGGTCTTGGTAGAACATATATTGCCACCCAATCTCCCGTTTGCTTTACAACCAGATTTGTACATCGCATACACTTCAAACGCGCATTCCTATTCGAACAATCAAAACCTCAAGCTCTTTACACGCTATACATACCAGTTTAACTGTTACTAACAGCGAAAACCTGTCAAAATGGGTCCATGCTCCTGCTGCACTCACGATGGTGACTGTGACAACTGCGGTTGCTCTACCTGCGGAGTACGCTGATCCAACTGTGTTGCATTGCATGCGTTCCCGAGGCTCACAGTTTCGTAGCATTAGTGTCGTACATTAGTCGCATCATCGCGATGCTTTCAGCTACCACTACTTTCTTATAACGAAGTGCTGAAGGTGGGAGGGTAGGGGGTCGTTCCTGCTTGTGGTGATATCGCGGATGGTTGGTCATTCACTCTTTTGGCTGAATACTGGTGGGCGAGAACCCCTCTGGACCACGGCCATTCACTCCTTGATTTGGCAGAATGCTGGGAGTCCAGACGAAGATAATTGGACATTGGTGATATTTCAAATTCCACAAGGCTCTCATCCATTCCTTATTGGCCTCTATTACGAAATACGCAAAGTGAAGCTGCTTTTATTCCTGACCTTTATCGTGACGAAAAACCCGCTCTCCCCCTCCAGTTAATGCTCTGCTGGAAGACGTAACCACAGTCCATTACGCCCATTTCCCCAACAAAGCCATCAAAGCTGCACCAAGGAAAACATTGAAAACCATGAACGCTAAGCGTCTTGAACTCCTCGTCAGCTCAGGGTTGAACAAGAAGTCCCTCGCCAACAATTCCACCAGTCCAGTATAGATCAGAATCCCAGCCGATGTAGAATCCAGGACTCCCGAGACGACCCTCGCTATAAATGAGCCGCTATTGTAAGTCGTCCGCAATCCAAGACCGATGGCGATCGAAATTGGTGTCGTGAGGCCGTATCCGGCGCACAGGAACCACGGGAGCCACCAAGAATAACGTTTTGGGAACGGAATAGCTGACATCCGTGCCCCGATTCCGAGGCCTTCAAATGATTGATGGAAGACGAGGACGGGATATAGAGTGTTGAATTCGGAGCCTGCTACGCCCAGGTTGAGGCCGATGATCACGCTGTGAAATATCACACCGAACTCGAGCACGAGGAACGCGGCGATTTGTTGTTGGAAGTAGCGCTCTTCTATCTCTTCGGTTTGTTTTAAAGATGACTCCTCGATGTCGGCATTCTCAGCAGCTTTGCTGGCGGGCTGGTCCTTGCGCTCCTGTGCACGGGATATGGCAATATGAAGTTCTTCGTCTTGATCGCCTGAATGAAGTTGCTGATGGGTGAGGGACCGAGATCGAGATGGAGGTTCGGCGCCTTCCGTATCACCGGGATGATCGGTGACAAGCCTCTCGACATTCGGCTGGGTATGTGCAAAGCCGTATTTGCGTTCGACATACTGCTCTGCTACGAAGTCCAAGAGAAAGATCAACATCACAGATACGAGGACAATAGCTGGCGGCCAGGAATAGACGGCCCAGTGGCCCGTCATTCCTACGCATGTATTAGGGCCTATCTCCGCATATGCCGGATCTAGGAGACTGTTGATTGGTTAGTGACAGCGCGAAGGTGAGGGAGGATAACCTGCTGGATAAAAGCAGTCGCAATGATGACTCCAGCTCCAAAGTACCGAGCGAAGAGATACACATAGATGTTGATTCGAACCCACGAGACTCGAGCTGCGATGACCGGGAAGAAGGTTGCAGCGGAAGATACGATGAGAATCACGAAGAGTGCCGAGATGCGTGCGCCTAAGCGGCCATTGTATTCGTTTCCCGCAGCTTCGAGGTAGCAAACCACTGCCGCTAGATCTGCGGTATCAAGATTGACATTTGTGGGATCGAAACCCGAAGACATTGCCGCGGAGAAGAAGGTTGTTTGCAGGCGATTGGTGGGAGGTTTGAAAGGAGTAAGATGGAATGTGAGGAGGTCAACGTCAAGTCTTGTATCGATTTTTATGATTGATAGGTGGCCGGGTACTACGGCCTAATTCGTGTGATCGTAGAAAAGAAGGCGGGAAGGAAATTTGATCTGTGAAAAGGTGGCTAAGGTGACGGGTTCGTTCTCTTATTGTAGGAAATGATGGGGGTCGGTACAGACACCTTGATGGTCACGCTAGTAAATACCCTGCTCTTTCCACACGGACTTGAAGCCATGGACACCGTTCAATGGCTTGATAATCCTTGTTTAGAATAACCAAAAGAAATTAAATTACTGGGGACTTGGAAAGTCATTGTGGTACGGCAAGCCGTATTACATAAAAAATCGTGTTGTTTTTAGGTAGACTTGGGTAGTCACATGAATTTGGTTTTCCCCGAAGCAACGTGATATCTAGACTATATTTGTGGGCTTACCTTTTCTTTAGTTCTAGTTTAAGTAACCTTCTATCGCAAAATAGCAAGGAACAGTGATTTGCATAAGTGGTTGTCTGATTAAAAGAAGCTCTAAAGGGAGCCTCTGGATCTAGCTAAATAAAAGGGGCCGCTGAGTAAGCTCAGCTAAGCTCCCTAGTACCCGTACATACGACACCTTCTTTATATATAATTAATTCAAGCTTTTATAATTATACTAGGCTCGACTAAAATCCGGGTTTCCAGGATTAAGGAAGGATTAAGGAAAGATATCTGCCCATAAGAGCAGCAATTTTGTTATAGCTCTTTATTTGATTCCTGCTTCTTGTCTTGAACTGGGCAGACTATATCATAAGTACGAGTGTGCCTTCGGCTGAGCATGAAACAGTGGCGGAATTGATTGGATGTTGGCAACTCCACGTAACACACAGCCTTGCCATTCGAAGTCCGATCCTCTGTCGAACTTGGACTGCTAAGTTTGTATTGACACTAAACATAGAACCATAGTCCAAACACACATTCATCCAAAGCCTCCTGGACAGCAACCTCGAGACGAATTTTGGGCCTTGAGGGATCAGCTTGTAGCTCTGCCCCTCGACCTGACAATTGCATGAACAAGGTAGTATTTGGCATGTAATTAGGCTTTTAAATATGAGGGTCAAGTTGATATAGATTGAAATGTCCAAAATATAAGAAGTGCGGTTTAGCGGAGGGATTATATGCCTCTGCAGCTGAGCTAAACAAAAGGGGAGAGTCACCTGCATGGCAACTGACACGACCATACCTGCATGAAGAAAGCAGAGACGGAAGATAATGGAGAAGGAAAAAGCAGAAAAAGCGGATTAAAATTCGTGGATCAAATATGGGATATCAACATCCATAAATACAACTTGTTCAACAAAGTTGAGGCGGAGAGAGCTCCGATTTTGACGAGAATCTTTATGTCTGAAGAATATTTGATTGGGAGGGAAAATAAAAGTAAGTAGCCATAGGGCAGTTTGTTTCTATTGCTGCTTTCTAATTTCTAGGTGCGGTGTCTTTGAAATCCAAAGCAAGCTTGTAGATGTATCTATGAACTCATCCGCAGATAGCGATGGGATAGGTAGAATGACCCACCCCTACGATTTCAGTAATGAAAGATTTCGTCGCCACCGCCGAGATCATAACCATCGGGAAAAGAAGTCCAGTTATACAGGTGATTGGGCTGAGGACCTCCGAGACAGGGTAAGTTCGCCCTAAAGGGCTTCACTTGAAGCTAAAAGATGTGACCAGGACCCTTTCAGATGTAAATTCCATTTTGGTTCACTAGAAAAGGGTCCGACTATTCCCGGAGTTTGCTTGCTTGATTCCCAGTTACAGATACCGCTCGCCGTCTCATGGGTCATAGAGGCAGGAGGCAGGATGCAAAGCCAAGATTTCGATAGACTTTAAGGAACCTTGACGCAAAGTCTCAGTGGTCATCCGGTTACCTTTAATTGTATTATTAGGAACATGGTATTTCGCCCGACTGCCTCCAACGTGACTTATCGAAGAAACTTTCTCGTATTAGAGCAGCTAGATACGGTAGCTAACTTTATTGTCGGTACCAAATTCATGTTAGAGCAATGGCCTGTGCTATTTAGGAAGATGAAGAAGACAATTACTAGGTGGTTCAAGCATAAGAAAGAGACAACTGTTGAGCCTCTATTACGGAGAAAGCGTTCGCTGCCTCCTCAGCCTTCGTCCAAAACCAATTCTTGCCTTTGCAATAAAAGAGAAAGCAGAAGCGGAAATCCTCATAGTCGAATAAAAGCGTGAAGCCCACAAAGCAGGACTCCGACGTCGCGAGAAGAAAGCTCAGATAGCGAGAGCTAGAGAATAAATATAGAGGAGAAAAGTTGAGCAGGCCCTGAGGCCAGACTCAGAATAGAGTATATCTATGCTTTTATTAGATTGGGCGAGTGGACCGACGCACGGTCGATCCTCGTTGCCATGGCCTCGCTCCCTTTTCTATTCATTAATGGCTGAAACCTCCGAGTAGAATTGCGAGAAGGTGTTTCGCGAGCTGTCTAGCTAGATGGCTTGTCTGGTGCTAGGTTCGTATCACAGTTCTGGTTTAGCTGGTTTGGTCCGGCTTCACTGTGCGTTTCCGTTTTAGTAGTTCTTGGGATTGGATGTGCGACCATGTGTGGAGTAGGACATTCTTCTGTCACGACGAATAAAGCGTACGAATTCGGAATTGAGTTTCTGATAATCACTATTGAGATACACAGCAAAATGCGTCTTGAATCTAGGACATGTCACTCGAATTACTCTTTGGCGTAGGTGACTGATTCAAGAGGCACAAGCGTCCTAGAAAAAAAATTTTGACCCCACTATCGGGTAAATCAATAAGTAGTTCTTTCGTGAAAGCCGTATAGCAAGAACATGACGCCCAAGCGAGAAACATGAAACCATGATTCTCCCTACCAAAAATGGCCCATGCCCACCATCATGGCCCCCCTTTCTCTAAGCCTCTACTATTTTTAAAATCTTTACTCTCTCTCTTTAATTCTTATATAATTATAGGAGTAAGAGATGGGGAGGGGGCGGCGGCGTAAGATAAAACTCGAAATGTAGAAAGCAAGAAGTAGAAAGCGACTTTAAGAGTCGCGTATAAAGCGCTTTAGTTAGGCTTCTAATCACTGAATTATAGGGCCACGGTCGCTAAATTATAGGTTATCAGTACTAAAAATTTAGTAGTTAACTTTTTCGTAGAGTTGCGGCACAGGTTTTGGGAGGAGTGAATCATGAAATCCGGTTTCGTGTTTTGCCTTTCTCGCTTGCACGTCACGGAAGGCCATGAGCATTTCGCTAAAGAAAGGGGGGTTCCGAAAACAAGGGGCCGAAGGTAGCCGGGTCATATGATGAAGCGGCCGCCTCGGCCCAGACTTTATTTGAACCGTATCAAACATTCAGCAGAAACACCACTCTCATCTCTGCACCATTGTTCATCAACTTTCGGCATGGCAAGCTTCAGAGTACCTGTGCTGCGCCATGTTATATCTGGCGCAGCTCCGTATCTACGAGCGACCCAGCGAAGATGGGCGCAAGTCCACGATGTTCGATTCCTTGCCACCCAACAATCAGACAGAGTGCTTGAGAAATACAGAGAGAAGCTAGCCAGAAAGGCCCAAGAGTACGGCGTTCATCAAAAGTGTATCCCATGAGATGATTGCTGACTGCGCAATTATTCAGGGAAGGTCTGCGGGACATCAATGAATTGAAGGAAGCCTACAAAGATAAAATTCAGCATCTCAAGAAGAAAGCCTCGATCCCACTTCCCATACCCAATGCCCCTACTGCATCCTCGATAGCTTCATCACCCTTTCCCCCGCCTCCTCCAGCCCCACAAATACCCGCCGAGAAACTCCCTTCGTCGACGCCGGGCATCAAGACCCTCTCGTCATACCTCGACCTGGAAAAGACCAAGGCCTTGCCCCAGAAAGAACTGGAAGCAATATGGCGTCTGCGGCACATTAATGATGCCCAATCACTATGCGCCGTCATTCCAATTGATGTGTACCGGACGCTCGAAGCTACAGCAAAGAAACATCCCCATTTCATCCTCCCCTTGCCAAAAGAGGGGCGAGGTGCCGAGATCCACTTGTTGCAATGGACGTTCCCTGCGGAGAACGCTGTGACAGTACTTTTCACACATCTTGCAGAATTCAAGTTGAGGGGCGAGTTCAGCCAGCCACATACGACTATCACGCACCATTTAGAGCTTGCGGAAGATAAGGGTGTGGTGTTGCTGCAAGGACAGGTGGTGGAGGGAAGGGGAGTGAGTGTTGATGAGGCGAAGTGGTTGGTGATGTGCTTGCAGAAATTTTATGGATTTGGTGGAGATAAAAGCGAGAGGAAACGACTGCTGGAATTATTTGGAAAAGGGGACCCGGCGTTCAAAATAGAAGATCTGGTCGAAGAAGCTGAGAAGATCGTTTAGACTTGGTGTAGGGATATGTTGTATATGGACAGGTGTACAAAATTTAGAAGACCTGGGGTTTGAGTGGCGTCCGGAGTTGGTCATTGATGTACGATTCTGGCTCTTAAGGGCACGAAAATAAAGCAGGAGCACAGAGTTAAAGTCCGAACCCCCGTAATCTTGGGAAGAAGGCTGCACGAGGACGAGGCGCCGGCAGCTCGTGCGTAAGCAATCCACTCTTCTTCCTTTGCCAATATCTCTTTCTCTGTAGATCGCCGACAAAGTTCCTGTTAGAATGGATAGCGTGGATGCCCAGAATCTCAAGTGGTCGTTTGCAAGCCTTTACTTCTCGAATTCTTCTCAACAGTTCCTTGTTCGCTCCTAATATTTCTGAGAGATTTATTGATCATATAATCTCAGCTTGCCACTTTCGATATTTATCACTTTGTGACCTTCAAAGTTAATTCATCTACCTGTGCCTTTCCGAAACGACTAGGACTTCTTAGGGTTCAAGCAATTACCGTTTCCCAAAGAATTCAAATTCTCTAAGACTATAGTCCTGGCAAGAAGTCTTGTTAGACTTCAATAATCAAGGATCTCCCGGGCGGAGAGTTGTTCCTTGACTTTTCCCTTCTGCTGTTCATCTTGCAAGGCCATTTCGTCTTATTTCAATACCAGGTTAGTGATGTCGACGATGTTATTTATGCGAACATCACCAATTTGAACAGGTCCCCTCGTAGACGGGAAAGCCCTCCCTCGAGGAACTCGCAAACGGCGCTAGTACCCCCTCGATCTAGATCATCCACCAGCACTTTCCCGTCTATAAAAGGAACCTCTTCCACCACACAACCTCGTCCAACAGCAATCTCATCAGAGAGCTTCAACAAGACCTCAATATCCTTGTTCATACGCTCAGACATCGGGCGCTCTTCATGATTCCTGAGCTCGCAATTGCTCACTCTTTTACATATCTTCACTTCCAGCTGGCAACCCTCTTGATTCCCTTGCGCTCATCCGCAACGTACCTCAGCTTGAACAAGTCCTCGACTATCTCTTTCTTGCGCAGAAACCGCTTCTCTAGCAATATATATACTTTCTCGACTAACATCTCCCCGCCGAGCCAACCTCCCCCCTGCAACGTCCTTCCCGGCAGATCTCTTCTCTATCGAAGGCCCATGCATGTCTATAAATCGCAGTTCTTTCTTATTTCCCCTTCCCCATTCGTTTTAGTTCCTTTGCGTGGATATACACCCGTCCTTTCTCCCTGCGGGCCGTCCTCCTCCGCAAACCTCCATCTTTCCCATAGCGTCACAACCAGTGAGCCCCTTCCATTTGGACAGCAAGCCTGAGAAGCCCTCGCGCCATTCAAGCCCAGGGTCTTGAAGCCCTTCTTGATCCGACCAGCTTCTGATGAACAATCGTCTTTGCCCTCTCTTGTTCATGTGCCCAGCTTCTTTTGAACATTCAGGGGCGGGGACCTAATATGTAGGTACCAAGCTCCGCTGTTTGAAAGACCTGGCCAAGATTCTAATATCCGCGAGGATTCTGATGATTCTACAGCCGCCGGAAGGGACGTTGCCGAACAAAGTCCAGGTCCAAGCCAAGCCACCACCCCGATCCTGTTATTATCAATCCCAGGCTCAACCGAGGATATGGAAGCCATCGGCCTTGCAATCGACCAAGCGCCCTCTTCGCTGAGCGAAGAGGCGACGAGCGTCCCACGAAGCGGCTGTGAAATACCATGCCACTCGATAGAAAAGCCGGGGACGCTTTGCTAACAAATAAACAACCTATGCTAGATTTTTCTACAAGCAGATGCCCGCCAGATTTGACCGATGATAGTACAGCAACGCAAACGGAGAGAGAGTGGAAGGGAAGAAATCGAAGAATTGATTCTTTCTTGTTCATTGGACAAAATTTCCTTCAACACCTGAGCTCTTTTCAAGTATGATTCCACCGCCAATACGAGAAGAGAACAACTATGGCATGGTGTACATGTGCAAATGAACAAACATGGGTGATATTTGGGACGAGTTGGTGTTCGCAGTTTCATTGTCAGGATGTCATTGAAGCCCCGCAGATCTGAAAGCAATAGGGAATGCACAACAGACCTTTGAAACCAGGGCTTAACTACTCGGAGAGGCCAGGAGAGAAATTATGGAACAGTTCAGTACGACGTCGTCTTTCTGCCACATCGCCTGTGAATCGCGCTCTCCTGGTCTTGAGTTGCCCCCATGGAGTGCAGATGAAGCTTGTCCCTTTGCTTCACCCAACAGCTTCTGAGATGTCATGTCTTCCACCTCTTCAGACTCAATCCACAGGGACCCTACATAAGGTGCGCCAACACTTGGAGCCTCTCACATATCGGAACGGATCAACCCATGGCCGGTTTGTCGGCTCCCTTATTTTGTGGTCCGTGCGTACCGAGTCGCCCCCCTTTCGAGCGTCCGGCTTTGTTTTCGAGATCCCAAATCCGGCCTTTCAGGAAGCTGGAGACATTTAGAATAGAAACGCAAGTGTTCCAAGTTAGTGGGTCGAATCCGGAAGCGTACCGGCCATTTACTTTGCAAGCTGAGCAACTTAAGTGGTAGGGTCTCTTGCACTTGCAGCCAAATGTACAAGGCCGAATTAGACATCAAACAGCGTGATTTTTTGGACTTCGAGGGCTCCTTGGAGTGGTACCTCCATAGCCTCCGTATAGACTCTCATGTGAAAAGCTAACTCGGCAGGAAAAGAGATACTCCGAAATCAAGAGCGGGGTTCCACTTGTATCAAGCGCTATCGCCTGTTTGGACAGGCTGGCACTTTTGGAACGAAGCTCTTCACGAGGCTACCCCGTGTCCCCTGCCGATAACCCTCCGATCGGGTTTTATATTTGCAACCAGGTCACTGACGCGAAAGTTCTACCAAGCAAGTCATAATATCGCTCCCTCCAAGTCGACCAAGACCACAGCTCACAATGGCTCCCCAAGTCTCGGGCTGGACTCCAATCAATGTCCCAACAGGTCGTCACGAAGTTTCCTATCAGGCGAGGATTCCCGGTGTCAGCAACGAAACAGCCAGCGAGGAACGCGCAAACCTAAGCCTGTCCATGTCTGAGCGTGTTCGGAAGACAGGAAGGTTCCTCTTCACGTCCGAAGAGCGCAACCATATTATAAAGTGGATGGTCAAGGAGAACGCCGCTGGGGTGATCGGACACGAGCAAGCGTTTCAAGCGCTGATTACTGAGCTTGGCTTTAACGACTCATCTCTCAGCCCTCAGGAGAAGACTTTGATCCGTCAGAAAACTTCGCGCAAGATCAAAGACTTGGTGGAGGTTATGGTTGGCAAGCAGGCGCTCACTTACACCCAAGAAAAGAAACGTGGAGTGTGGATCGCAAAGTACGCACCGTGGACCGCTACCTGGTTGCATCCGGAATGGGACGGGGAACTAACGAACTCTGATGGGTACCACGCCGTGGATCGGATTGAAGAAGATCTTGGACCAGAAGTTCTTGAGGTCGAGGCTCTCACGGGGAGGGAGGATGAAGTTCCAGCATACGAGCTTGATGTCTACATGCGTCCCTATGTCAATGAGTTAGACCGCACCATTGCATATCGCGTTTTCCAACTGAATCCATACAACTACGACGCCTTCACTTGCCAATTCCAAGCAATTTGTCAACGCGAGGGCATCTGGGACGTCTTCGGCGGCAACACAACTCATCCTTCACCACCTGTCGAACCTGTTGGTGTGAACACTGCAGAAGATCAGGATATTGCACAGGGTTACAAAGCCACCTGCCGTATCTACGAGGAAGAGAAAAAGGAATTTGTCATTATGCAGCGAAAGTGCCTAGGCTGGTTGTTTTCCACGATTGGGGAGGACACTCGCGAAGCTTTGGTGGGATACACAGAGCCGCTTGAGGCGCTAGAGATTCTGGCAGAGGGAATCGACGTCGTCGACATTCAGGCTTTGATGGCAAAGATCGGAGAATTGCTGAAGAAGGCATAAAGCTCGGATGATATGAGATTGTGGGGAGAAGAGACTGTAGTTGAGATGGGTTGAATGCACTGGGGTGTCTGATTTATATGTTGGACTTGATAATTAACAAGAGGTCTTGATTGTTCCCGACCACGGTGGGTACTCTCTGAATGTCATAACTGTAGAATAAATTCAATGAAAGGTTTAGATATCGCCAGCAACCAGCAACGTCTGCTACATTTTTTATTGGTCCTTTTATGTCTATCTCCGTGCCATAGGTTACCACTCCGAGATTTTCGTCCATGCCATCTCCGAATTGAGTCCTGCTCCCCCACTTTTTTTTCGCAAGTTGCGTCCTGTTACTTAGCTCCGTTCAGATAGCACTCCTCCTTATCCCCGTGGGTATGAAACTCGCAGGGACCAAACATGTCAACCATTGCCATTATTTTGCTCTCCCTAGACATATTTATCTTTTTTCCATGTTCAACCTGCCACCATGGGTTCTTGAATAGATGTGAGCGATGTGGTTGGGCGTAACCAGCCTCCCAGATAAGCTAGAGTAGGAATGAACAGCGTCGCAAGCTTTGTCCATTAGCCTCAACAGACACAGCTTTTCAGCCAAGATGCAGAGCTTCACCAATAGGGTGGCACACTGATTATCCTTGGCCTCGGGGAGAACCCCACGGTACAAGTAATCGACGAGTGGGGAAAATGCATCCGGATCATCTTCAGGAAGGTACATCTCTCCTTTCTCCGCCTCTCGGAAGTTGCCGCGGAAAGCTTTCGAAAAGAATTCGCATCGATCGCACAGTAGCTTTTTATGCACAGTGAATTGCTTGCGCTCCGAACCAACGTAAAGGGTGACAATCTCGTTGCCTAGAACCCTATTCCTAGTTAGACAGCCATGTCGCACGTAAAACAAGAAGCAAGGCTTGCCAAACCTACTCAGGAGTCAGAATCATGGTGCTTTGGGGACTCGGGGTGTTCCGTGGAGTCTGTGATGGTGAAGGCGACGCCATAATGCCCGTTGTAATGTTCCAGTCCAGGTCGGTACAATCGTCAAAGCTGTCTCAACCCTCGATAAGGGTGACCTCCCGATGGAAACGACTTCGAAGGTAGGTGAGAATTGTAGCCGAGGTCGAATCAGCTGCAATCGAGTAAAGGCTACTAGTCCAACTAAATCGCGATTGCTGGCTGATTATTGTTGGAGAGGAGGAACAATGGAGGTTGAGCTTTTGTTGCGGAAAGAACAACAATGCTCTGGCGTCTCGGCAAATCTCGCTAACCCTTTCATCCACCACTTCCAAGTAAAATCTCAGAGGTGAGGGGAAAGACTCTCTTTCACCCCTTGAACCTCCAAGAAAACCGCACTGCGGGTTTACTTGGACTCAAGAGGTCTTATGGTTCGTCAGCAGAATGTCGGAAAGTTCTGAGTGTGTTTTCGAGAGAGAACTAAAATGCCTGGGCTGGAGAGGTGATTCTGTAGTGAAAACACACTTGAAACCTTGTGTAGCCTGGGATTTATAAAACAGTGACAGTGTGTCAAAGGATTATTCAAGTTATTCAAGTTATTCATGAATAACTTGAACAAAATATGAGTAACGAATATCTTAAATAACTTGTGTAAAATAAAATAATTATTTGAAGTCACGTGCAAGTTATATAATTATAATAAATTAACATATATTTAAATGTTTAAAAGAACTAAGGTATATATTAAGCAGCCTTATGTAAGCTAAGCTAGTACTCATAGAAGGTTAATTAGATACTAATTTTCTATAATAATAAACTAATTATTTTCCTCGGAATTATGATTTTTCTTAGTTCTAGAAGTTCTTTAGTATTATTGAGATCCGATTTGCCTACTCAGCGCCACTATCACTTTATTGGGTAACGAGGTGGCGCTAGGTGCGGCCCCCCCCCCCCCCCCCCCCCCAGAATCTTACCCGACTAGGCTAGCCTTATCACGTGCATAGAACGTGCCTAATTCAAGCTATTCATGATTATTCATAAATAACTTGAGTAATATTTGAATAAAATAAGAGTAACGACCATTATTCTATTTTACTCTATTCATTTGATACACTGAATAGTGCGGTGTAAACAAAAGCAGTGTTATTACTATCATATTCTTCACTAACATTGAAGTTCTGACATAAACGCCTCGAACTCATTCTTGGCCCATTCAACTTCAACCAAACAACACTTTTCCCGAATCCACACGACGTCAGCTGCGACCCATCCGTAGTCAAAGGGCAATCGTCAAATGATTGCTCTAGTCTCTTATGTACAACGAACCTGTCGATACTCGCAAGGCACCACCGATAGAAATCAAGAAGAAAGCCCTCTCCATCGCATTAACTCCTTGAGTCAAATTATCACAACCACAGGCACAAACTTGCCACTTGTTCCCACGATATTCCTGCCGTTCTTAATTACCGAACTATTACCATGGCGTCTCCCAAGGTATCGTGAATCAATTTTCTCTTTCTTGTGCGTCGTATGGGGTTAGTAAGCTTGCTGCTCTTGCTCAGTCGCTAATCACTTTCAGCTCACCCTCGGCTCAGTCAACTCGCCTGAGCAACCTGAGCTACTTCAAGCCAAAGCAGCCAATAACATTACTGGATTTCGGACTACTTTGACTTGAAGCAAAGAAAGCACATACGCCGTCGTATAGTATATTAACCTATTATTCTTCGGACGCAGTTACTTCAAGGTATAACTAGCCATTATACTAATTCTGGAAGTTCTAAGCTCATTTCTACTAATACCGGGAGCTTACATGACCATATAGGCTTGGAATACCCAGTAGCGCGCCGAAGGCGCGTGGCTACGTGCGGAGCGCATTCATATTTAGAGCATATTTATATTTGGAGTGCGTTCACGTGCAAAGCGCATTTACGTACGAAGCGCATTTATATACGGGGCATATTTATACTTAGGTAGATTTATAGGTATAGAAAATAAAGCCATTTGTAAGGTTTGATAAAAGGCATACCTTAGGGAGAAGCAATAGACGTGCGTTGTATCTAAGGAGGCAACTATGTACGTAAGGCCGCGAGATCGCATATAAGAAACAGGGCGTTTAAAGGAAAAACTCACAGAATTAACGAATTTTAAATGTGAGGGGTTAGAAGGGGCAAAATAATACTCTGTTTGCATAAGCACCCTTTTAGGGCTGCCCTAGAAGGGTGCTTACATGCATCCTAAAGAGAGTCGAGCACGAAAATTACTATTTTGGGCGGATAACCCTAGTTTGAGAATGCTACGCAAACCAAACAGGGGGGTTGGCAGAGGCACACAGATCTTGTATCTATTATTTCAAACCGATGTGTACGCAGTTATTATACTCCGAATCTAAAAATATTTTTGAGTAGTAAAATATGTACAGTTATTACTAACTTACAAAGTGATACGTTGTGAAATTAGTGGCGCGGCGGATGGACACGCTAGCCCATCGTCTAGTGAGACATGACTAGCGTATTAGCCAGAGCTGTGGCACCTAATAAAATTACAGAAGCCATAATTTATGCCCAGTCAACCAAGCGAGACCCCCCGCCCACGCTAGTAATTTCTCACCAGACGAAGGGATACAAAACTTGATAAGTTCGCCTCGATCTCAATTCTCAATCCTTTAATCCTTTTTCTCTCTGCGACCAAACCACTCTACCAGACTCATATTTCCACCGTTCTCCTGAGAATAACGCAACTAGCCGCGATGACAGCTCAATCCCGTCCAACTTTCCATCCCGTCCTTTCACACTGACGTTCTAGCGGATACGATACCGAATTTTACACTTTCAACTACGTCTACCAATACAATAATATTGTTTTCGACATTTTACTTTCTCCCGATACTCCCCTTGGCTACGATACTATAAATTCTATCGAAAGGCGGACCTCCAAACGTTGGAGTCAGCCGGACAATGCGATGGCGACAATGAAGAAGACATACAACGGATGCTCGAAGAAGCAAACCTTGTAGTGGCAGAGATCGAAAAGGATGTACTTAAAGTCTGTAAATCAACGATGCAGGCACCTGCCCCAAGTACAGAAGCGCTAGGAAAGAAACCTTCACTATATTCATGGATGTACCCGAAAACCATCAACCTACAACTCGTCACTAAACAAGGGGTATTAACAGTCGTGAAGCGAGACGACCTCCCTGTACATGATTCGCATGCCTACATCACGGACCCCCAAGTACTGGCCTTCAATCTTCCCCATCACATGATTTCTGACATCCAAGTTATCACTGGGTTGTATCCATTCGTATACAAAGTGAACGTCGAAGGTCAAACCATGGTTGCCAAACTGGGTCGAAGCGAGCCGCACGATTCGATAACCGACGAAATAAAAAAGCTGTACGGCGTTCAAACTTCGGCGCAAGGGCCGCTGGCTAGGGTTCCACAACTCAAGGGCTTCGTATCATCGCCAATGGGTGTTGTTGGGTTTCTGACCAACTATATTCCCTCTCTTTGCCACAATCTTGAGTATCTCTTGGCCTGTGCAAGAATCACAGGTGGTACGGTTCCCAAAAACAAAGACGCTCCTTCACCAGCAATCACTATCAGCAAGGCACGAAAGGAGAAGTGGACGAGCCAGATTCAGGAAACGCTGCAGTCGCTCCATGCTCGCAATGTCATTTGGGGCGATGCAAAGTTGGCGAACATTCTGATAGATGAAGTGACTGACGACTCTTGGATTGTTGATTTTGGAGGGGGGAATACGCAGGGTTGGATTGAACGTGATTTACATGGCTCAAAAGCTGGAGATCTACAAGCGCTTGACCGCATTACGGCAGAGCTAGCTGCTGTCTGGCTATAACATTTAAAATCATGATACGATGAAATTTTGTTTTTTTTGGACATGGTATACGCGGGCCATGATTCGTCTTTTCTTTTTCTTTCAAGGGCATGTTTTCATAGGAGTAGTAAATATACTTTCAGTATCTCATTTTTCGCAAGCCTTTTAAATACCTGCTGTACTAGACGTGATGTAGTTATGCTAGGGAATCAGCATTAGGATTTCAACAGAAATGAATATTTGGGAAAGAATCCCGGTTGTAAGAGAGCCAAAATAAAAATTGCGCTTTAGGACGGGAAATAACATAGAACTTGGAAAGTATAAGCAGGCTTCAAGGGAGCCAGATCAGTCGCCTGAAGGTATCAAAACAGCTCCCTAATGCATGCTCATGCTTAGTCAGTGTTTTCTCAGGCTTTTCTCGGGCCTTGCTCCGGCCTGCTCACCCTCGGCTCAGGTCAAAGCGGCTGCTGCTCACGCCCAGAGACTAATAAAACGGAACGAGCGAAAGAGAACATTGATCCTGAGTCTGTGGGCATTGCCGATCAATTTTCTCTCTTTCCTGTTTCCCATGCGGTTAGTGAGCCACGAAAGCACCGACCCAAGCTGCAACGAGAGCTGCTGTCATCTTGACCTCAATTGTAACGCAGATTCCTGGGATTATGAAAATGCGTAAAAGTACAGAAAGTTATCATGCGTGCAATGAAACTTTCGAAGGTGGTGGAGAGAGAAAAGAGGGAAGAGAGAAGCCGATCGTGCACTTACGTGTCGAGGACACTAGCGCCCCTTCCGATCGGGATGTCGCGAACCTTAGCTGTGAGAGAATTTGATCAGTGCCAAGGAAAGTTGACAAGAATCAACAATGAAAAGATGCTATGATGCATCATCCTTAGGGGTTGTTTTACTGGCAATATTTACTTGACAAGGATTGAGAAATGCGAGCAAGGACCCATCCCAAGCTCTGCTCTGCATGCTCAAGACACCACCGATGCGGGTCACTACAAACCAATTTCCAAATAAACCCATCTGCTCTGCGAGTAATGAGCTTGCGTTCACGCCTTGACAAGAGATTGTATATGTTCCTAGCAGTAAAGTCTTTAAACGGTATTGCAGTCCGGTTCTCGAAGCTCGAGCGAATACTGCCCAGGGCGTGCGGTTCATAAGTAACTTCTCGAGGCAGCGATTTGCCGAGATGGCTTCGCCATTTTGGATCTGCTGGATGCAAGCCGGCACCAAGATTAATCCACCTTGTGAGACAGCCCGCGATACCTCTTTCCCCAAGATCTACAGCATCCATAACGAAATCCATTGGACATTTCAAGCACTGCGCAGTCGAGGTACAACACCGACCTTGTTCTTCGAGAAGATCAAGTCGACTTTTCATCAGGGTCGGTAAATTGTCCCCTGCCTTACCCAGAGCCCATATATGATGACAGATATGATGGAAGAGACGCTTAGTAACGAGTTCGTCGCGCCTGTTGTGTGGCAGCAGTACCCACTGTTGGGATCGCATGAGAAGCTCGTTGGAGACAATGTGGGCGTCAACAGATAGAAGTACAATGTTCCCATACAGATCGCTCTCTATAACCTCAGCGCTCTGAAAAGCTTCCAAAGGAAACCCATGGCTAGGCCCAAGATGATGTCGATTCATTGCCAATTGGATATGGGGAAATCTTAGCAGTGATGCTGACTGCGAACAATGCACAAAAGCAGGTTCTTCCCCCAGGCAACGAGTGAGGGCCTTTGGAATGGTTCGGGGCCATTGGACTGCACTGCTGGCATGTAGCTGAACGCAGCGATAGCAGACAAAGTGCTGTGGAAGATCCTTTGACAAGTCAGAGAGGAAGGAAGCACGAATTCCTGGATTTTGAATTTTCAAGCAACGCCAGATATTGGGACCAAGGATTTGGCTCATAGCTCGGTTACAGAGAGAGAGACATGCAGCGGATTGAGTCGAAAGCATTCTTGCTATCAAAATAATCAATTCGGGTGGGAGATCAGAGAGTTTCAGCGTGTTCGTGTTCGTTTTGGATCTCGAGTCTGGGAAGCCCGTGCGGTCCTCCTGTTGGCGATGGCTTTCCGTCATCCGTTCCAAGGAACGCCAAAGCCACCGCCATGCCATTGTAGGGTAGGGAGTATCTGCCGCCGAGAGAGAAGGGTATGATGAGGCGCAGCGTCGAGGACGGTGTGTGTTGTCGGTTCGGAGGTGATAACGATGGTGAAGGTGAAGGTGATGTTGGATGCAAGAAGTACGGGGAAGAACAATGATCCTTGGCCATGAATTATCCCCTAAAAATTTAGTGACGTAAATTTTTAGCAAGGTCCCCATGTCTTGCCCCTACTCTCCTTTTCCCCATATCTCCCCTCTCTTACCCTTATACTTATAGAGAGAGAGAGAGAGAGAGAGAGAAGGATTAAAGAGAGTAAATATTTGAAGTAGTAATAGAGGTACAGGGAGAGGGCGTGATATATGGGCGTGGTGTGTGGGTGTCTGCGATTTCTGGGGGGTGGTCACGTGCCGAGTCGTAAGTCATAGTCATCCAGTCGTACGCTCGCTTGGTCAATTGACGGCTTTCCGTAATTGATCCTTAGTTCCACAGCCTTCCGTACACAGCGTACGGAAGGGGGTTGACAAAAGTCATGACCACCCCCTGGTTCTGCCACTGCTAGAAGTGGAAATTTGTGGGGCAATGTCCAGCATCCTATCGCTTTGATTGGCCCAAACCTCTCACCGCCTTGCCGCGGGTGGTCATGACTTTTGTCAACCCCCTTCCGTACATTCAGTCATGACTCATAACAGAACTTCGACAAATTTCTAGTCACATGACTTGCTCGACACTTCGTCATCTTTTCTGTCTACCCCACCCCCCTCACCAACCATGATCTTTGGCTCCGGCTCCGCCAGCTCCGATCTAGAACGCAGCTTGGGATTCCTACGCTTCGATTTTATATCGTGCGGGAGCAGGTTCACTGGCACCGGGTATGATAGTTGCTACCTCCCCGTTAGTTACGCCCTTTGAGACCTTCAAAGCTAGGGCTAGTGTCTACGATTTGCTCTTTAGACGGTGCCAATAAGCGCCTAGCATTTTCATTTTTCGGCGGAAGTGCAGGCGCACAGAGGGGGTCAGCACTTCACTCGGAGCTTCACGCCGCTTATTTTTAGGCGTTCGAGAGCCAAAAGTTCTCCGATAACCTAATTCAATTGTCACTATTCAATCTCCGTTCCAATGGTATTCAAGCAAGCATATTAGTCAACTTGATGTTGTTTTAGCTTCGCATAGCCAAAACCACCTGACCGAGCGTTCTGCCGTTGATTGGGCAGGAAATGCAAAAAGAGCCATAAACGCCGGGCTCCTGCATTGTTTTGCAAACATCCAAATTATTTCCGCACAGTTTTTGCAGCTCTTCCGTTCTCTTAATTTCGTCTCAACTGTTTCATGGTCTGCGCAACATAGACCATCATTTGGCGTGTTCACCTCTTCCTCGAGGGACTTCTGCTAAGAAGCCACTGACGCAAGAGGCTTCCCTAGCCCAACCCCGCGCATGCGCAGCAAAGTATCAATTCCTATCTTCTCGGCCAGAGAGTAACAATAGGTCCTTTGGCATCATGTCATTTGGATTCTCTGTAGGTGACTTCATTGCTGCTTTGGAGGTGATCAGTACAGTCATCAACGCATTACGAGAATCCGGAGAATCCGGTCCTCAGTATCGAGAGCTCGTCAGCCAGCTCTACAGCCTCGAGACAGCTTTACTCCAGGTGAAGCAGATGGAGCTCGAAGAAGAACAGCGATCTGAGTATATTGCTCTCCGTCAGTCAGCAGCACAATGTCAGCGAACGGTAGACGCTTTCTGGACGAAGGTTCGGTCATATCAAAAACACTTACGAACGGACGGTTCGACGTCAAGATTGAAAGATGGCTGGATGAGAATCAAATGGGCAATGTGCCAGCAGGAGGATCTTGCCAGATTTAAAGCCGATTTGGCAGCTCATACACAGTCTATCACTATCATCACCACAGCTTTGCAAACGGTGCGTGCACATATTGGAAGTTGAGCGAGAAGAACTTAACGTTGTCAGAACAATCTCAGGAATCAGGATCGCAGACGCATTGCGGAACATAAAGCAATAAGCAGTTTTATTCAAGATGCTACATTTCGTTGTATGGCAAAGCTGGTAAAGATGACTGCTGTCATTGGCCAGTATGCTTCTCCATCTGTGCCCATCACACTTGAATAACCAGAAAATCGTAGAGGCGTTGCACTAGGACAAGAAATCATTCAGAATACCGCCAGGATCATGTAAGTGCACAGCAAAATTCTTCATCCGGTCACTAAGAGATTTAGGGCTACTAATATCAGAATTTTTCAAATCGTATTATCGATTCAGAATATCATCACTCGAATACCAAGGCAGATTGAGCGTCAGCAACCTGTCTATATGATCGACGCTCTCGGAAGACACGCTCCCTTTTACCTGGAGTTTATTCGATCTAGGGAGGTAAGCAGGCGTTACTCGAAGATTTCCCCTACTCACAATCCCCATGTAGGCCCTCCAAGCTGTGCTGAAAATCAATTTCGAGAACATACCGTCTGGGCCAAGAAAGATCGATAATGGTGAATATATCCTCTTGGATGCCACAAATAAGCGCCCAATTAACCTCTCAACACATTGGGATGCTTGCTTAATGCCTGGTCAACGCGTTGAGATGCGTATGATTTTCCAAAGGCAGACCAAGCAGCTCAACTCTTGTCCAAGTTGTAACTACACATCTGGACAACATACAGACGAAGACGTCGAATGTACTAACTGTGGACTAACATTTAAACGAGTCATTCAGATTGAAGAGCCACCCACAGATCCACGCGCTGAGCCTAAGAAGAGAGGTGTTAGAGACCTTCTGGAATTATCAGCAGCTCTATCTCATGCTCGCAAAGTATCGGAGAGGCTGTCGCCTCCACGGCCACCGATGACAGTGTACGACGAAACAGAAGATGTCAAGTATTATCGCCGTGTGAATGTTGTGCAGCGACAGAGACGAGCTGTGTGGGAATTGGGAAAAGAATTTGACTCAAGAACAGACCAACAAATCCATCAAGCCCAGGAAAATGAGGATAAAATGGTATTGGACAGAATTGCTACAGAAGATTCGAGTGACGCTGGCGATATAGAAATCCTGGAAATTTTCGGTGACTCTGTCGATGCAGCAACCTTTGAATCTTTTATGGAAATGGACGACGACGATGAACGCGAATTCTCTAAAAGCATAATGATAAATGGATTGGAGCAGATCGAGTATGCAATAAGGAAGATACAGGAAGCCTTGTGAGTTTCGAGACTTCTAGCCTACTCGCCCTGGAGATCCCGGGTCACTATGAATTTGAAATTGCTAATGCATTTCTCCGATTTTCTCAGAAATGATGGCAGTAATAATCTATCTTCTATTTTCAGCCTCGCACATTTTGCCAAGGGTTCATGTCATACGATGGGCATTTTTAAGGTGGAAGGTGCTGCCGAAGAGATCCAGTGGGCTGCCGCTGACAGTTCGCGGGATTGCGAAGAAAATATCCAGCTCATTACGCGATTACTAGGAGAAATGAGGGATTCATTTGTGGATGCAGATGACAAGCTGCGGGCGTTTTATAGGGAGTCGCAGAGGGTGATTGAATGGTAGTTGTTTCTGGGCAACGAGGAAGATGTGTCTAGCTACTGTGACACGAGCTTCCGAGAGCCGAAGGCTCTGAAAATATTGTTCCGGGGAGATGCGCGGCTTGTATCTTAGTCAGAGTGAAGAACTTCCTAGGGATAATTCTGACCGGAAGAGAGAATTAAATATTCTTTTATTAATTCAGGGGGCCAGATTGCAAAAGTTAGAAAAAGTTTCGAGATTTGAAAGTTTCAATATTTCGGTTCCCTATCCGTTGCGCTGCCACCAGGGACGAATTTCCGTGATCAAATATACCGCAAAATTGCAGCAAATCAGAGGTCTTAAATCAATGAATCTGGCGATATGATTTGCTGATTCAGTTCGCTTAGATGTGCACGGGCCAATTCGTCCCTGGTGGCAGCGCAGCGGATAATGACGTACATTTCAGTTCCCCTCATTGGTTGATGACGTTTCGGTTCCCGAGAAGAAATATTTAAGAGAACACTTTATCTCTCCTACTCTAAAATTATTTTAATTTTTTCTCTCTCAATGAAAATATTCCCCCCGCCCCCAAAACCAACCGAATAATGGCAGACTTAGAGTCTCTGTATTTGAGTAATACCCAGGTGAGGAGGAAGAGGCTTCGAAGTATAAAGAATACACTTACGAGTTATTTCATAGGAAACCAAGGAAATGACAGAATCAACTATATTGATTCCTAGACTACAGCCACAATCACTGTCATGGCGGCGGCGGCAGTTCCGCTGGTGGAAGGAGCGGCTTCAACCAGCCCTGATCGCACGGTGGCAGTAAGCAAGCACCTTCCCTCCTTCCTTCCTTCTTTTCTTTCCCCTCAACCTAGAGGGCGTAACTGCCCACCTCTCCCTCTCGTTTCCATTTTCTTTTCTCTTTTCCCTTCATAGCCACCACTACCACCATCACCACTACCACCATCACCACTACCACCATCACCACTACCACCATCACCACTACCACCATCACCACTACCACCATCACCACTACCACTACCACCACCGCAATGGGCCTTTCAAACCATTGCTTAACTCTCTCGGGGTGGGGGATGACGATTGCAGCCCTCGGGCTTGCAGTGTTAGGACCTTTTTGGTCCTCATTTATTTTCTGGGTTGTTCGATTGATTAAGAGAGCCTTCAGGTCATTATTTGTTAATACTTTTGATTACTGTTACTAATCCTTTACTTTTATAGTCTCGCGACCCAGACAGAAACGGAGAGGGCGAGGGAGCAGTGGGAAAGGGAGAGGGAGAGGGAGAGGGAGAGGGAGAGGGAGAGGGAGAGGGAGAGGGAGAGGGAGAGAGAGAGGGAGAGGGGGGAGAGGGAGAGGGAGAGGATGTGGGAGAGGTGGGACAGGGAGAGGAGGGAGGAGAGGGAGAGGTGGGAGGAAGAGAGGGAGAGGTGGGAGGAAGAGAGGAAGAGGTGGGCGGAGGAGCGAAAGAGGTTGGGGGGAGGAGTGGTATCTCTTAGAAGTCATCACCACTAGTATTAATACTTCCCAGTCACACTGGCGCCCTACTCAGATTCATGATCTCAAACTCTGGGGGGAAAAAAGGGGACGGGGGTGGGGAACCTTGGTACAGCATTAGCATAGCATTTGGGGGAAAAGAGTAGGCCTTCAATAATCAATATTGATTCTAAGGAACATTGGAAAGCTTTTGAGATTTGCAAGTTAGAGATTTGTGACCAAGATTTGTGACCACGAGTGTATTACAAAACTTTTGAGATTTGCGACTAGAAAACATTCGAGATTTTTAAGCCATAATTTCTTCCAGTGCCACCTGCACCCCTCTTTATGCTCCCTAACAAAGACCCCTGCCCAGGAGTCTCTCTAATAGACCATGCTCGTGAGACAGACTATATTGGAAGTGTTCTCACTATAGGAGCCTTCGTCTCCGGCGTATCGTCTGTTGGGATCCAAAATCTCCTGCGAGGTAGCAAAAACGGATTCCCGGGCAAAATTCTGTAAGGAATCCGTAGCCGGGGCACACAGGAGGCTAAAATGGGTTCCGCGTTATGGTGCGCAGGCTGACTCAGGGTGAGCTCAGGATACTCAGGCTCTGCTCCGGCTCTGCTCCGGCATGCTCATCCTCGGCTCAGGTATGCTCAGCCTCAGCTCAAGTTAAAGCAGCAGTTGCTCACGTTCGCAGACTAAAACAGAACCAGCGAAAGGGAAAATTAATCCTGAGCCTAAGGGTATTCCAACTCAGTGCCGAGTAAGTAATTCAATCTCATTACCCAATACCCCTGAAGAGCCATTTTCGCGCCTAGGGAGCTTCGGGGCTACATCGGTGTCTTATGCTAATACTGGAGTAGGGCAATGGGTACTGAAATTGTCACTATTCACGTTGGTCTAAAACGAAAGGCGTTCGCCATGCACAAGAAGTTGATTTGCGATCGATCCGACTACTTTTCCAAAGCATTCAACGGAAGGTTCAAGGAAGCTGAGAGAGTGATTGTACCTTCCGGATGACGATGTCAAAGCTTCCGAGCTGTTCATCAACTACATTTACCGGGATCGACTGCCTCAATATCTCCTCTCCAGCTCAAAGGCAGAAGAAATGCATCCACGCTTTGAGATGACCCACCTCCATCCACTGTTTTTTCTTGCCGAAAAATACAGCATAAATGAGCTTAAAAATAAAGTAATGGATGCAATACAAGACTTTGGAGCCCAACACCGTATACTCCCTGGTCCAAAGAACATTACACGGATCTACACCAACACACACGAGGGAAGCACCCCCGGACTCTACAGCGTCCTCACGCGCTCAAGTGTGAGAGCACTCAGCGACGGCGAATCTGAGGCGCAGAAACTTGCTTATCTCGCCAGTACTACTCCCGATTTTTTGGGTGATTACCTTGAAGCTCAATTTAAGTACAGTGCTCGTTTCCGTCCCGAGGGCGTTGTTGACCCTAGATTACGTGGCGAGAAAGGTGGATTTGTGAGATGCTTTTTCCATACCCATGCTAAAGGAGAGGTCTGTAACCTTGAGGGAGTTGGTTCTGGAACGAAATAGTAGGCGGAGAAAGGGAGGATATCAGCACATGATTGTTTCTTGGCTTGAGGATAGATTTCGTTTTCACAATCACATTTCTGCAGTGAGAGGATTCTTCTGACCGTTGACGGAACATGGCCTGATAGGTGAAAAGTAATTTGGGGATTAGATCTTGCTGGTAGATAATCAAATGCGCTCAATTCGTCTCGTAACATCCACTTCAGCTGATTTTTATTGTTGGTAAAAGGTCTGGTAGAATGGCGACCTCTCGGTCTATTAAATCTGGGGCTGACAGGAAGTTGAGTTCATCAGGTGAATCTTCGACAACTTTTCAAATTGACTTTAGAAACTTTTCCTTGTCAAGGGAATGCACCAAAAACTTCGAGGTTAAATAGTTGAGATCCGAGATCTCCTTTGCCCGTACCGCAACTCCTTCCCCCACCAACCAACAATTTTCCAACTCTGGAATCAACTTCACACTTCTGGCATCCTCTCGAGCCGTCCAAAATGGCATCTGCAGCAGATCAATCTGCGGCCAGCAGGTCTTCAAGCAGTGCTTTCGCAATAGCTGCTCCCAGCTCAGCGCCATCTGCAACAATCCTTTCTTTGGAATCATAAGTTCTGATTGTTCCAACATCCGTAGTACAATGAATCTAACATAAGACGAGGAATCTTGGCAAGGAGATGGTCACTATTTATGTTGGCCCAGAACGCAAAGACTTCATCGTCCACAGGAAGCTACTGTGCGAATCAGCCCAGTTCTTCAAGGGAGCGTTTATGAGAGACTTTGAGGAGGCACACAAAGGCGAAATTGTAATGCTTGAGGACAGTCCTGGGGCATTTTCCTTGTACGTCGACTGGATCTATCGATCAACCTTACCCACGGGCAATACCGAAGAGCACCTTCACAATCTCTACGGCCTCTACATCTTCGCCGAGAAACTTTGTCTCGTGGAGTTGAAGGACAAGACGATGGATTCGATTCAAGATATGGCTAAGAAGTACGACCTGAAAGATGAACTGATAACGGTGGATCTGGTGTCCAAAGTCCTGCTAAACACGAAGTCAAAATGGGAGGGACTTCGAGACTTCCTCATCTATCAAATGGTGTTTGCCTACCTCAACAGATACTTGGATGAGAATGAGGAGAATTCGCAGAGCGAGAACGAGTATGATTCCAGATCCTCCAAGGATGAGGACGATGACATTGCCACGACATATGTGATGAAGAGAGATATGAAGAAAGTATATGAGATTGCTATCAACTGCAATGACTTCCATTTCTTGGAAATGCTAATGAAACGACTCATATATGCGATTAAGGGAAAGGCATCTGTTCATATTACAGACCCCCGCGATCGGGATGAAGAAGACGAATTTGATCGTTGTTACTTTCACTGCCACGGAAAGGAAGTTGATTGCCGGGTTGTGAACAGAGCAAGCGATTCCTGAGGAAGTCAGATATAAACAAGAAGGCCTCATCTCGTGGGGTGGGAAGTTGCCAATTTGGAGCGGGCGGAGTTGGGGTTTAGCAAGGCAGGAGAGCCAATACCCATTGTATGAAGAAAGAGAATCAAGTTGATCGTTGGAGCAATGTCCCGCTTTGGGGTACGTACAATTAATGATTTGATTCGCTGTGATATGCTTAAATCGATCTTGAAAGCCTTGAAAAAGAGAAGTCCAGCGCTTTCCAAATCCACTTACTCTCAAAGCTAGATTCAATCCAGAAAAACACACCGTTGACAGTCTTTGGACCCTAAAAGCTATGGCAACATTGCCCCAATCGCACGCTCTACCTTCGCCGTGAAACAAAGCTTAAGTCACCTCGTGTCGTTGACTTCTCTCACCTTGCCAGCAATTTCCTGCCGCACATTCACCAATTCAATTTTCGCACTAACCTTTGCTTTAACCAGAAGCTCAAGCGAATACCTATCAAGCTGCAAGCCCATATCCTCCAATCATCTTCGAGCCTCCTCTTCCCCTCGACAACCTCAACCATCAACGAACCACTACCTCTCAATTTCAGTGGACTCTCAACTTTTCTAGAACCGCAGAGCAGAGCCAAGGTCAGTATCAGAGAAAATACTATTCAAGAGCGCTCGCTGATTGGTCGCAGTCGCTGAGACAGCCAGTCTCTTCACCTTTGAAGAGCAACAATCTGTTCACCATGGCTTCCGAGGCTCCCCCCGTAACAACACCAGTGGCTCTGGAACCGTAAGTTCCGATCGTTCCAAAATCCTAAAGTAGAATGGCCATGTGACTGATAGCAATCCTAGCAACCTTGGCAACAAGATGGTGACCATTTATGTTGGTCCGAAACGCAAAGAGTTCACAATCCACAAGGAGCTCATTTGCGGATCCGCCGACTATTTCGAAAAAGCCTTTAATGGAAAGTTTAAAGAAGGCCGTGAGGTGCGTTGATTTGGAGATACTGTTTCATTTTTCTGCAGTTTCACTACTCTTTGCTTAACACAGCATCTAGATTCCCCTGGAACGATGTGTTTTGCGCCAATGCTGACTTGTTCGAAATTACAGGGAATCATGTATTTGCCCGAGGACAATCCTGGAGCTTTCTCGTTCTTCGTCGATTGGCTTTACCGATCCTCACTTCCCGCTGGACACCCTCAGTCGTACTTGGTTAATCTGTATCATCTGTGGATCTTTGCGACCAAGATCTTCCTTACAAAACTCGCTGATGATGTTATGGACCGAATCCAAGACACTTGCAAGAAATACAATCAGTTTATCAGCGATGAACTTCTCAAAGAGATTTGGGGACTTACGGAGACCGATTCTATGCTCCGGACGTGGGCCTTCGATTTGAAGATGTACCAGATGTTCGAGAATAAGAAGCGTTCGGAAGATGGAGGCGATACCTTCTATTTCAGCGAGGACAATCGGTGCAAAGGTCTGTGGGAAATATTTCAGAATGACTTCAAGCTATTTCAGATTTTTCTCTCCGGCTTTGAATATATGGCACAACACAGAGACAAAGACCATTCCGACCCCCGAAGATACCGTGAACGGAATAGGTTGCATTGCTACTATCACGGCCATAAAGAAATAAACTGCGTCGCGGCTTGTTCCAACCCGAACTGATGAGTTAGCGATAGCAAGAAGGGAAAGAAATAATGGATATGGCTGGGGCGTATTGGATGAGGAGAGGATAATCTTGCAAGCAACATATTGACACTGGGGGAGAAAGGACATGCATTTGTGTTTTAGAGGAGTTGCATCGCCCATCACATTGATGGTTTAGCCGAGAGAACAAGGGGTCCGAATTGGCGCTCGGATTTGAACAGAGCAATCAAGAAAATCAAGCACGCCTGCATTGAAAAGAACGTGGACTTTCTTCCCAACTCGCCCGTGAAAATGCTTCCTCGTTACCCATGCTGCTAACATGCCCGCCTTTAACTTTCAAAGGCAACCTAAAATGGAAATCTGCTAATCTCATTATATCCAGGCTATTGGAATATTGAGCCGGAAGCTAAGTCTACTATTGCTTATGCTATCCCCTATTACTAATTAGCGTAAATACCCTTGTATTTTTCCATAGTAGTAATTAACTTCTTGATTATGCTCGACCTTAAGATATAATAAATACTTATTTTACTAAAGGAATACTACCCCTCTCTTCTATGGCCCTCCTTTAATCCCGACCTCCTCCCAACAGCCCGCCAGGCATGCTCCTAGCATATGCTCGACCTTTCGCCTCTGGCATATATTCGGCATATACCAACCCCTAACCCCGCAGGGTCTTTACACTCTAATACATCCCAATGCGGGGGCTCTCACCGCCCTTTCAACCCCCGGGACTAACCCGAACCTTAACCCCTAACCTTAAGCCCTAACCTTAAGCCCTAACCTTAAGCCCCCCTCGCAAGCTCGGGACCACCCCTCTCCTTCCTCGCCCGTGCATATGCAGGGCTTAAGGAGAGCATACGCTAAATCATAGTAGGGGACAGCGTCAGCAAGAGTAGGGATCAGCTGAAACCCCCGGAATATTCGACATGCTGTCCGATCTCAGGAAGCTAGCCCAAGCCTAGCTGGCGACTCTCTTCCTCTAATAAAGGAGCTATCTCAACAATTCTTAGCTGGGAAGCTACTTATTAAAGCTCTTCTGCAGCAGATGAACAAATAAAGTACCCTCAAGAATCACCAATCTAGACACCATAGGATCCAATATCAGCAACACACAGCAATGCCAAAAACCCCTTAGCACTTACTAAGCCGCTTCCTTGATTCTTGGACCTCGTCAAAGACATCGTTAAACACCTAGTTCCCAATTCACAACCGAGGAATCCCTCGAGCACCTTCCCAAATTCCTCAATCCCCTTCACCTAGACGGCCACCTTCGCCAAACACCCCGGGAAGCCAGCGCTTGCCGCTCCCCTCTCCCACCCTCTCCCCAAACTCAAATATCACCAACACACATTCAGAACAGCATTCATAAACTCTTTGTATTCGGCCCCTATCTCCACTTTACAAAGTCTATCCTCTCTCCCCCGCCCCTCCCCTGCCCTGCCCCTCTTTCCTATCCACCTTCCACCTAACCACCATTTCCCTTCCGAAAGTGCGAAGCCCCCCACCCAAACGCCAAAACACCACCATTCTATCCATCTGCACACACCAATCGCTTGCAATGTCGATTCAATGCTCAAGTTCAAAGTGCCGACTGTATTATACGTCTCCTTCCCTTCTCCTTTCCTCTCCCTTTACGATCCAGTCATATGCACGCTCAATCATCAACGTGCGCTCAACATCTCATCTCATCTCATCTCATCTCAAGTCGAAGAAGAAAAAAACAACCAACAAAAGGAGGAGGACGTCATGATCGCTAACAGACAAAGCGCACCACCGTGAAAGTTCGTGGTGAGAAGGAAAGTAGAGAAGAAACCTGATGCCTAGGCCTGGGTATCTGACGTGTCGAAGAAGTCTATGTCGTGCCATTCATTTCAATGCATATATGAGCGCCCTTATCGCCCGTCCGCCCTCCCACCCGCTCGCCAAATTCCATGTGTAAACCATGTCCCTCCCTTTACCCCACCCCACTGAGAAAAAGCTGAATGAAGGCCAAGAATCTAATATTTCAGAACCTAGGTTCGTGAAGGATTTGTGCGGGGAAAGGGTATCAAGGACTAGTCGGTACCATCATCTCCACGTCTTCCGGGTACGCCATATCAACCGGCATAGCGCCCTGTCGTTGAGAGATGACTTCTCGGGCGTAGAACTCGACGAGCATGGTGCCGTATGCTTCGAGCTCTTCGACGGGGACGGAGAGCCGGAAGTCGTTGAGGAGGAGGAATTGGAGTTCGAGGTGGTTGAGCTCTGCTAAGGGGAGGCCGCCGACCTATATTTTTTATAAGATTTAGAAATTTTGGATAGGGAGGAGGGGAAAAGGAGACATACTTTTGCGTAGCGGGAGTTGGTGTAAAATACATCGGAGAAGAACTTGCTTGCGCATGTTACCCCTGCTATGACCAGTCGGTGGATGTTGAAGCTGTCGACCACAAAGAAGTGGGATAGGGGAAATTCAGGGCTATTCTCTGCGGGCGGGGCCTGAGTGTATTGTGCCTTTTCCAGATCTGCTTGAATCTCCGGTACACTTCTCGAAGATGGCGGGCTATCTGCTAAATCTGAACCTTCAACTGAGTATCCTGAAGACGGTCGAGAATTCTCCTGGTCCATGGGCTCTCTGCCTAACGCCTGCATGGGAGTTGCATTGACCCGCTCCGTCATACGGTCAAAGTATACTAGCAGACTCAGAAAGACCTCGTAAGTCGTCGGACAGTACTTGTGTATGCGGCTCAAATAACTCAAAATGGTAATGCTTGGTACATTCTTCCCATGAAATGCGAGCACACTCGAGGAGAGCGGAGTCATGTTAACATTGTCCCCAGACGGTATGGGGCGGTGCAAGTCGTCATGTTGCCGGTCGTTTGTTGTGGTGATTTTTGTAAGAAGCCCTGCTACCATCTCAATGATGTCCGTGATAGGCATCCCACTAATCTCGTACTTCAAAGTTGGATCATCTGCGGTCCGCCGTCGCCCGGAGTGCCCTCTGTACGACAGGAACTCCTCCGTGGCAAAACTTTGGATATGTGCAAGGTCTCGGACTTTGATTGTATTTCCGCCATACTTCTTAACATCATCCAGAGATCTGGCCGATCTCGAATAGGGCAGGTAGGAGGTGGAAGGCGAGGAGGTCGTTCTCGTTCTCTGATCTAATGGTACATTGTACGGTGGGGGCGATCGCTCAAATGGCGCAGAAGAATGGGGAAAGTTCTCCTGGCTTGTGAACCGTTGTCGGGTGGTGTATGAATATATGTTCGGACTGGAGCTCGACGGCGGTGAGGGCGGCTCTGTCTTTACGGAACCCGTTCTTTCTGCACTCTCCTCGGTAGCTTGTTGAGATATTGCCCGTGCAGACGTGCTGGGAGGAGGAGTTTCTGCAGGTATGCTGGTAGGCTCTGGTCGCGGACTTGGAGGAGGTTCAGCTCGTGATCGAGAGGGTTGACGGTATTGTGATTCAGCTGGAGAGAGCTGTTGTCCAGGACCGGCTATCATCGTATGATGATTGTGGTGAAAGTGTGAGGAGTCTGATACGAAATCACTGATCACCGCAGCCATATCAGCCTGCTATCCGAATGGACGTTGGTAGACACTGGCAAGATGAGATTAGCGTTGATCTGGAGAATTCCGGTCCGGGCGCGATGAGTGCAAGATGACACGTAGGCAGCAGGAGGTCGCGTGCAGATTGGAAAGGGAAATGGAGGTCGAGTAGAATTTGTTGTTTGCCAAAGGTGAATTCGAAGGCAAGCAATCACATTGATCTGTCGAGGCTCTGCCCACAGGCAGGCGAACTTTACAACCAAAGGCCAGCGCAGATTCACTTGACGGTTGTAGAACGACGCCAGGCTCTTGGCTCCTCGAAATCTAAATCCTCTGCAAAAACCTCAGGGTGCTCGAATCATGGACGGCGCGTGAATTACTTGATGTCGTGGGGGTACCTCCACCGGGCTTATCTCCTCAGCGAGACGGGAAACAGCTTACCTGCAGCATTAGAATTACGGAAATAGGAGATCCAGGCTCGATGCAACTCCTGAAGACGCCAGACGATGGTGTCTGCGGTGGTGGTCGATATCGTGGACTTTCGTTGTTGGGGTGGTGTCGATTCTGGGAGCTGGACGTCCGCTCACAACTGCCCAGGGTCCGCCAAGAAAGTTGCGCCTAGCAAAGTCAGTGTCCGTGTCAGTGCCAATGGGCGAGGCGCAGGATGACGAACGACGACCTGGCAGGAGGCGAATCGCGGCGGATCTGATCTGCCTCTGGCTCTAGGTCGACGGGCTGGCAGGCTGGCGGGCTGGCACCACTGGGAAGGACTAATCGGCGTCGTCGCTCCAATGCAACACTCTGATCGGCGGGCTCGATATTGTCCTCAAACAATTCAGGAATCAAAAATCACAGCCACGCGGTCAGTCGGCGCACGCGTGGAATAGGCGGGCAAAAAAAAAGTCTGGGAAGGACAGGACACACTCTGGCAGAATCGCATGCGGTGCACTTGCATTTACATTTGTTGCATCCGGGAGGGATGCAGGAGGTCGGGATCCATGGGGGTTACGGCCTCCGAGTCGAGCCGTTGGATCTCTCCGGCCAACAGATTCCCAGGAGGCTGACACGAGGCACAACGAACGGAGTGCGTCGTGATGAGGAGGGCCAGGTTGGCCAACAGATCGAGACGCCCCCCATGCTGGACCTGTCCCCGGCTGGGCTCCCTGTCCACCGTGTCTTGTGCAACTCCAACTTGGTGCCGAAACCTCGACGCTCCGTGGCACGCCGGCACTTGATTTGACAGCTCGATATTTGATACGAAAAGGTACAAAGGCATATCGGCGGGATGCTTGCTTTTGCTCGCGGAGCCATCCGTATATTCCGACAGAACACCTTTCATGATTTCGTGCTTTCATCCGAGAGCCGTCCCTTCATCTCACCGCTGCTTTCGAAAGGATAGGAGAGCGCTCGACTTGACCGCTACTGCAACCCTGCGCGGGTAACCATCGGCAGCCAGAACACCGTGCCATTTAATGCTCCTCTCTATGGTACAAGTACATGCTGTGCCTATTGGTGACGCACGGTGTAATTCGTATCTGGCAGATACAAATGCCTGTTCGCGCCCTTCTTGGTCAAGACCACCATTCTGATAACACCGCCAGAGCTTCCATCCCATTTGATCGCCTCTTGCAGTGCGCCCTTGACGAAATTGACAGCCTCTTCTTCGTTCATTCCCTCCTTCCAGTTGGCGTCGCAGTATCCGTAGATATAGGTTGATCCCGATCCACCGATGGCATATGATTGCTTGTGTAGTGATCCTCCAAGAGGTATCGAGTATACTTGTCCTCCGTGTCGCTCGTCCCAACCTGCAATAATCAAGCCAGCACTATCCCCGTCAGCATCCGTGCATATTATTCTGGTAATTCATCCTTACCTCAATCTATCCTTATTCTCGTAGCACAACTCCTGAAACATGGCAGCAGCAGTTTGGGTTGTTGGTCGTCTGCCATTCTGGATGTCGTACATTCCCAACTGATAGTGAACGATGTCCGCGACTGCTTGAGTATCTGCAGCAGATCCTGATCTACAGCACCAGATGGTATCGTGAACTTGGGTAAGCTTGTCGGTCACTCGGTTGGCAATGTATGCTCCAGTCGTGGTTCTGCTGTCTGCGCCTGCAATTCATCACCATCAGCCTGCTTTTCTGTATTGAATAGGTTTGTGGGTAGAACAAACCCAAAATAACACCATCCTTGAAGTTGATTGCCATGCTGGATTTGGGTCAGGTCGGTGGTTAGGGTTTTGTTGACTTTGGGGCGAGCTTACATCGAAGTACCTAGACTACAGCAGAGTCAGTAAAGATTAAACTCTTGTTGCCTGCAAGAACTTACTTGACTTCGCCCTTCTTCAAGCGATCCATATCGACGTGAATGCCATCTGGGGAAAGCTTTGGTTAGCTGTCGTGTGCCAACAGAGCTCCAAGCAAGTTCGAATTACCTTCATTCAGCATGCCTGAAGTACCGAACTCCATCTTGCGAGGCTGGGTGTCTGACGAGGAAGATTGGAATCGGTCGGAATCGAGTTGTGAAGAAGTTTGTTGAGAGAAACTTCTCGTTGATGCTTGATGAAGGTTAACTCAGGCAGCATGGGCGACGCGGAAATCGTAGCGCGAGGCTGTCAACACGTGACCTGGCTTTCCCGATTTTGGTACTCCCCTGAATTTATCTTCAGCCTTGGCAATGGACGACTGGTTAGGGAGTTTATAGAGGCATACGAGAATGGCTAATCAATGTGGCCCTCAAATTTGAAGAATATGAGTCACACCTTCACAGTATTTGCAATAAGCTGTGTCTTCGCATTCTGAATTCTGCTCCCAAGCGTGGAGCGATTTTGGGAAAAGGCGCTCAAATGCAGACCCAGCAGTCCTATGATGGGAATAATGCTAAACCAGCCTCCACCATAAACGCCATGCTTCACAACCCCGTCAATGCTTTCCCATATATGTTACAAGAAACTATCAGTATCAACCTCCTCTCGTCAATCTAGAACATGTCAGCATAATTCCTCCCACAACAATGCACAAAACTCACCCTTCCTTCTCCAGCTCCAGCTTTGTAAAACCGTCCTTACTCTTCCCTTGCTCATCCTCTGCACAACCACAATCATAAAAGTCCCCAATCTTCGAGCAGTCAAACAGGTCCTTCTTCAACCTCTGATTGATCTTATTATGAACGTGGCAAGCCCACGCGGCTGCGGTCGATCTCGACGTAACCTGCGGAGGAAACTTCTTCAATAGCTTCTGGAAATGCCGGGCGCAGTCTCCACAGGGATAGAGTCGTGCAAAAAGGTGGATGTAGGATTTTAACGCGTCGCTGTCTTCTTCTGTCGGCCGATCAGGGAACTTCGCCATCATCGTGTGGAGCACCTTCCATGCTGCGTTTCCAAGCTCTGCCCTTTGAAGAGGTTAGCAGAAGCAAATTCCTTTTGGAGATCGGACATACTTCAGGGTGGCGTTCTCGAGCTTCGGTGCCGTGGCTTCTCCATGTAGAATCCCATCATCAATCTTCAAGCCGCCGCTGGGTCCGTTGTACTGTGGAAGGTAGTCGGGATGTCGCGTGCCCTCTGCGTTGTTCCGAAATATGGACACGAAGGAGATCCCAAGGAAAGTAGCCACGCCAATGATAGTGAGTAGGGTGATGTGCTGTCGCCGAGGCATGTCGAGACGATTGTTCTTGATGCGCGGTCTGCGTCGTGGCCCAGTTCTTACTTGCGCAACGTCAGCCTCACCTCGCCGAGGTCAGCATGTGGTGAATTATTGATTAGTGCGTGAGTAGTGACAAAGAGGTCTGTCGAGCGATCACCACAAAGCCAGCTCGTGGGTCATTGAAGCCACGCCTCGTCCTCGCATTGAAATTGTATAGCGCAACAGGCAAGGGATCCACCGTCCAGTATGATGGTAGTGGTGGGCCGATTGATCGTCCCAAACAGCTTGGCTCCGAGGGAACCCCTGCAGTTCCTGCAGCGGCGAGATCCCATTCCCCGCCGATGTCACTCCGAAGCCGCACAAAAATAAATACTGTCTTGCTGACAACTCCTCTTACTAAACATTCTTCACCTCCCCTTCCTTTGTCTTTTCCTTTCTTTATTCCATAATTACTTCCCTCCTCCTCGAAATCTATCAGAATGGTCTTCCCACCGCCCCCCGTTAACACGATTGACTGGGACGACATTGGATTCAAATTTCGAGAAGGTATTTCCACCCCGCACTCCGCACTCCGCACTCACTGTCATGACTCACTAACCTTCTCCGCAGTCAATGGCCATGTAGAATCCCACTACAGCGTCAAGACCGGCGTCTGGTCGAAGCCCGAATACATAACGGACCCTTTCCTGCGCCTCCATGGCATGGCACCAGGGCTTAATTATGGCCAGCAAGCCTACGAGGGCTTGAAGGCTTTCCGCTCTCCGAACAACGAAATCACCATCTTCCGACCCACCAGCAATGCTGCACGCATGGCACACTCTGCAAGCTTCATCTCCATCCCTCCAATCCCCGAATCTGTTTTCAACGAGTGCGTACATGTGGCTGTCTCGCTGAACGCTGAATATGTGCCCCCTCATGAGACTGGTGCTGCGATGTACATTCGACCTCTGGTCTTTGGCTCGAGTGCTCAATTGGGTTTGAACCCACCAGAGGAATATACTTTCTGCGTCTACGTGCTCCCAGTCGGTGTCTATCATGGTGTCCACCCTGTCAAGGCTCTTATTCTGGAGGAATTCGACCGAGCTGCCCCAGATGGAACTGGAAGTGCAAAGGTTGGAGGAAACTACGCGCCAGTCTTGAGATGGAGCGACAAGGCACGGAATGAAGGCTACGGAATCACATTGCACTTGGACAGTAAAACAAGGTCCGAAATCGAAGAGTTTTCTACAAGTGGGTTCATTGGTGTGAAGAAGGACGGCGAGGACATCACATTGGTGGTGCCTGATAGCAAGAACGTCATTTCAAGTATCACTTTGGATTCTTGCTTAGATATTGCCAAGAGCTTCGGATGGAAGACGGAACGCCGCTGTGTAAGTCCTGTTCGGTGATTTCTCGGTCAAGGCTGACTCTCCAGATCAAATACGAACAACTCCCGAGCTTCAGTGAAGTCTTCGCCGCCGGTACAGCAGCTGCTCTTGTTCCCATCAAATCGATAACCCGAAACTCCCGCAACGAGACGTTCTCCTACATCCCGGCCGACTCCGAAGAGCCAGGCCCAGTCTGCGTCAAGTTGCTTACAACATTGAAAGGCATCCAGGCGGGCAAGATCAAGGATACATTTGGATGGAACAGTAAGGTTGAGCAGGTTGACATCAAGAAATACGCCGCTGGCGAGACAATAAATGGCGTTAACGGTAAGAGTGTGGATGCATTGCCCTAAAAATTACAGTGGAAAAAACAATGTTGGATTACCAAATCTCGCCTTCGCTATTATCATTTCATGCATTGGCCGTCATCTCATATCTCATGTTCCCCTTGCCCTGGTCGCCCAGGACAAGCTGTCATCATGTCTACCTACAAGTGTACCGATGCCGCTCAATGCCGCTAGAGAACAAACAAAACCATGCTCCGAAAACCAGAGATTATTGCCTTATTATGAAAGGCGTTGAGATTAGTTACCAGGCAGTGTAACGTTGACGGAAAGTATCGGGCCCGTACCGTTCTGCATCGACAACGTCAATCTCAGTCCAGTCTGACTTGAGGTCTACCTACCATACGAAGAATCCATTCGTATATCCTGCGAGTATCTTCTACCAACATGGCGATCATCCATGTATTGATCTCGGCCATATTGCGTACCAACATATGAAGGAGGAATGTGGTTTGGATTCACATGATGTGGATATTGGATGATAGGGGGTCGGCGTTCGCTCACATATCTCTCTGGTTCCTGGCTCCTGCAGACCCGTTAGTATTGGGACAGAAATATATAGATCCTTCGAATGGCTAACATACCCCTGAGAGTACGATTCCTCAGACCATTCTTCAAAACCCGGCCTCAACCGCTCAAACGAAATCACATGACTCGGCCCCTGCGGCAACGAGCCCCTTTCCAGAGCAGCATTCCTCATTCTCACCGCATTCGCATCCCGTTGTCCTGCTTCATAAGCCGCACGGATATGGTACTCATTCGGCTGCGCAGGCTGATATCCTCTGATCGGGTACTGTGGCGGTATAATCGTAGGCTTTTCCCATCTCGGTTGTTCTGCCCTCCCATACGCCATTGGATTTACCTCCGAATGCTTCGGCTTGAACCTCTGAGAAAGCGTCCTGTGTTTCGAGCGCCTTAGATTTCGACTCTGAATACTAATCGTGGAATCCGAATCACAAGAACCATCATCCGAATCGTCCCCCAGAGCCTCCTTCCTAAGTCTCGATTTCGAGCTTCTCCTCCGACTCCTCTTCTCTTCCACTCTTTCGATCTCCTTTCCCTTTCCCTTCGACTCCCTTCTTTCCCTCTCTTTCGTTGATTTGCGCTTCTCTTTAGGAGAGTCTTCAATAGCCTTCTCCTTCTCCTTCTCCTTCCCCCGACTCCGACTCCTACTCCCTTTCTTCTCTATCTCCTTCCCCTTTCCCCCTCCTCTAGTGGACACCTCACTCTCCATCTTATTCCTCTCCTTCTCTTCCACCTGCAGCGGGGCCCGCACAAAGAACACCCTAACACACCTCGTCCTCCCCTTCCTCTTCTCATCCCTTACCTTAGCAGCCTCACAAACACTCCACTCTAACTTCTTCCCCTCCCCATCCATCGTACTCGCCCCACTATCCCCCTCGCCCACCAGATCCACGAGAACATTATAAACCGCGCCGCTCTGCTCCGTGCTCAATCTCGCGATCTTATCCGCGATACTGGCTTTGTCCTTATCCTGAAGAGAAGAGAGTTCGGCGATGAGTGAGGATTGAGGGAAGTTGGATTCTTTGACGAGGGGCGTTGTCCAGCTTGGTTTGGCCTCTGGTGCGGTGGAGGGAGAGGAAGAGGAGGGGTAGATGGTGAAGGCGCGGTAGATGGATGGGTCTGGGAGCGGCGGTAGTACGCCCATCTTTTCTCTTGGGGTGCTGCGAACCCCCGAACCTGCGAGGTCCTCGCTCTTGGATCCCTCAAATCCTCGCTCCGTCCCTCCAAATTTTATATATATATCAGGTTACCAGATCTGAAGCGCAGTACCCACTTCTCCGCTGAACAATAAGAAAGAAATCGAGCAGCGCGCAAGGAAAGATCAGTCGGAAGAAAGGAAATCACAAGATGAAATACGAGCCCGACGCAGACCGACCTTATCACCCGGAGTCTCCAATCAGTCCAGAATTAATTTTTCCAGTGACTGCAGTTTTTGAAGAAAGCGGATTCGTGCGCAGGGCATGCATGACATGTGGATCATTGGAGGCGAGGCTGCCAGCGAAGCTTGCGCCGTGCAGACCGCTGCATGTTCGCCGGCGAACAGCCATTCGGTCTCCAAATGCCGGTGGGGATTTCATGTTTCCATTGGAATTTGGAAGGCTGAGTGAGATGTCTGGTGATCGTAGAGGTGCCAATTGAGTGAGTGTGGCGATGATTTGGGAGCAGGTAGGATGTGGATTGGTTTTGCGAGTGAGGGGTGAGTGGTGAAGAGTGAAGAAGTAGAGTCGGAGATTATGCAGATGTGGTGGTTTGGTTTGGATGGAAATGCCATGTGTGGGTGATGCACAGTGTGTCAAAAAAAAAATTAAGGTAATTAATTATAATGAGAGTAAAGGTTAATTGATTTCCTAAGAAGAGAGAAGGAGAGCGAGGTAATATATATGTGAATTATTTACTCCGGATATTACATGACCGCACCACGTGACTAGGGGAGCCAAAACCCCTACCACAATACTTATATACAAAGATAAGTAAAGTGAGCAAAGGCGGAATACTAGCTATTAAGCCTATTATAGTAAGGCGATATCTAAATTAGGCTAGAATAAACTTTACTTTTGCGCCATAATGCTTGTATTATCTTTATAGTCACGTGTAACACCACGTGATCCAATAATTAATTATATTTAAGTAAATTAAGTAAATATTTAATTATAATTTGATTACTAGGGGTTTGACTTAATTTAATTTAAATACTGGCCAATAATTATAATTAATTAAATTATTTGACACACTGGTGATGCATGCTTACTTTGCGTGAAGTGTCACGTTTTGGGGTACGTTGCTGGCAGCCTTCAATTATGTTTTTTCTGCTTGAGGTAAAGCTCTGGATAGAGCCGCTTCTCACTTCGTTGTACGGGGAAATGTAAAACGACTCCCCCCCGTCCGGACATAGTTCGTACGCATCATTGCACGCAAGGTTGTACCACTGCAGTGGTGGGTTTCCTTTCGAGTCCCTGTCGACCACAAGAGTTCGCCAGTATATTTCCTTTAAATACTTCTGTTATATATTTGCCCCCTTGAGACTATTAAGTCATAAGTTAGGAATTTTTCCTTTCTCGGCTCGGCCTCCTATCCAAGCAATAGCTGGGAGTTGAAAGCCTTTACAGGTAAGAACGAAATAGGTATCATCATCGTTAAAGGATACAGAGGCACAACGACTCCCAGAAGTATAGTATATGCGTTAGTGGGGTAAGCAAACTAGAGTATCTGCGTGCTATCAAACGTAAATGCCTTGGTAATTTCGTCTATATGGAAGGGCAGAGCGCGGCAAAACCTAAGACGGCAAGTTTGTTAAAGGCTGCGCCCAAGGACGGCAGATAATCTTTAGGGATCGTGAACTGGTAACCGCTTGTTGGATAGCATTTTTATAGACTTGAACAATGGACTATCTATAATCTGGAACGAACCCTATGTAGTCCTTAGCCAAAGATGCCAAGGCGAATACCACATCGCGACCGTCTATTGCTTTGAACTCTGCGAGGTAGGAAAGCAATGCTTCCATTATACAAAGTCGGCGGGGTTATCGCCATCTCTTATGCGAGGCAAAACTCTATCGTAAGCTACAATGAGGGAATGTACACCAACGCCACGAAGTTCGCCGAGAGAAGAAGGGTCAAAATAAGAGAGTGCTCCCGTGGCTATTATAGGGACGACGGAAGGTGTTCCAAACATAGCGATTGAGGCGATAGCTCCCAGCAAGCCAGGGGCCCAAGGATTTAACTGAAGTTCCGGCCAAGAGTTGCGAACGGATTCGTTTATCTCATCCAATTTCTCAAGGAATAATCCAACTGCCTCACAGAAGAGTGCCCACGAAACTAACGCTGACCCACAGCGCAACACGGCGTGTCTTGCAAATGCAACTTCTTGGACCACCCATCTACGCGTGAGCCAACTTCTTAGCGTCAGATTGAAAAGAGCCTTCCATGAATTCAAAGATCCTGGATCATCAGCTAGTCTGTCGATCCCTTTCGCGGAAATATTCATTATGAATTCCATTGCAAAATCGCTGTCGTTTGTATCCTCACCAAGCTATATTACGTCCTCAACCATACTATTGTCCCTAGAATATTGGACAAGCTTATTCCCAGGATCTACGATAGCTTCGGGTCGTAGCCCGAATATCTACGTGTGAGAGGTAAGAAAGATAATAGTTCAGAGGTTATAGCCACTGTTTCCCATCCGACCAGGGCATAGAAGGGAAGAGTCATCGGAGAATGGAGAGATAGCAGGTGAAAGAATGGGCACCAGTGCCCGCAGTAGTCCAGCGTGTGAGTTCATAAAGTGTGGAAGTAATGGGAGGTGTGGGGGTACTTACAGACTATAAACAGGGATTCGAAGGAAGAGGGGGGGGGGGGCTTGGTATCTTTCAAGTGGGTTTCGCGAGGGCATTACGGTGGTTGGGGTCTAGAAGAGGTATAACTTAAATATGTCGACTAAAGAGAGGTGGAGAGAAAAGATTGAGGTGAAATATATTTCCAAAATAGGTGGAATCTTATTCCGTCTGACTTTCCTAGCTTGTGCCACACAAAACGAACAACCATTGATACATGAATCCATTTCATCGTAAACACCAAGATAATGCCACATTCCCTGCCTCATCCATTGCGCCTCTATTTTGTTGATTCCATTTGCAGCTGTGCTACAAGTATACGGGTCCCAATACTTTTGGAGAACATCAAAGGCACGAATGATCGCTCGACTCGAGACTATTTTGCATCAGATTAATACAAAGGCTTCAACACACTGGCACTTACTTGATTCTATCTGTTGCTCAAGAGATTTACAACTGCAAAATGATTGTTCTCCTCCGCGAGCTTAATGGCGTCTTCAAAGCCCGTTCCACGAAGGACATTACCTTTTGCTCCAGCATTCAGAAGCAATTGGACCATGTCTAAGCGGCCATGCTCAGCAGCTCCTTCGATTGCATATCGGCCTTCAATCAAGGAAGGCGCTGCATTGACTTCGGCCCCTTTTTCGAGAAGTAATTTGGCCAGCATGACGTCGCCAGATATGGCAGCACCTTGCAGGGCCGTGATTCCACCATGATGAACTGCCGGCTTTGAATTGATGTGCGCGGCCTTTTCTTCGAGAAGGAATTGTAAAGCTCCATATCTGGGCGTTTCTCTGGACGTGGCAGCTTTGAAGAGGCGGTACGCCCAAATCGATACCCCGGAGCCTCGTTGATGTTTCAGCTCGTCACGGTCAACGATGCATGCTTCACAAATTTTGAGTAGTCCCATAAGCCCGCTGCTCAGGCTGAGTCTTGGTGTCCTAGAGCTCCCAGGTATAATTGCCTTCCTCCTCTTCTATCTCCTTGTCCTGCCACCGACATGTAC